TGTGCTAGAGAGACTGGATGCTCTGTATAAAGCAGCGAATAAGCTGGACTCAAGCACACACAGGCTGTACATATCGCTGAAGACAGCTGAGAGCAGAATATTTCCTAGCACGGCATGCACCACCTTGGACACGATTATACAGAAGATAGAGAAAGATGGGCTGCCAAAAGACCTGAATGGCGCAGTGGCTGAGCTCCTGGGCAGCATGAACATGGACAGAGAAACAGTAAAGATGGAAATAGAAAAAAGAGTAAATAGAAAAACAGCGCAAAATCTGCTCCCCATTCTGTCTCTTGTTCGGCCTGTAAATAAAATGCCAGAAATGGTAAATATTCAGTTGAGGGACAGATTTAGGCCAGTGGCAGTAATGGAGGCTGTGCAGCTGTTCCAGTGGGAGGAGCCTGTTAGCATAAACTCCGACAGGTATGCACAGATAAAGGAGCACACAGAGCAAATAGCAGGATTTCGCAACCCCAAGGGCATTATCCTGTTTTTCATCAAAGAATCGCAGAATCCCCTGATTGCAGCATTTGCTGAAGCAGCAGAAACAACGCCCGAGCTGCTGGCTGATTTATTTCCTATAGCTCTGTATGCATCTCTTCGCGAGATGCCAGAGTGCCTGAAAATGAAAGTGGTTGATGCGATAGGAGAGGCTGCATCTTCTCTCGAGAACGGACAGAGACTGCGAAGGATTATGATGGAAGGCTTAGAGTATGTTGTTATGGCATCGTGTGCAGCATCTGAGGCAGAGTACGCAATGAAATACATTTCACCCGGTCGAAGAAACATATATGTACAAAAAGTGTCCCCTGAGAATGAAAGTATACAGCTTATTTATTTTGCAAAAACAGAGCCCAAAGAATTTGATGTACTTATTCAGCATAAAAACAAACAGAAACAAGGAGAAGATCGGTACGAAGAGAATATAAACACTAAGCAAGTAAAAGCACTCAAAGATGCGTCGTATAGTGTGGTAGAGTGTCTGAGAAGTACAGATGATCCACTAAAGACAGAAAAGCTGCTAGATAAGGCGCTTGATGCACTGGTAAAATGGGAAGTGCCGTATGTCTCTGAGCTCTTCTCCATCAGCAATTCATCGTCACCTAATGCAACGCTTGAAGCAGTGCAGGCGCTAGACCTAGCTGTGTCCAGTGACTTAGACAGTATGTATACGCCTGGATGGATGCGAATCATAAAAAGATCAGAAGCAGTGGCTATGAAGATACTAAATGCAAAATGTCAGTCACCACCCAACAAAAAAGAAGAATCAGAGCACATAGTTAAAACATGCATGGAGTACAGAACAAGCATCCGCAACGAGATCATTTCTGCAGCTATGCATCCCTCATCTCTACTGTCTTTCTGCACTGAGGCAGCATATTCGCCTTTTTCTAGCATACTTGCTGAGGCAGTGCAAAAAAAAGATGCTAAGCTGGCTAGAGGCCTTATGATGCTAGAGGTGCCAGGAGAGAATAAAATACTGCTCGCAGAAAAAATAGCAAATGCAGCTACAACAAGCTGGGCTGTGAGTAAAAAGGAGTGCACAGAGATTATAAACAGCACACTAGATGATGAAACCATTATGCAATCCAAGGATGTGCTTGATTCTGTGGAAAAAAGAGCATTCACTCAGTGGGGAAGAATGGAGTTCACAAAGGCGCCTCTGAAAAAAAGAATAGAAATACTAAAAGAACTAGTTAAGACACAAGAAGCAAAGGAGGATGCAGCCCTCTTTCTTTCTCTTCTTAAAGAAACTAGCCCTGGCGATGATACACATTCAGCAATACTGGAAATAATTGAAGAAATAAGACCGGAGCACATCCTTGAAAACATGTACGAGCTATTCCAACTAGAAGAGACACACTCTACCTACACATCAGCCATAGTAAAAAGACTGATCGAGTACTCGCCAGAAAGAGCCTCCTTCCTTTGGGCAGTGCAGAGTGCTTCTCCTTCCGTTTTGTCTAACGGCTTATCAATGGATGTGTCTATCTCATCTGTGGCCGCTGAGTATGTGAAAGTGATGCAGGAGATAGTGCAGAGTGCAGGAGACATTTTGTACAGTAAATTGGCTAGATTTAAAATGCAGAAAAAATGCCATACAAAGACAGAGGCCAGACCGTTTACACAGGAGATCACAGAGACACAGAAAACAGCACAGCCGCAGCATTCGCATGACCAGTGTCTCAAACAGCTCCTTAGCAGCATTGAAAGCGTAGTAGAACAGCCAATATACAGAGCAGCAGAGAAAAGTGAAGAAAGTGTGCACGCCGCCATAAGAGAAATTCAGGAGATTGGAAGGATCGCAAATAAAACGCCTGCCTGGAAGACTCTCCTTATAAATAGAGTCAACCGAGTGGCGGGGATACTGGCCCAGTCGCAGCCCAAGGCTATTTATCTGAGCAAAAGAGCCGAGGATATTTTGGCGAAGTCGTATCTTCCGGGTACAGATATAAAAGTCTACAAAATAGAAAAAAAAGTAGAGATTATTTCTTCTCTTCAGAATCCAAGACTTATCACACTGATAGGCATAGATGGTGTGAAGAGACAGTATCTAGTGAAAATAGAAAGAGACTCAGAAGTAGAGAGAACAATCGCAAAGATCTTTAAAATCATGGATGCACAGGTTCCAGACACATATGAAATACTTCCCAATCAGATTCTCATTACAGCGTACATACCAAACAGCCAGTCGCTAAGAGAGGCTATCCTTGAAATGCGCAGGGACAAACAGGAAGAGAACAAAACAAGGTCTAAGTCGCTGGAAAGAAGGGAAAAAGAGGAAATAGGAAGACTGTGTACAAATTATAACGACCTAAGAGAGCTCGAAAAGATGGAGATATATCTAAAGGTAACTGACTTTGCAGCTAAAGAAATAAAATGGTGGATATCCAAGCACACGCACACTGTCCACTCTTACTTAGAAAGAGTTCGCACATTCTCGAGGACATATTTGTACAACAGTCTTGCTGCGTACAGTGTAGGATTGGGTGATAGACACCCTGGGAACATTCTACTACTCGCAGACGCATCGGCAATGCACATAGACTATGTTGACTCTTTTGACACACTGAATACAAGGGAAAAGTACCGAGAGAGAGTTCCACTAAGGCTAACGCCAATGATACTGAATTCCATAGGGCCAGAAGCTGCAGAGAGAATGGTAGTAGAGGGCCTGAGAATGTTCCGTACGTATGAAAAAGGCAGAAACAGCATAGACGCAGCCATTGCCCTTCTTTTTCTCAGAAGGAAAATGTTCCGTAAACTGTCTAAAACGGCAGTGCAGGAACAGATACACTGCAAACTGGTGGTGGACGACGAAGAGAAAGAGATAAACAGGCTGTACAAACAAGCAACCTCGCTTGAAGAAATATCGCAGATGTATCTCGGATGGATGCCCTTTTGGTAGCTGGATAGCAAAGAAATAAAGAACTTCTATAGAAAGAATTTGAGCTAGTAAAATGTTTTATGGATGCGTTTAATTTAGCAAGAGAGCTGGTAGGAAAGAAAGAGACAGAAGAGGATGCACTGCTTGCCCAGCTGCAATCAGTGAAGGAGCCTGTTAATTTTAAGGGAGCTGTGCAGCTGGGAAAGTATCTGTACAGGACAGAACAAAACCAGTTGGTGTCTCTAGCCATTGCCAAGAGCAAACCGAAGAATGGAGTAGCACACGGGATGATAGAGATCAATGGACTGTGCATCTATGTATTTACAAACGAATAAAAGATTAAGTAGACTTATGATTCAAAGACTCTTAAAAAGTCTATTTTCCATATTTGGCAATGGTATCTTGTTCCAAGGAGTTTTGTCTTGTATGGAATGTGTGATAAGAGCTAAAAGATGGTTATATTTAGGTAAGACAGAAGAAGAATAAGAGCGCAATATTAGGAGGTGTGCATGCATAGTGATATGTTTATTTTTGGATTTCTATTTGTTTCTATGAAGGCTAGGCTTACTTCGTCTTCTTCTCTCCATTCAGTATATCTATTTTCTGTGCTAGAGAAATCGAGCAGTCTTCCATTGCTCTTTTGATAACATTGATGGGCTCATTGCCAATTTTCTCGTTGGGAGAGAATAAACTGGTTGCAGTTGGAGTAACGTACGCATACTTCCCTGGCAGTTTTGATTTGTTTTCCATCTCCAGGAAAGATGCAATGGCTTGGCTGTCCATAGTGTGCTTCATAAAAGTGGTTCCAACCGTAGGAGCCGTCATTTTACTCTCTAGAAGAGCTATATAGCTTCTGGCTATCTCAGTCAAAAAGCACCTGAATGGGTACTTCCCCAGGAAATACTGCATTTCAAACGAAATCAAAGTAATAAATCTATCGATAAAAGTACAGGTTTCATCCATATATTTGGTGTAGATTCTGATTGTTTTTGTTACGTCGCCAAGATTTTTAATATTTGGGTTCTTCACTCCGTCGATACTTAGCAGTGTAATGTTGTGCACATCGTTTAGCTGGTTCTCCAGGTGTGTGTTTAGTGCGCCCTTTCTTCTGGCAGAGCCTCCCATTGCTATATAATTTATTATGTTCGTCAGGAAGAAGTCCAGAGATCTTTCTTCTTTGTTTGTGTAGAAGATCTTTGAGTTCTTCACTTTTCTGACCATCTTAGCCATCGTGTTGATGTACAGCTCGTTGTCTATGTTGGCTGAGTGCTGTATGTTTGCCAAGAATTCCAGAATATACCCCACTGTCACCTCTTCTTCTCTTATTTTATTCTTTCTCAGTCTTTCTCTGTGCTTCTCTATTATGTCCAGAGCTTCTTTGTCTTTTCCGTTGCTCTTAGCACTTTTTTTCAGAGCATTGTAGGAGACCAAGTTGTCCACTGCTCTGTAGATGTTGGCGAGCACTGTCTCCAGCGGATCCACAGCTCCCACTATTCTCCTGTACGTTGCCTTGTACGGGTTTGTAACGATTATTCGCAGCATAAGATCCAGAACATTTCGCATTTCCTCTTCAATTCCTGTTTCTTGAATGGGCTTGTTCATTATTTTCAGAATGAGATCAATGTTCCTCTGAGTCTGTCCAGTGAGCAACCAATTGAATGTGGCTAACAGTGTTTCGTCTGTACACTTGCTGTCAGCCAGTATTTTCTGAGCTTCTAAAAACTCCTGCGGATCATCTGTCATGAGCAAGATGTATCTTAGATTGTCACTTTTCTGCAAGACATTGCTAACTGCACTTGCCAGCTGTTTATTCTTTGCCTTTTCAATGTGCTCTTTGTACTGGAGCTGCAGATTCTTGAGAACTTTTTCCATGTTTTCTACCTTTTTCTTTGCATCGGATACTTCTACTTCTTCAGCTTCATCTTCTCTCTTAGCGTAAGTTTTTTCAAATAGCGCCTTCTCTCCGAGTTTCTTGTAGTTCCACATAATAAGAGAGTTTATATCAATGGACTCTAAAAGCCTTCTTGGATCGCTGCCTGCTTCCTCAACTTTTACCTCGGGAGCTTTTTCTTCAACTTTATCTTCTCCAAATAGCTTAGTTAAAAAGCCAGTGTAGTACGCAATGGTTGCAATAATTAGAACTGCTAGAACAGAAATTGCCACTATAAAGAAATTTCTTTTCATTATTCTTTTCTTTTCATCTGTTTCTTTGCCGTCGTTCATTTTCCCCGTGCTGATTTTGAAAATATTTTATTAGCTAGAGTTTTATTATAATTGGTGCACGCTGAGTAAAATATGAACAACCGACCAATGCAAAGCCCAGCAGAAACCAATATGAAAAAAGAGAGATAGAAAGACAGAGCCAACAATATTTCTCTTAAATAACAGCCACAGAAGTAAGCAGATGCAAAAAGCACCTGAAAGGATCCACACAGGACTAATAAGAGGCAGTACAATGAAGTAAAGTGCCAAATAGAGAACATCCAGTATAAGAACAAATTATTATTCTTACCAATAAAATTACCATAGAAGTATGTACTAAATAGAAATAGCAGGTTTATTCAGCAGAGTATCTTATTTATTCATTCTTCCAGCGCCTACATCTCTCTTAAAGAGCAATCAGTGCTATCATTTCCTAATTGGGGAAGAAGCGTAATCAATTCTGCACAATTTATTAGTAATCTGGTAGAATTTCACACTGCGTTGTTATTCCGTGAGCATCCGCACTGCTGCAGTTATGTTGCTCTCTAGAGCCTGCAGGTTCTCTGCCACCGTCCTTTCTCCCTTTGCTGGGTCTTCGAACTTCATGCGCGTGAGTCTGTAGTATATGTCCTGTGTCTCGTTCTGCAGGAACTCCCATGAAGGAACAACGCGCGTGTCTATTAGCTCTCTGCACTTCGTGTAGTAGTAAACTATTATGTTGCTCATCATCACAGTCTTGTAGAACGGACAGTATTTATCATACGCTGACACTCCGTTCTGCTGCAGGAAGTCTTCCTTGATCACCCTTGCGATGCTCATCTCCAGTTTCTCCAGCTCGCCCAGGGACCCCTTTCCAACGAGCTGCACAATCTCGCTCAGTGACTCTTCCTTCTGCAGGAGCTCTTTGATTGTTCGCATGGACTCTGAGTACGTTGCATTGTACTCGGTGTGGTACGGGAGCAATAGATCGATGTACTTCGAGTAGCTTACATTCCAGTTCACGCTCGGGAAGTGTTTCCTCTGCGCAAGCTTCTTGTCTAGGCCCCAGAAGACCTGCACGATTCCCAGCGTAGCTGATGTCACGGGATCCGAAAAGTCTCCACCCGGGGGGGATACAGCCCCAACAACCGTCACACTCCCTCGCCTGCCCTCACTGCTTAGACACTCGGTGTATCCTGCTCTTTCGTAGAAGAATGCAAGCCTAGCCCCTAAGTACGCAGGATATCCGCTATCTGCAGGCATTTCAGCGAGTCTACCGCTTATCTCTCGAAGGGCTTCAGCCCATCTGGAGGTAGAGTCTGCCATCATGGACACATTGTACCCTTGATCTCTGTAGAACTCTGCAATGGTAATTCCTGTGTAGATAGATGCCTCTCTGGCAGCTACAGGCATATTGGATGTATTTGCTATGAGCACAGTTCTCTTCATGATGGACTCTTCCTTTCCATTGACTGTTACTTTGAGGGTTGGGAACTCTTCGAGGACTTCGCTCATTTCATTCCCTCTTTCTCCACATCCCACATAGACTATTACGTCAGAGTTGGAATACTTCGAGAGAGACTGAGAGATGACTGTCTTGCCGCACCCAAAGGCGCCGGGAATAGCTGCAGTGCCTCCCTGCACGCACGGGAACATGGCATCTAGTAGTCTCTGTCCAGTAAATAGCTGCTGGACAGGTCTTAGCTTCTTCTTTATGGGCCTGGGAGATCTAACTGGCCACACTTGGTACATCCTTTCGTGGCTCACTGTGCTATTTTCGCTGTTCATTTCCAGCAGTATGTGATCAACTGTGTACTCACCTGCTGGAGATATGCTGGTGACTACCCCCCCTGGGCTCGTGGGAGAAACCATGAGCTTAAGGACGAGGAGAGTATTCTCTTGCACAGTTCCAAATACATCGCCAGGGCCCAGAGTGTCACCCACTGCTACAGATGGAACAAATGGCCAATGCTTTGTTCTGTCTAGTGCAGGGGTGGATATTCCGTTGGGGATGTAGAGACTTTTTGTTTGCTCGTATATGTTGCGAAGAGGTCTTTGTATTCCATCGAATATGTTGTTGAGAAGCCCAGGGCCCAGCTCAACGCACAGGGGGTGTCCCAGGCGGAGCACAGGGTCACCTACGCCGAGCCCCGAAGTTTCTTCGTAGACTTGGATTGTGATCTTATCTCCCTCTATTTTAATGACTTCACCGAGCAGTCCCTGGTGCCCTACCTTGGCTAGCTCGTACATTGCGCACCCAAGCATATTTTCTGCTACAACAACAGGCCCGCTGACCATATACACACTGCCTGTCATGTTCTCTTCCTCTCTGCTTAAGGAAAGAAACTCATTTCTGCTCATATTGCAAAAAAAATAAGCAAAATTAATATTTATTCTCAGCAGATGGTCTTATCTAAATGTGGAAATGCACGAAGCAGAGTTTTCTAGTGATTGGAATAGTGCAGGAAATGCAAATTACTCTGTTTCACTGGTGTACGGTGTACTTGTGTGGAGAGGTGTGGTGGTGTAGTAAGCGCACTTCTATGTCTTTTTCTCTGATGGTTATAGCTGTGCTGTGTGTGTGCATTGTAGATATGGCCAGTGGCTGCAATCTCACTAGCACGTATGCCTTGTATATTTCTCTGTAGTCTGTTTGTGTGATTGATCTGTTGATAATAAAAATGATTTTATTTTTTCTCTCTATCTGTCCTATTTCTTTGTTCTTCTGGTCTACTATTGTCACTTCATTCTTTGAAATTGTGTTGCTTCTGTGCTTCCATCCGTCTATGATGAGCACTTCTGTCTCTGGCTCCACTTCTATCGATGCTGCATTTGTTTCCAACAGTGAAATTCCCTTTTTTGTGCTGTACTCTGACAGCATCCGGTGGTAGGAGATCAGCTGGTGCTGCGGAAACTCTCTGAATATTTCGAGCATGAAAGGGTCTGCACGGGCACCTAAGTGCTCATCTACAAATACCACTTTTCCAAGCAATTCTTGTTTACTACTTACTTTTAGAACGTATTCCATTAAAAAATTAAATGCAAAGCCGGCTGGAGTTAAGAATAACCACCGAGAAGAATAAAATTCTGAAAGAGGCACTCGCGGGGCTGGTGGAGGGAATTACTCTAGAAGAAGAGGGCAGCGAGCTTGTGATAAAACTAGAAGAAAGCGGTAGATTGATAAAAAATGCACACATTGTAGTTTCGTACACCAACTATGTACTTAAGACAATAAACGAACTTGCACAGCTCGAAGAAAAAGAAAAACAGAGAAAAGAATAAAGATAAATGCAGCTTAGAGCAGACAGACTAGTATGTATGAGTACTGAAAGGATCTCATAGGAAATATTTTACTATGCATTTGCATCTAATATAAAACATTTTAAACAGATAGAATCGGTAGGTTAAGTAAATGTCTGAAACTTGATCAAAGACTCTTTTATTTATTTTCAACTTTTCTTTTACTGTGCTTAACATAAGACTGAGCTCCTCCTGAAACATTCATCGCATTGAAGATACCCAGAAACTTCTTAGATGTAGTTCCATTCCTACAGCACAGGACAATCTGTCTATTTCTTGCTTTTCTGTTTATCATCTCGTGCGCCTTCTTTGGGTTATCGATTATGTCGCTAAGAGTGTAGAGATACGTACTAGGAATGGGGAGTATTCTCTGCTCTGCCTCTGGCCGTATGTCTACAACAAAGTACAGGGTGCTATATGATAGCACAGCCTCCCACTCTATCTCGGATGGCGAGTGTTTAGCATTCATTTTTTCGTTACTTTTTGATGTATCAATACTATTGGATGAAGAATCTACGGTCTCATTGCTTTCTCCTTCTATACTCTTATTTCCTGCTCCATCTGATTCTTTCTCTTTTGTTTCCATCTTTTCGTGTGCTCTACTGTCTACTTTATCACTCATCTTTATATCAGATATTTTATCTGCTATTTCACTGATCAGACACGACCCTGCCTCTGCATCTATTTCTTCTATCTTTCTGTTCTCTTCTAGTATCATTTTCTTTTTCTCGGAGAGCGTCATCCTGGACAGTGCTTTGCACACCGCGCACTCTTTCTTTATCAGATTGATATTCATGTATTCTCCTTTTAATCCATTGGTGTACACGAAGCTGTCGCCCAGAGACACACCAAGAGTCACTTTCATTGCCTCAGTGGCCATCACTGACCCAACCACCCCGCACATACTTCCTATTATTCCAGCACTAGCACAGCTTCCACTTGAATATTTGGAAATAGAAGGATGGACACATCGGTAGCATATTTTGTTGAGAGTGTAGATGTGTCCTTCCCACCTTAAAGACGATCCGCCTATGTACGGAAGAGATCTTGCTCTGCAGTAGTCACTTAGCAAGTATCGAAGAGATCTGTTGTCACCACAGTCCATCACTAAGTCATACTTTGCGCCAATTTCCCAGATGTTATGCGGGGTTATCTTTGGGTATGTTTTGTACACAGTGGAGGACGAGAGACTGGATAGATACTTGACTGCTTCTTCTGTTTTTGATTGTCCAACGGACATTTCCTTATACAGCACCTGCCTATTTAGGTTTGAGTCTTCAACTGTATCTGAGTCACAGACGCCCAGGTGTCCTACGCCCATTGCAGCCAGGTACATCAGCACAGGGGAACCTAGCCCTCCTGCGCCCACAACCAGAATCCTTGCTTCTTTTAGCTTGTGCTGTCCCTCCAGCCCTATTTCCTTAATTATCATTTGTCTGGAGTACCTGTCTATATAGGAGAGAGGGAGTAAGTTTCTACCATTTTTATTCTTCTCATCTATAGATGCATTTGTAGGCTCTTCATCTGTTTCTTCGTTGCTAATTGGCCTATCCTGTTTCGTATGTAAAATATTTTCCGTTATTAAATTGCTTTTGCGCTCTTTGTTCTCATCATCCGCATGTGTCCTGTTGATCGAGCCATTCTCAGAGGAAAATAGCCTGCACTCTTCGTTTGAGCTGCATGTCTGGGCAGCTTTTCCACTGTGCGCTATTTCTTCTTTTTTCTCTGTCTCTGTTCTCTGCGCCATGCTCTTTCTAAATCTAAATTTCTTGAAAAACTTTATTCATATTGAAATCTTTCGACTCTTTTTATTTGCTCTTTCATTTCTGCTATTTCCTTGGACTCCCAGTTCTGTAGTATTCTGTTTATGTCCTGATCCATCTCCGTCTCTTTAATGAAAATTGCTCTCTTTTCTTTCAACATTCCTTTTTTTATAAACAAATGTTAGAAGAAGAGAAGAGAGAAAATAACAAAATAGAAGAAGGCAACAAAATAAAAGAGCGAACACGCGAGGAAAAAAACAGAACAGCGTACAAAGTAGTCAATGAAACACTTCTGAGAGAGCATGCTTTTTGGTCAAAGGAGCCACTGGGCAAAAAACAAACAGATTTCAAAGATAGTAAAAAAGAACAAACAACAACAAAAGATGCCCAGCAAAAAATAGTGGTAGATGGTGCTCCTGGCAGGGACACATCAGAGCTCTCTCTAAGGACCGTGGAGATACCCAGCGAGCTTTCTTCTGTGACTGCCCTGCTGATGAACCACTACATAGAAGACTCTACAGCCAGCTTTAGCCTCCAGTACTCTCAAGAGTTCCTCAAGTGGCAGCTCAGCTCGCCAAGCGTCTTCCCTGGGTGGAACGTAGGGATGTACGATGGCTCTGAGCTGGTGGGGTTTATATCTGCAGCGGCTATTAACATCAGAATCAAGGAGAGCAGGCCAAAGACAGCGGTTGTTAACTTTCTGTGCATCCACAAGGAGTACAGAAAAAGAAGACTCGCGCCTGTTCTCATCAAGGAAGTAACCAGGAGAGTAAACGAGGAGGGGATCTACACTGCTTTATTTACATCTGGCGAGAAATTGCCATATATTTTTACAAGATCGCGGTACTACCACAAAATACTCAGAAAAGGAGATTTGGTTGAAAGCGGGTTCTGCCACCCCGAAGATGTGTCCAACATAACAAAAGACATGCTATCACAGGACTCGCCAACTGTGCACTTCAGAAAGGCTGCTGACTCTGATCTGCCGCACATATTCGAAATGTACTGCGATAAATACAGTAAAATGGACATATCTGCAAACTACACGTACGAGCAGTTTGAGTACTATGTGTACAACAGGGACAGAGTGTCTGATCTGTTGATAAGTGATGATGGAAGCGAGTTTGTGTCGATTTTTTATCTGGATACAAGATCAGCCAAAACAGATAGCCGGATAAAAACAGCGTATCTCTCGTACCACAATATGAAGAATGGCACAGGGAGTATGCTCGGTCTTGTAGACTACCTGCTGAAAATGGACGAGTGCGATGTGCTCAATGCCCTAGAAATAGAGCACAACACAGAAAGTTTACTGCGCAGTGTGGGATTCATAAAGGGTGACGGAGTGATAAACTACTATCTCTTCAACTGGGACACCGAGATCATCCCTGCATGTAGAAACAGTTTTATCACAAGCTAAGAGAAAAGCACACTCTATCTTTTCCAGGAGTGTGGTAGTGCACTTAAAAATAAATATCTAACTAGTCTATGATACTGCACTCTCTTTACTTTTATTATCTACCAGTTGTCTCCCATCTGCTCCATCTTCTTTTTTCTATTCGTGTAACTCTTGTAGAATAATTTGCCCTAAATGAGAACTAAAATGTCTTACAAATAGAAAATTAAACTTAAGAGGAGTACATTTAATTTTTCTTACACTTTTCTTACACTTTCATTCTCACAAGAACTATTCACAAATTGCCATTAATTAAATACAAGACGAAGAGTTTTACTCAGGAGGCGGCTCTATCCTGTACGCGTACTTCTGCAGGATTGCGTACTCTTCAGATATTCTCTTCATTCTGTAGTTGAACCTTGTTGGCGGCACGTTTGTCTTTGCTTGGTCATTCACCAGCCTTCCATCTACCTCGTACTTTCCTATCCATTTCTCTTTTTCCTCTTTTCCGTAGTTGCTTATCAGCACGCTATTCCTGGCTATCTCGCACTGGTCGCACGATGAGAGCTTCCATATCTGCGAAGCTATGCTGTACTCCTCCATCAGAGGCTCTCGCGTGTAGTGGAACTGCAGCGGGTCGTCTGTAGACAGAGAGACATTCAGCCCTCTCTGAAAATAAAGAGGGAAAGGATTCTTCCTATACTCTATGAATAAAGAGTTATTGCTCAGCGGAGACATTGCTATGCCTATCTGTGCTAGGTAGTACAAATACTGTAGCACTGGAGACTTTCTTAGCTTGACGCCGTGTGCTATGCTCTTTGCAGTCAAAAAGGCATACGCCAGATGGTCAATGTCTCCTGACTCTCCTGCGTGGGGCCTAAATGCAAGCGGGTCTTTCCCCCGGCTGACTCTTATTCTGTTCACCACTGCTGTGTAGTAGTACATGTAGTACATGTAGTAGGAGTACGGGGGATTGTCCATGTGCGCCCACTTTAGGGGATGCCCTTTTTCAAAGTGATTTTTCTTGTCTTTGGCGCTCTCATCATCCACTGAGTCAAAGCCCACGACATTGCAGAGGAATGCGTCTATTATATCCTCTGTGCTGTGTGCTATTTTCTTATCTTTGGATAACATTTCTACTTTGGGACGAAGTGATGACTCTATCAGGGCGCTGAATATGTTGCTCAGAAACTCTGCATAGTTGCTGACATTCCCGTACCCTTTGAACACACCGTACAGCCTGGGGACCTGTATGTACCACCGCACACTCTCATTTTCTATCGAATGTTTATCCACCCATCTGCTGAGAACTTCCAGCTCGTTTTCCTTTTTTCCATACAGAGATATGCCCCACTCGCACTTTAGATACTCTTTTTCTTCTATTTCTTCTATTAGCTCCTGTGTCAGCTCTGCCAGGTATTTTCCGCCGATGTAGTTATCGTGCTTAAGAAAAACCTCTCTGAGAATTGGAGTGCCGTACGGGTTGTATTTAGAGTTGAATCTGTCGAATCTGTGAAATGTCTCCAGATTGGAGTGCGTGCCAAGACTATCCAGACAGAGCGTATCTACTGTTTTATTTATCCCTGAGAAGATGTCAGATAAGGTGTGCTTCTCTCCTGTCTTATCTTTGTACACTACATCTGCTCCAGAATCTCTCAGCTTCTTTTTGATGTATTTTAGCAGCCTTTTTGAGTTCATGCTTGCAGAGTGGTGCAAGTGCGTGTCTGCTTTAACCACCGTGTAGAAATCTTTGTTGGAGAGAGTTTTCTGTTCGTTTTTTTCTTTGCTGTGGAACTGGTTTATGTGCATCTTAAACTGCAGCTCGAGGTGCTCAAGGCGCTGGAAACAGTAGGACTTTAAGGGGCCGTTGTGAATAATGGAAGTCAGCAGGTCAATGTCTCTGTAGTACTCGGAAATCGAAGGAAGCTCTTCAGAGTCGCCCACAAGGCTCCAGTGCGAGTTTGCTTTTTCTGCAGAGAGAGTGCTGGGAACAGGATACCTCTTCCAAGATTTGTTCTGTTTGCTCACGCGTATGTACTTTTTCCTTAGCTCCAGGGCCTGCAGGAGGAGAGGGATCGCACGGGCTAAAGAATCTTCTTCCATGCTTATTAAAATTAATTGCTGGGACTCTATTAGTAAACACAATTAATTAATAGGGAAACACAATCATATCGCCCCATCAAAAACAACTACAAAAATAAAAGACTTATCCTATCTATAAACACTCTCATCTTCTCTGTATCAAGCCAGCTAATCATTAATATAACCTGAGAACATCAGAGAACAATTATCAGATTAAATTGCACTAAAATATTTACAAATAAAACTGTATCTGCGAACAGAGAATAAATTGCAGTGCTAATGTAAGAGTGGATAGTAGAAGAGTGCAGCTGTACTACACTAAAATGAAGATGTACGAACTTGCAGCTTTTATTTATATGTGAAAATCTGAGGAGATTCGTTTGTGAATTGGCAGTGGGTTTGCAAATAAAAGAAACAAGTCTGATGAAAACTGTGTGTCCGTTGAATTTGACAGAGAACAATCCGAGAAAAACCACTAGCCCTCGGCTACATATCCTCAACTCTCTGTTGTATTTTTATTAGATTAAGAATACTTGCAGGTGAATTCTTCAGCAGGTCTCTCAGCAAAGCTTTGTGCGCCCTGTTTGTCTTGCTGTCTTCTGTCTTTATGCTGAAGGGCTGGTCAAGGATCCCAGATAGCATGCAGTAGTACAGCACGGACTTATACGACAGCGAGTAAAAAGGGTAGCAGATGGACATGATTTTGTCTCCCTTGAATGCAGTGGTGTACTGAGCCACCTCCCCAGCAGTTATCATCTTCAGCAGCTCGTACGCCACCTCCACTGAGTACAGGCTAAATAAAACGCAATCGTAGTTATTGTCAAATCCGTACTCTCTCGCAGCCTCCACGCGGCCGCTGTGATTGGTGGCTATGGAGTCAATGTATATGCAGTTGGGTCTGCCCTGTGTGAAGGAGCAATAGTGATACTCCACCATCGATGATTTGCTCTCTCGCGTGAGCTTTTCAACAGCCCTCGAGGCCAAAGTGTCTTCAACCACCACCAGCACTTTTCGCACTCTGTGGCGGGGGGTGTGGGAGAGAGACTTTCTTATCTCGCCAAAGAATCCCTTTTGCAGACGTAGCATAAAGCACTGTGTGCAAAACATGCTCTGTGCAAGGAGGATTGTGGGAGATCCCTTGCAGCACGCGCACACTCTTAATATATCGCTTCTGTCCATTCTTATTTTTTGCGCAAATCGATTTATTTATAGATGGGAGCACTGGAGGGAGTAAAAAAAGATGCATCGATAGAGAAGCTGGGGAGCAGGGCGGAGACAACACTGGAGAGCATCAGGAAGGTGGCAGATGAAATAATCAGACAGAGCCAGACCATCAGCCGGTGGATAACAGAAACATCGCACGAGACGCAGAGACAGTACCAGAGACAGAGACAGCAGGCAATAAGAAAAGAGGGCATGCTGCAGGACACACTCGCTCAGCTAAAGGAGGAGAACAGCAAGCTACTAGAAGAGAGACAGAGGCTCGCACAGGAGACAGAAACAGAGCAGCAGGAGATAAGGGCGATGAAAGCAGAGCAGCAGGCCATAGAAGAAAGACAGAAGCAGGCTCTGAATAAGAAGTGCGCACTGAATGCATCGCTCGTGCAGATATCATCGGAGATAGGGCAGCTGAGAAGAGCGCTAAAGCAGGAGGAAGAAAAAGAGGAGAAAGAAGGAGAGAGAGTGCGGAAAGAGATGGAGTACTACTCAAATCTATTCGGTCTGACTATTAGCACGGTAGAAGGAGGATCAGTTTTATTCCTGTTTAAGATGGAGGAGAGTGAGTACTACTTCCAGATATCCGTGAGTAATGACGTATACAGCATAGTCAAAGCGAGCGCGAATGAAAAGATGTACAAGCCAGCCCTAGAGGAGCTAGAGAGTGGACACGATCTGTTCCTGTTTGTAAAGAGAATGAAAGAAGTATTTGAAGAAGAGCACAGAAGAAAAACAAAGGAGAACTGCGATAAAGCAGAGGTTTAGCCATCAAAATAACGGATAATTAAATCTTTTGGGTTTCTGCACTGTCTAAAAACAGTTCGATAGTATATCTAGGTAATGACTAATCCAGTAGATAATAGGTAATTAACATAAATTAATTGAATATTTAATAGCTCGTGCGTAGATGAATATCAGATGGATAATTTTCTACTCTGGTGATTTTCTATTTAGCTATTTTTGGAGGATTAATGGCAGTGTGTAGAACAGTACTAATAAAGTGAAGGAAGTATACAGGTTTATTTCATAGCAGGTAGTTGGCGTATTTAGGAGACTTGCCGCTCTTTGCCATTATGGTGAATAGGTTCTCTACCACCTTTTTTGTTTGTTCGTTTCTTAGCCTGGCTTTCTGTGCTCTGTCGTCTGTTATTTTTCTCTTTATTGAGCTGTTCTTGAAGGTGTGGGCAGGAGGAAACTTGGGGAAGAACTCGTAGTAGTTCTGGGGATAGTCTACGTACGTGCAGGCATCACTTGCAAACTCGCAGTCTGCGGCATCTTCTGTCTCCTGCATTACTATCTTAATCGGGTCTATCTTTTTGCTCGTATTGTATAGGTTTAATAAGTCACCAAGAGAAACTCCATTGTAGCTGCTATTCGTAGCACTGTGGTTATTTCTGTGGTGTTTGCTCTCTTGGCGGGTGCTTTGGTCAAGATTCTGGCTGTTTATTTCCTGTATGATGATTGAAGCGTCCACAAGAGTGGGAAGTGTTCTTCTGCTCATTTCAGCCTGTCTCTTCAGCCTATTTCCTGTGTAGACTGTGTAGTTTAGCAATGCTTCTGTGAGAATATCCATCCCCTTGCTTTCCACGGAGGTAAATCCTTCTTCCTTCAGTATGGACGCTACTGCTGCTTTCATTGCTTCCTTTATACTCTCCATGTGTGAATATTTTTTATGTTTGAAAAAGTTAATTCGATTGCACTATTAGAGAGAGTTGGAATGCACTCGCACATACAGAGTCTGGGGATTGACAGAATAGAAGACACCCAGCAGCAGAAAAACGGAGGAAAAGACAGTATCTCATCCCTCAGCTGCTCAGGGCTCGTGGGAAGACACCAGGAGAGAAAGACGCTCTTTCTTCTATCTAAGCTAGTAGAACAGCACAAAAGCAGAACTATCTTGATCACAGGCCCATCAGGCTCTGGGAAGTCTGCGCTGGAATACGCACTGACCCAAGACCTAAAAAGGAAAGGAATTCCCTCAAAGACCATTTCAGCGAGCGAAATATTTTCATCATCGCTCAGTAAGACAGAGTCTTTAACACAGGCCATCCGAGAGTCTCTGGGCATTCGTGTGCAGGAGACGAGTAAAGTACTGGAGGGAGAAGTAGTGGAGATAATCACAGATCGAGAAAGAGCTACATCAGGCAGAGTTATAATGAAGACAACAGAGGTAGAGGCTGCATACACATTCGGAGCAGGAATAATGCAGGAAATGCACTCGGAAAGAGTTGAGGTTGGAGACATCATCTCAGTGAACAAGTCAACAGGCACTGTAAAAAGAAAGGGAAGATCGCTCAGCCAGTCGCGAGACTTTGAGGCTATCGGAGGAGCTGGGCAGTATCTCCCCTGTCCCGATGGAGAAATACTAAGAAACCAGGTAAATGTGCACACAGTTACATTCCATGAGATAGATATACTAAATAGCACACAGAACACTCTGCGCACGACGAAAGGAGAAATAGCGGTAGAGATCAGAGAGGCTGTAAACAACACAATGAAAGAGTGGATAGAAGAGGGAAGAGGCGAGCTTATCACAGGAGTGCTGTTCATTAACGAGTCAGAGCTCCTTGATGCAGAGTGCTATTCGTATCTTAATACTCTGTCAGAGGTATCTACATCGCCTGTGATTATGCTAAGCAGCAGCAAAGAAGAGTGTGCTGTTCGGGGGAGCAATGAAATGTGTAAGTATGGAATGCCTGCTGACTTTTACTCAAGGGTGCTGGAGATACGGCTTGGTGAATACACGGAAGAAGAGATAAAAGAGATCGTAAGAATAAGAGTGAAAGAAGAGTCAGACAAGATCACAGAAGAAGGAATAGAAGAAGTAAGCAAGCTGGCAATAGAGCACGGTCTGAGGTACGCCTTTAATATGCTATCGGTCCTGGATGTATATTCTGAGCGCGTAGGAAAAGAGATAGGAAAGAAAGAAGTGGAAGAAGTATCGATAATATTCCCTGTAGAAGAAAGCCTGGCATCTTAATTAGTGGTCTAAACATAATAATAAACAGTACTTAGTCTACTCTACACACTACAACCACACATTATAACTGCTACTTTTTGTGATGTGCTCTATTGGGTACATCTTATCTTTTAATCTTGCTGTATTTATACTTATTGACCAGTGTGCAATATCTCCTGTGATGGTTAGCTGATTGCAGGAGCGCAGGATATATTTCTTTCTTCTATTTTATTTTAATGGAGGCTGTTAGCAATGAAGCTCTAACAGAGAAATACAGACCACAGCTCTTGCGCGATCTAGTTGGGAACTCGTACATAACGTATGCCCTGCAGGCAATAGTGAACTCTGGGAACATTCCGCACTTTTTGTTCTTTGGCCCGCCTGGGACTGGGAAGACCACAGCAGCAAAGGCTATATGCAGAGAAGTTCTGAAGAAAATAGACGGGAATGTGATGGAGCTGAACGCATCGGACGAAAGAGGTATTTCGGTGGTGCGAGACAAGATCAAAGTATTTGCATCGACGTTCGGGATATCTTCAAAGATGAAAATAGTTGTTTTGGATGAAGCCGACTCGATGACAAAAGACGCACAAAATGCTCTTCGCAGAATCATTGAGATATACTCTAAAAGTGTGCGCTTCATCATCATATGCAACTACTCCACCAAGATCATCCCGGCAATTAAGTCAAGGTGTGCACCGTTCCGGTTTGGTCCTGTCAAGGTCTCTGAAATGAAAGAGTTCATCAGGAAGATAGTCCAGAACGAGAGCATAGAGAGCACAGAGAAAGGGATATTGAGAGTGTGCGAGCTTGCATACGGTGATCTTAGAAAGGCTGTGAACATGCTGAACAGTCTGATGATCACAAAAGAGCCCAAGATTACCACAGAAAGAGTAAACGAGTACTACAAAGAAGTAAAAAAAGAAGAAATAAAATCTCTCTTTGAAAAGATGTACTCCAGTGGGTTTAAAGAGGTAAAAACAGAGATAACAAAGATAAAAAGAGAGTACGGCCTCGGGCTCAAGGAGATAGTGAATGAAATAGCAGAGATCATAAAGAATGAAGAAAAAGAGAACATCCTAGAAGAAATGGTGCACCTGTCAGAGATAGAGTACCGGATGGCAAAGGGAGCAGCAGAGGAAGTGCAAGAAAATGCGCTTATATCCTACTTCACGTGCAAAGAATAAAGATAAAGTATGAAAATAAAACCAGCTCAGGTGGCATAAAAGCAGCTAGGTTTACAGAGATGGCCTTAAAATCAAAACAGAAGTGTTAATAAACTATCTTGCTATAAAAACAGTGTAATTTCTATGTTGAGCATATCTAAACAATAAAAGAACAGTCTGAATAAATAAAGTGTTATTTTTAATAAAATTATTCTTATTTTCTTTTGCATACTGTAGCTATCCAAGATGTGTAAATATTTTAATTAATCCAAATTGAATTCTGTTTATTTTTAAGTAAATATACAGTTATAAACAGTTAGAGCTAACATACGATGAATAGTCCGAGAAAAATCAGTTTAAATTCTATCCTATCTACATACTCAATACTGCACTGCTGCAAATAATATACTACAATAAAGCATTGGGTATATGTGTAGTAATTTTCATAGTTTTTATTTCCAAGGAAGAATGAGAGAGAGCGCCCTTAGATACATACAAAACAATCTTGTTTGGCTTACAGCAGGAGTAGCCCTGCGGCAGATGTCTGCAAGCAGTTGCATGTCTAGATATTCATACTACGACATGGAAGAGGTGGAAGAGTACTTCAAGGGAAACACTCTAGCTGATCAGCCCAGCATTATGAACGGAATAGCATACAGGCTAATAACTCTTTTCTGCACCAGATTCAAAGCCAGCACTGTAGTCTATGCCATTACAATGCTTAGTGACTTCATCTGTGGGTACCTGTTGGATAATTCTGCGTACTTTTTTGTATCCTCAGTGCTCCCAAGCGATCTAGTCTCTGCTGTTTGCCTGGTGTTTGTGTTCTACCACAAAAATCTGTTCAGAAGATTTATCGGTCTTTTTCTTCTCCTCGTGTGTTTAGAAAGCACGCACTACAGATGTGAGCCAGGGATAAATGTGTATTGGTACATAAACATGCAGATGTTCGACGAGTATAAGACTTTGTTCAACGAGCTATTTCAGACCACACACTACTTTCTCCTTACTATGTCAACACTGAGCAAGCTAGCAAGCACTAAGATCTATCTGATAATGACCTTTAAAGACATGGGATACAGAGGATACCTCCTCGTGTGGTGCATAATGGAAAAAGAGTGCAATAAAAGCAAGCTTTTTAACCTGTGCAGAGGACTCGCTACAGTAGGCGCAGCAATAGATAGCATTGTGTGGTACATGCTGGTCTATGGAGGCGTAGGAAATATGAACTTTCTTTGCTGGAGTAACGTAATAACAATAGTAGCAACAGGCCTAGCTGTTCTAGCACAGGAGTATAAGGAGCAAAGACACTTAGAAAAAGCAGAAAAAATGCGTATAGAAAGTAGCAATGAAGAGTGTAAGAAAAAAGACAATCATTTACTAAAGAGAGACTAGCCAGAGGAAGATACGCCCATAATTGACCAGAAGGCAACAGATGCTCTCCTGCACGAAGACTCAGAGGAGTCGTCTGCTCTAATAATGGTGGCTGGGAAGGGGAGTGCAGGCGGTGCAGAGCTTTTTCCCAAAAGTAGGTAGAAAACAGGAATGTACTTCATGCGGTCAGATAGAGCAGAGGGCCAGTCATTGAACTGCCAGGAAGACCCATCAGAAAAAACAGCTGCAATACGGTCAACTGAGTCCACATCAGAGGGATTGTGAATGAGCGTGAATGATCTATCCCCAAAAGTTACCGAATTGTGCAGAGGTTCAACCCCGTTGAATAGAACAGCTCTGATATCCGAGTCATCCCGAGGGACCAGAATGCACTGTACACCCGTGGGCTGCGCTTTTTTCAAGTCAGAGTATGCTGCTGCAATTCGAGAAATGTTAATGGGGTGTATGCGAGACGGCTTTATCACTGTTATTTTATCCAGCGGCAGAGGAGACAGAAGGTCTTTAAGGATCCTTTCTCTGTCTAAAAATGAAACAGGATCAATCTGCACATTCCTGCACTGTGCGATGTAGTCACCATGGTCTAGCGACCGAGTGTTATGAAGATAGGAGATAGAGGCAAGAGAATACGGCTGGTCTCTGGAATTTGTGTACGTTGTTTTGGTTGATGAGGGGTAAGATTTGCTGCCTATTAAGACAAAGTCAGAGTTGATGGCGATGGGGCCGTCTAGAATTATTTGCTTTCTGAGGGCAAGTGTGGGATTGTCCGTCATAATAATTAAGAAAAAGAAAAAAGAAAAAAGATGAAGCATCAGACTAAAATAAAAAGATCAGAAAAACAGCAGTAAAAGTGCACAGAGTAAAAAAGTTAAAGTCTACACATTCCAAGAATGCACGCATTTAGATTAAATAATTCTTACAGATAAATGCTACTTGAACAGATTAGATCTGCAATACTCCAGGAATATTAGCACTATAAGCTTACTAGTTAGCGACTCTCTGTGCCTATTACAGTTCTACTTTGGAGAAGTTTTAGCATCTATTAATAAATTCTTAATAAGTCTCAGTGTATATTTGACTAAAAGCCACCTATGATAGACTAACTGCGGATAAAAGATGGGAATATATCTTCAGATCAAATAGTAGTAAAATAGAAATAAATTGTCCTTGTCTTACCAATCACTCGTATAAAATTGCTACACTATTTTTATGAGACTATTCATAAGAAAGAGGGTAGAATAGATAATAGAAGTAAAACTCGGCAAATGCTCATCAATACCAGTAAATGTTTTATTAATCAGTGCCCACCATATGCCAGGCACAGCTGATTACCTCCATCTACCTCCACAATTAATCCTGCAGCCTAAGCATCCCAGACACGTCAGTTGTATGCTTTATCCAGTTCTCGTCTGCTTCTGATGCCAGGCTCTTTACCAGCACACTTGACACTGCGGTTTTTCCATACTTGCAGAGATACTTAACAGATGCACTGGCCCTGTGCGACTCTGTTGTGTGCACGGTAATTGAGGCATTCCCTGCTACGCTCCCTAGGTTCCAGCTGAGTGTTCTGTTCCCTGCGCTGTACTCGTACGTTCCCTCTTTGCACTCTACGCTGATATTACCCACAGCATAGTCGAATGAAAGAGATGTACTAAATGAGTCAGGAAGCTTTCCAGACGTAAAGCACACGAGTATCTCAATGGTCTTAGTGTCTACCAATATAGCTTTAACTACTGGGAGATCGCTAATACTTCCCGTGTACGTATAGGTCATTATAGTGGCACTTTTAGAGGGGCATATGAGGAGTGTAGTAATTCCTTCTCTCTCTCTGCAGACAGATGGATCGTACTGTATGTGGCGAAGACCGCCCAGGGACCTAGAGTCAATTTTTAGCGACATTTGGCCAACATCCTCTGATGGCCTCGTGGATATCTGGCCGTAGCACGTGCTGATGGTCCTTCCATGGGAGAGCCTAAGAAACACTTTATCAGTGACTTCAACAAACACCTTTTTCTTTGGAGATAAGCCAGGCGTAGATGCAAGCGCGCCGATAGGTCTCTTCCTGGGAATGGGGAATGCAGGATTCCTAGAGGACAGATAGTTATCAATGTATGCATATATTGTAGCATGTTTCTTGAGAAGAAGGCTGTCTGAGTCAATTGCCAGGTCAGATACCATGGAGTGCAGAATGTGTTTAGCAATTAGCTGGTCTTCTGCGTTGAGGAATATCCCTTTGAAGACAAGAGACCCAAGCTTTTCAGAAAGAGAGAATGATGGGGTTTTCTTCCCTGCTCCATCAATCAACGGGTTTATGTACGAAAGTAGAGTAAGGCCATCTTTAGTTTCAATCTCCACCTTTGAAAGCATTTTTAATGTTTATCCAAAGACCACATGAAATATGAAGATCTATTTATTTATTGTGGATTGTAGGCCACTGGGCCCCCCAAAGCTAAGGCTAAGAGCAGCCTATACCCTTGCTATTTATGCTGTGTATACTATCTATGTACTAAAGCGATTGTGCATATATTTTATACTATACTACACCGTAAATAGAGAGTAATTATAATTTATTCCAATTATGGCAAAGTTGTCAGTTGGCTGCTCTTTTATTTTTCATTCGGTGTATAGTACCATTGCTGCAGCTATAAATGCCTCAATGTGGAACAGGTCTCTGGTTCCTGCGCCCATTCTGGCTGAATACTTTGAAGCTATCTCTGTGATGGCCATAGCTACATTCACTCTTTTCTCTTTTCTAAGGAGACTCTCCATAATTCCTCCAAGTACGTACGAAGCAGGCATGTAATTTGCAAGTATCTCGTAGAGCTTTGCTCTTATTTTTATAAGAGTTGCTATTCCCGGACTTTTTATTATGTCTGAAGAGATGGAGTGAATTGCTGCGTCCCATGGGGCTGTTTTTATAGGCTCCTTATGAATCGACAGCTCGAGAAGAGACAAAGCTATTCTGACATTCCCTTTAGAAGCACTGACTATCTGCGAAGTTACTTCGGGAGATATTCTATCTACCTCCTCGCTAGCACACACTTTGTCTATTATCTTAAGAAGATCAGAATCCGTTGGGGCAGGCACTCGGCAGATAAGGAATCGGCTTTTGAAGGCAGGAATGAAATGAGATAGTGATGTAGTTAGAACGACTAGTCTAAAGTTAGAAGCTCCTTTCTCCAGAATGCGACGGAGCGCCATCTGGGCTCCAGTGCTCAGAAGATGCCCGTCTGTGATAAGGAGTATCTTGGGAGCACTCGTTGTCTGCTGGTTACTGCTGTTTACATTCTCTTGCATCGCCAGGTTATTGGCGCTTAGCAAACTTTTTATTGATTTTGTAGCCGAGATATCAGATGCCACTTTTTGCAGGACTTTTTTGTCGTACGATCCCAGCCCTTCCATTCTTATCTCAAGGACCTCTTTGCTCTCAAGGAACTCCACTTCGATGGACTTAGAGGGAGACACTTCGTATGTGGAGGTGTAGGAGAAAAAGACAGGGGAGCTTTGAAAAGCGTCCTTTATAAAAGCAGAGAAAAGTGTTCTTTTGCCAGCGCCCTCAGGCCCCACCAGAATAAGATTGGAGGCTGATTCAAGCGGCAGGTCAGCAAGGATCTGTGCTGCGGGCACTCTTCTCAGTGCTGCGAGCGAGTCCGGTCTGTATTTATCCTGTATCATTGCAAAAAGAAAAAGAAAAAGAGCTGCCATTTTATTTACAGCGAACCATCTATTATTCTCACTAAGCACTAAGCTAGCAGATATGATACCAAAAGAGTAATGTTAATGCGTAATAATAAAAAGACAGCACATAGCCTATCTATAATATAGCATAAAATCTATTTATACTCTTTCTTTTTTCTTGGCCATATGGATCATAGCTGTGCAAGTAGTAGACTGGAGAATAGATAAAAGTGCCATAGATAGATACAAATCAGAGAGTACAGCGTGAGAAATGGTGCAATAGTGAAGTAGAAAGTAAAGTGTAGATTAAAAGTAATAGAGGATAGTATATTCTAATTTAGTCAGAGCAGGGAGTATGTGCAAGTGTCTAATTAACTGTTTCGTCTGTTGCCAGCACAGCGGATGCTCTGATAATGAGCTTTCCAAGGATCTCTTTGTCTCTTCGCACAATCTCCCCAAGAGACTCCATGTATGCCTGTGCATTGAGCAGAGCATCAAGTGTTTTGCGCACAAACAGAGGCCTGGGAGGAGGGGCACAGCTCTTCTCCAGCAGCCTTGCTAGGATGTGCTCTTTGAAGGAGATATATCCAGGCTGTGCAAATAGGCTTAGTATGATGTCGTAGTAGATGCGCGATGAGTCAGGCTGGTTCGTAAGAGAGTCCACTAAAATGTGCGAGAGCAGCTCTTCATTTTCTGTAACTTCCAGCAGATCATAGTTCTTTTTCTGCAGCTCTTCGTTCACCTGTATCAGAAGACTGTAGTACTCTGTGTTGAGAATGAGGTGCTTATGCTGCAAAAGCAGCTCCATGTACGATGGATGTCTCTGCAGAGACCACACACTCCGCAGCAGAACAACAGATGGGCTGATGGGCACCATAAGAAGAGCAAGGTACGAATAGTGGTTGTAGAAGTTTGGGGCGTACTTCTTCAGCTGGAGCACAAAGGCTGAGCATGCATACACCAGGGCACTGTGCGAGCTGGAAAGAGGCATTGCTCGAAGTGCCTGGTATGTCCACTGCAGGATGTGCACTCCTCTGTACGCATTTCGCAGGAACATATTCCGAATAATGTAGTCCGAGAATAAAAGCTCAACGAATCCCGAGAGAAAGAACCCCAGAGAAGTTGGTCTCATCGTAGACAAGAAGTCAAAGATAACATCCTCCAGGGATATGGATATGTTCTCCAGAAGAACCTGCAGCAGTCTGATGAACAGAGCCTGTATCTGGTAGTAGTGAATATCTACGCCATCCAGGAATATTTCAGAGAGAATAGAGAGACACTCAGAGAGTGTTTCAGGCGTAGTAGCTAGATTGGCTATTAGCAGAGCTAGGGACTCTATCTTCAGGTATTTAATGGGTGAGCACTCCTTGCGCGCTCTGAGGTAGCACTCAACAGCTGCTGAGAATGCAGACTTAAGGAACTCCTGCATGTCGTATGGGCTGCTTGTTCTTTCTCTGATGGAGGACATGATGCCATCCAGCGCCATTGTTCTTTCGGGGCCAAAAACCTTGCAAAAGTACAGATCTGTCCAGGCATCGAAGAGCTCTTTTTCTGCGCCATCTTTCTTAGTGAGGAATATGCGCTTAGCTATTTCTTTCAGCAAAGTTTTGATTCTCTCGTCAGACGGCCCTTTAGCTGTCTTGGAGATGGCTTCAATGGTGCAGATGTAGTCAAACGGATTGCCAATGGGCATATCGGTGATAATGCAGTTACGCAGCAGCTCAACAGCAAACTTCATTCTTTGGTTGTTTCTGATAAGAGTGCTTCCCAGGTGCACGTCATACTCCAGCACGTTCATGATCTTGTGGTCAAGCATCTGTGCAATGACCTTTGGGTTGAACTTTCTCTCGTCCTCTGCGTATATTAGCCAGGAAGACACTTCGCGCATGGAGCTATACGACAGCCTGCATATTTTGTACACTGTCTGTATGCAAACTGTTCTTGCCCATCGGTTGCTAAGCATGAAAATACTCCCTATGATGTTTTGGCAAAAGAAGAGACACGCCATCTCATTAGCGCCTGCTGAGACAAAGTTGAGAATTGCATGCATGCTCTCCAGCAGCTCAATGGCCAGCTTAGACTTCACGTTCTCTTCTGCTACTTTCTCTATTTCGTGCAGGATCTTCTGCGCGTCTTCCCACTTCTTCTGTGCTGATGAGCCTGTGAAAGGCCCCAGGGCCTCTGCATTCTCTCTGTTCTTGTAGTTGATCGATGAAAGATATGCGCATATCTCGTGGTACTCTCCGACTGTTATTGTCTGGATCTCTTCTGCTGTGATGTAGCTTGGCTTTGTGTACGGTTTTGGAAGGTAGAGAGACACTTTGTGCTTGGGGATGGGGCAGGGCGCAAGCTGTGCTATTTCCTCCCGCAGTTCTTCTATTTTCACCTGCAGTCCAGCTGCCACTCTCTCTCTTGAGATGTACTCCACAACACCAAGGCATATGGGAAGATTCTTATCAACAATATTCGAGATTTTCTCGTTGCTCAAAGTGTCTTCCATCCCAGCTAGCCGCATAAAGTGTGCGATGTTATTCGCTGCACTGGCTTTGATGGGCCCTGCGGTGGATGCCTTGGCGAGTGATGCAGTTAGCTCGTACACCATATTAGTGTACGCCTCAACGGCCAATGAGGGGTTCCCTGGGAAGTCTTTCTTCACAGCCTCTGATGCTGCCCTGCTGCTGATGCTGAATATCTTATCTACGATCAGGTAGGGGACATCTCTTACTGCTAGATCAAGGCCCATCACTGCAATGTGTGCTAGCATGCTCCTTATTCCCTCTAGCTCTATGTAGTTGGCTATGCCTGAGGCCTTTCTTTTTGCGCCCAGCCTTTTCTCCTGCACTGAAATGTCTGGATACACGTCCTCTATCGGCAATTCTATTTTGGAGAAACATATTTCTATTTCAAGCGATATCAGGTCGCTTCCTTCTGCTAGGAAGTGTATTTCAGACAGAACACGCAGAATGGACATTACATACGGGCTGTGCTTCCCTAGTATGGTGCTGTTTGTGCACTCTTCGATGTACTTGCACACAAATACCACCGCAGAGTATATGTACTCTTTTCCTGCGCTTTCCACCAGGTAGTCTTTTACGTTGAACTGGCTGTAGAGGATGGGCACTCTGTCTGTGAATGTAAGCATTCCCAGATACGTTCCTATGACTCTGAGACAGGGAGCCTTATCGGACTTATCTACCTCTGTGTGTCTGTCCACATACGCTCGCAGGATGGTGCAGAAGAGGTCTCTTACTCTGAGGTAGAGAGTGTCTGAGTAGTCTAGAATGAACTGCACGTACAGCCTCAGATGGTTGGTCTCTTTAAAGACTCTTTTAGCGATGATATACCTGGCTAGATCTGTTTCTGAGGGCTTCAGGGCTTTGATCGACTCAGTTACGCTCTGAATGTTGGTCGAGGTGAGCATGTTAAAAGATTTCTGCCAGTTTGGGTGCACTTCTGCTTTTCCAAGTATTTCCAGCACAAGATCTGCAAAGGCCAAGGGCCCGTCAGTCTCTTCCTTTGAGCTGAGCTCCTGGATGCTTAGATGCCCTCGAATGAAGGTGTACAAAGACTTGTTGGCTGCATACACCTGGGGCATCCTCGAGTACTCCTGTGCATAGAAGGGATACTTCTCTAGAACATCACCAAAGGCTTCCAGACACTTCAGAGCGAACTTGAACTTGTTGCTGCACGGGTCTTCTCTGAGGAACATGGCCACTGACCGCATGGCTGACTTTGTTCTTTTGCTGGGGAGTATTTCGTACTTGATCATTCTCCCGTAGAACAGTGCCATGGACAGAACTTCATGGATGGCCAGTCTGTCGAGCATGTTGTACTTTAGCTCCATCTCGTTCAGAATGTACTCAAACAGCTCGGTGTCGTACGAGTTCTTGTTCGAGGATATCTGTGTCATGTACACTATTGCGTCGGAGTTGGCGGTGCGCCCTGATATTACGTTGTGCAGAAACTCGCTTGCCTGCTGTTTGAAGGTTGTTCTTTTGACCAAACACGTGCGTATTTCAGGAATAAGTACGCTTTTCAACTTAGACAGGAGCATGTTTGTGCTTTTTGATAGACTCTTTGCCAGGCCCTCCAGGGAGATACATGTGGACAGGATAATATCCACTGTCAGGGGGTGTATGCTGATTCCCTTTGTGGACCCTTTGCCGTACCTAAATATCATGTGCTGTATGAAGCTGTTGATGAAGTCATCGTTAGGCTGCATGCATAGAATCACACTGAGGTCAATCACCTCCCTCGAGATGGCTAGAAGAATGAGGTCCAGGGAGAACTCCAGCGGCTCGAGCTCCCTGAGGATGTATGGGAGGATCTTGCACTCCAGGCACGCAGACAGGCACTCGTCCAGAGAGAAGGAAGAGAGATGCAGCTTCTCCATTGTGGCAAGGGTTAGCTTGGGCTTCTTTTCGAATATCTTCCGCAGAATGAAGTGGCTTCTTTCATTTGACAGCAGACAGTACGAGAAAGTGTCGATGAAAAGCCTGTCGTACTTCTGGCAGTTACGGACAAGACCTAAACACACGAGCTCAGGAACTGATGTGATTCCGTGGCTGAGAATGGACAGGCCGTCTTCTGTGTCTAGCTCTCCTACTAGCGAGAATATTTCATCGCAGTTGTAGTTTGACATGGCCATTTCCTTGATGCTGTGCGTGTACTCAGACGTGTCTTTGTTTCTGTCTATCAGCGGAGAAACAGCGCTGCGATAGATAAGAGTCATGTCAGGAGGAAGCGATAGGAGATGGAAGAGAAATATCGCCTGTGCCTTTGCATTGCTCCATCTTTTGAGCACTTTCTTGTACGGATAGACCTCGTTTGTCACTTTTTTCCATATTTCCAGATAGGAAGAGGCTTCCTTTTTCGAAGCCACGAGGAAGTCATTGCTGTCTATTTGGATAAGGATGTCTTTTGGGTTCTCCATCTGAAGAAGCGTCTTCACAAAAAGATCCTTCTCCTTTTGGTCTTTTCTTAGAACAACTTTCAGTCTGTCAAAGACGTCTCTGTTTGTTACCAAGATGCTGCTAGAGAAATTCCTATCCCTTTCTTGTGGGCTTTTGTTTTGCTCTTTCCACATACAATAAAATTAAAATTAAAGAAGAATTTATAGATAATGGAAGAATGGAATTGTATTTGCATGCTGAAGAGACCACAAAGTTTACTGCTGCCCGGTTAGCAATCTACTGCATATCCTCTCTGCATTAAACAGATACACTATTTATATTGGATAGAGTTTTGTTTATATACTCTACCAAAGTAATATGTGTACACTTATTTATTTAGAACATAGCTGTAACTATTTATTATTATGTATGTGTTTTATTAGTTTATCTATTTATTATTGGCAAGATATACACTGGATATTCTCGGGTTATATTGAGGTGTATACGGCACTGGTGTGACAGTTCTGCATCTGCACATCTTTTATTCTATACCCTGAGCATCACACTCTTTTGCAGCAAATAAGGCATCTGCTGCTGCCTGTGCTGTGGTGTAGGCATCTGTCAGAGCTCCCTGGCCCTTAGTTTTAGCCCAGCCTATTTCATACACAGGAACAGTAACTCCTTTAAGGATACCGCTAAAGTCTTTTGGTTTGTACCCTATTGCTGATACAATGCCATCGCACTCCCTTGTTCTCAGCTGTCCTCTATCGTCTATTGTTGTCAGCTCGTACCTCGTAGAAGGCTCGGTAATTTTCAGTGTGCTTTTGCTAGTTTTACTGCCATTGTAATCATTTTCACCTTTTTTCATGTTTTTTTTGTTTTCAGTACCACCATAATTATTGCTCTTATTTTCCTTGCTATTCTCTGTTCTTTTGCTGTGATCCACCAGCTCAGCACTAGTGCGACTGGTTTTCTTTGTGATCCAGATGGGGCTCTCCCAGAATGTAAACTTCATCTTTTTTTGTAGAGTGCTGTGCTCTGTGTGCTCTGGATCTTTCTTCATTAGCATTTGACCCCTTCGAATTAGCGGCCGGGGCACATTTGTTCCTCTTTCTGCAAACCATCTTTTTGCTCTCTCTGATATTTCCACAGATGATGGATACTCCAATAGCTCAGAGAGCACAGGGTTTGTGAACTTTGCTTCCTCTGGTGAGTGTCTTCCTATCACCTCAACCTCTCTCACTTCTATCCCCTCCAGCGAGGAGCTGTGCTTCTTCATCTCTTCTGAGTGCAGGAGCATTCTCGATATATCCAGTGCTACATTCCCGTTTCCTATGACTGCTATTCTGCCCTTTGCTATCACTGGCTTGCTATCTGCAATGTGCCGCACTATCTTATCAGCTGGCACTGCGTACTTCTGTCCTGCTATGTCTATGTGCCGTACATCAGCACCAGATGCAATTACTATGGCGCTGTATGCATGCTCTTTATTTTTCAGGTCTACGTCCTTTCCGACCTCTACACCCGTGAACAAATTTACTTGCGGGCTCTTAAACACTTTCTCCAGAATGGGAATAGTTTCTCGAATTGCCCTCTGGTCTGGTGCTACGCCCTTTGCTAGGTACCCCAGTAGCATTGAGCTCTTTTCGAATACGTCAAAAACAGCGGACTTACTTCTGGCCAGAGACTCTTTGATAAAATACGCGGCAGCGGGGCCAGCGCCAACTACACAAATCTTCATTTTTTTTAAAGTATGCAAGAAGAAAATGCTCTCCCCATTTCAGCGCTCTTTGAAAAGGGATACATCGAATACCTTGGGCTCTTTCTGATGTTCTTTGGGGGCTTGTGGACTGTTCTTTCGGTTCTAGAGGCTCTGCAGGTGGTTTCATTTGGCGTGGCGCTCTTTGACAGAATTGCAGCTATTGCAGTGTATATACTCCTGGGCATCTACGCTACTTCTTATCTATCGTCTCGAAAGGTGCTGAACTCAATCAGAGAGCAACAGCAGAAAAAGGAGCACTAACAGCAGATAAAAAAGCGTAAAAACACCCTTTATGCCCCTTGTCAGGCACCTTCATTCAGAGAGGATGTCTGCACAGAAAATAAGGGAAAGTGTAGCCATAGGTTAGCAAATATACGCTAGTAATCTAGTTAACTAAATAGCAATTTATTCATACTCTAGTTGTAAATATTCTTCTACTATCCATCTCGTGTCTGCTAGTTATTTCATAGCCTCTTCCACTGCTTTTCTGACTGCTTTCAAGTCTCCCTGCACCGATCCCATGAATCTGGGAGACTTCCCTCCCATCTTCACCGAGCTCATTGGCTCTAGCGCCTTTTTCATTCTTTCCACGCCATCACTCACCCATCCGTTTATTATTATCTCTTGCTCTGATTCGTATATGATAGCTCCCTCTCTTTTTTCTTTGTCAAATATCTGGACCATTGGCCCGACCATCTTATTCACCTGCTGCGCTGTTGTTCCTGGGAATGGTGCGCACTCAAAGAGGAGTCCGCTGTTTTTACCATCTGTTTGCCCGATAAGACTTTTCATTCTGTTTGTTTCTGCTTCGAAGTGTTTCTTTCTTTCCTTTATCTGCTGCTTCTGCACTTCTTCAAGTGCTTCTCTGAGCTGGCTGGCCTCTACCAGAGGGATATTTACTTCATCTAGCCTATCTCTTATCTGCTGCACTGTTTCAGGTAGTATTTTGATCTTCAGCAGGTCTCTTGCTGTTTCCTCTACCTCTGCTCCTTTTTCTCCGCAGAGTGCGCTGATTCTTCTTACTCCTCTTGATATACTGGCTTCTGTCATTATTCTTACCCTTCCTATCTCTCCCGTGTTAGCAACATGAGATCCTCCGCATAGCTCTACCGAGCTATTTTCTGATATGTTCTCTGTGTTTCCTTTATTTTCCACTTTCACAACACGCACGGTCTTTGGATACTCTTCGTCCTTCATGTGTCTTATTCCCTCTATCTTAACGGCCTCTGTGTACGGCATGTACTCTACCACCACTGCTTCTTTGTTCTCTACTATTTTGTTAATTGTTTTCTCAACCAGGGATATTTCTTTTTTGGTCAGAGGCTGGGCCCAGTGGAAGTCAAAGCGCAGTGCGTCTTCACTCACCAGACTCCCGCACTGCTTTATCTCCTGCGTATCCCCCGGCCTGGAGAGAACCTTTGTCAGAGCATAGTTCAGGAGATGTGTTGCCGTGTGCGCATGTGCTAGCTTATTCCTTCTGCTCTTGTCTACTTCGCATATGGCATTGTCTGATATTCTTCCCTCCATTCTTCCTATATGCATTACATACCTTCCGTACTTCTTAGTGTCGCTTACTGTGAGCATTCCAACTGTCTTACCCTCCGCTATTCCGCTGCTGTCTTTTATACTCATACCAGACACTTCACTGTGGAGGCCATCTTTCTCTCTGTCACTGGACATGAACAGAATGCGGCCTGCATCTCCCTCCTGTCCTCCAGCTTCACTGTAGAATGATGTTTTATCCAGTATGATACCGCACTCACCATCCACTGCTATTTCAGCAAACTCTTCCATCTTCACCAGCTCGCCTCCCGTCTTTACTCCGACTACTTTTGCGCTGATGGCCTTTGCCTTGTACTTCTCGCTCTCATCTGTTGCTGTTTTCTCTGTCTTCCTGTCTAGTGCAGAGATATCATGGACTGTGAGGTGCAAGTCTGCACTTACCTGCTGGGCGCTCTTGGACAGGGCCTTGGCTGCTTCCTGTGCCTTCTTAAATCCCTCGGCATCCACGCCTGCGCCCTCCTGCTCTGCAACAGCTACGGTTAGATCAATTGGAAATCCGTATCTGTCGTACAGAATAAATGCATCAGGGCCCGATAATAGCTTACCTTCTGCCTTTGCTTCCTCCAGCATCTTCATGAGGATAGAGAGACCCTTGGTCAGAGTCTTAGTGAACTGTTTCTCCTCCTCCCGAACTACTTCCACTGCCTTTTCCACCGGCACTTCTGTCTCATAGACTGTGCTCATTTCCCTGAATGACTGCTCCACTAGAACAGGCAGCAAGCCAGGGGCCTTCTTCAGGTGCATGTACTGGAATCCCAGAGCCCTTCTTAGGATCTTTCTAATTGTGTACCCTTTTCCTTCATTGCTTGGCATTGTGCTGTCCATGAGTGATATTGCAAGAGTTCTGCTGTGATCTGCTATTACTCTATATGCTATATCTGATTTACTCTCCAGTCTGTCAGTGTATGGGCCTATTCCCAGCACGCTTTCTATTGTGCTGAATAGCGGCTTAAACAGATCTGTGTTGTAGTTGCTTCTTTCATTCTGCAGTATGCTGAGGACTCTTTCCAGGCCCATTCCCGTGTCAATGTGCTTCTTGGGCAGTATTGAGAGCCCTGCTTCTTCTCTGTTGTACTGCATGAACACTATATTCCATATCTCCAGGACATCTGGGTCGTCTTTGTTGACTATATCCGATGCATCTCTGTTTCCAATTCGGTCGTAGTGTATCTCTGAGCACGGGCCACAGGGCCCCACTGCCCCCATCTCCCAGAAGTTCTCTTTGGAGCCAAATCCAAGGATTCTTGTGCGAGGCAGATACTTCTCCCAGAGACTCTGCGTCTCTGTGTCTGATGGAAGGTTCTGCGAAGGATCCCCGTGGAAGTAGCTGACGTATATGCGCTCAGGGTCCAGCTTCAAGACGTCAATCAGAAAAGACCACGCATAGTCAATTGCCTCTTTCTTGAAGTAGTCACCAAAGCTCCAATTCCCAAGCATTTCAAAGAATGTGTGGTGGTACGTGTCCTTTCCCACATCATCGAGGTCATTGTGCTTTCCTCCTGCTCTGATGCACTTCTGGTAGTTGCACGCTCTCTTCAGCTGGCCGTATGGCGTATCTGCGAGGGCCAAGTCCAGAAACTTCTTCTTAAACTGCACCATTCCGCTATTGGTGAAGAGCAGCGTAGGATCATCAGGGCTGACGGATGACGACTTCCAGTGCACGTGCCCCACACTCTCAAAATGCTCAATAAATGCCTTTCGTAGCTTCTTTGCTGTCCACATTAGAAAAATAAAAAAGAAAATTGCAGTTATACGCTACACCAGATAGAGAAGCACAGGAGATAAGCATCTGTGTGCAGCTATAAACAGCAGTGATACATACAAATATTTCTAGCACTAATTTATTTTTATTTCAGCTGTGGTACTGCTAGTCTCTCCTCACTTTCTTTCTTCTCGGTGCGTCTACGATAGATTGCTCTTTTATCCGCATCTTCCCGTCTCTGTCTGTGACTATTCTCTCCCTCTCCTCCTGTCTGTTCACGGGCCTGTGGTTTAGCAGGGTTTTCTGCGGGTGCGAGAAGTCGCATGTTCCTCTCTTCTCTGCTATCTTTCTCAGGAGGAGCTTGAGGTTCTCGTGCAGCTTCATTTTGAAGTGGAATATTATCCTGTCCACGCAGATGAGCGCTCTCTCCATGTACTTGTCTAACTGATCCAGCTCTATCAGAAGAGTAGACATGAGCCCAATCGAGGCCTTTGCCACTGCGTACTTCTTGTCCGCTGAAAGAGACTCCATCATATCGAATGCCATATCCATCACCTCTTCTGAGATCTTCTCTCTCCCGTGGTACATAAATGACGTGAGAGTCACGATTGCTCCAGCCTGGTAGTCAACAAGGCCCCCTGGGATGCCTGCTGCAGCCATCTTGCACACTGCATTGAGCTTATCCGCTGGGTACGTAACTGCCATCTCATTCACAATGTCAAATGACACTTTTCTGTTGCGCCCTCCCTCTGTTCGCACTGCTCTGATGACTTCGAATATTAGTCGGCATATAACGGCGTCATCATTTACCCCACACTGCTTGATAAGTGTGTGCAGCACCTGCAGTCTCAGGTGTCTACTGCAGTGGAAGAGCACTTGGTCAGTTCTTGGGTCCATGAAGAAGTCAACCAGGGAGTTTGACACAAATCCAGCCTGCACAAGCGCAAGCAGCACCTTGTATGCCATCTTTTGTGTTCTTAGGTGGGTGGACACGATGTATCTTAGTGTTCCTTCTGTTACTGTGCTGTTTCCAACGAGAGCTCCTGCTATTACTTCGAGCACTGGCGCATTGTCAATGAATATTCTCTCTGGCTCTGGCACGTCTGTCTCTTTTCTTTCTAGGTTGGGTCTCAGCTCTCCTGTGTGCAGCTCTCCAACTGTCACAAAGGCTGTGTTGATTATGTTCGAGTAGTACTTGTTCTGCCACTCTGGGTCTACAACCTTGGAGAGCGATCGAATGGCTTCTCTTTCATTCTCTGTCTGGTCTTTCTTGAATCTGAAGAGTATTTTCTCAAATATGTCCACAGCAGATGAAAGCGTCTTCAGAATGCCTGTGCGGAATGGCACTGATTCTGGGTGTGCAACCATCTCCCTCTGCGACTCTTCAACAAGCACAGAGAGCCCCTGGCAGATGTATCCCCTAACTGCAGGATTGTTCAGGTACAGTGGAATCTGCTGGATGAGCGATTTAAGTAGGCCGCTGGAGTCTTTCATGCCGCGGCAGAAAGAGGGGAAGCAGGACCACAGGGCCTCGTATATCTCTTTCTTGTCCTCTGCGTTCTTCAGCGCCTGTATCTCTGGGACGAATCTGCGCACGAACACCTCAATGTCTGTGGAGTGCACTGCAGCCTTTATCATGGGCAGCCAGAAGTAGAACTCTTTTTCCTTGATGGTTTTCATGAACTTGTCGACTCCAATGCTTCCTATGATAATCTCTATGTCTTTGGCAACTCTGAGGTCGTTCTCTTTGAAGCAGTACTGAGCCAAAAGGACAATCACTTTTTTGAATCCTGGGAACATGCGCGACTTCAGTGTTGAGACGAGCTCGTGTACCACTGCATACACCTCTGCGTCTATTTTATTTGGCAGAGACCTGTCCATTTCTGCTTTCAGTACGTCTTTGACCATTTGCTCAAGCGGAGATCCTTCTGCATCCAGCACAAACTCAGCTCCTGTCTGGAACGAGTGCACTGAGCTGTTTTTGAAGATGGCTATCAGATACTTAATCAGAATGGAGAGCTCCTCAGCTGTGGTGCATCCCTTGTGGGCTGATGCTTCAGCGAGGAAGATGTGTTTGTCTAGGTACTGTGCAGGGTTGGCTGCGAGCAGAAACTCGCTGAAAGTGATGGCAGGGATGCTCATCTTTGGCGATGCCTCCTGGATTGCGCGCGCTATCTCCAGCATTCTCTCTGTTGCTCCGTACTTTGCTATCTCCTGCTGTAGCTGCCCGAGAATGGATATTATTTTCCCAGAGTACTCCACATTGCTGGCAGAAAGAGCCTCTACCTTTGCAACTATTTTGTTGAATGTCTTGCTCTCCTGTGCAGCTGTGTTTTCGTGCTCTATCACCCTTCTCAGAACAGGAAGAGCTCTCTTCCTTATCTTTGGGGATGTGCTTGTGCACAGGTCAATGACTTTGTCCACCAGGTCTGAGTCAGTGTATGCCTCTGGAGTGAACACTGTCTTGAGCATGAGCTGATAGAAGTCCTTCTCTTTCCATTTCTGCTCGTTTGTTAAATGCGCCAGTTTTGACAGATACTCTCTTACTTCGTTGGCTCTCTCGTTTAGCTGCTCTGGGGCGTACTTGGAGGCTATTTTAAGACTTTCGTCTACGTAGGCTCCGCTTGTGTCGAGCGACTCTTTGAGTAGATCAAAGGCGCCGTGCCACATGGCCTCGTTGGTGGCTTGCTTGCCCTCTTTTTCTATTATTTCTCTGATTTTTCCTTCTAGTATTTTTACTGTTCTATCAGTCTGCTCCTCTACCGGCTGCTTCATGTATAAAAATTTTTCATGCGCTTTCTTATATGTCCAACCAGCTGATTGCATATGCAGTTGAAGGGGGCGCTGATAGCATAGAAACTGCGCAGATGGAGGAAGAAGGAGTAGTGTACTATGCTGCTGGCGCTGAGTTTGTGATCATCGATGGAAATAGAGCAGGATGCACATGCAAAGGACTTACCATCTGCCAGCACATACTTGCGGTAGTAAAAAATGAATATCCATCTGATAGTACAGTGCTCGTAGACATAATAAATAGAGTGATGTAATAATAAGAAACTAGCACATCTTTCATCTTCATTAGTGATCAGTTGGAGTGTGTTTATACTTCACTAAAATTTAAACACTCCTTCTCCTTATACGGTCACTTAGACTATTGCTACTACTATTTTTAATGTAACCAGAGAATATAACACGAATCTCATTGTACTACAGTAGGTACAAAAATACTCTAGAAGTGAGTGTGTAGGATTTGTAGCTAAAGATAGTTTATTTCTATTCTCTATCTGTTTTACTTCAATAATAATCTATGTTTTACTCCTTTGATCTTTTATTTTTTGACTTCCTGCGCTATCTCGTTCTTCAGTAGGCTGAATATGTACTCTTTATCCTCTGTTTTATGGATGATTGATAGCTGTGTGTATCTTTCCATGTGCTGCTGTGCTTCCCTGGGCTTTATATCTAGCTCTTTCATGACTGTTTCAAAGTCAATGCTGTATTTCTCTAGATAGACCTCTCTATACCCCTGGCCTACTATATCAGAGTACATCTGAGGTACATCTATCTTTATGTGAGCCTTCCTGTGCTGGAGGATATCGTACACTGTTAGTGATTCTTCTAGTGCGCTTCCTAGCATTCTAGATATCTGCACTAGCTTGTCTGTCTTTTCTATGTCTTTATCTACTACACTGTCCATTCCCTGCAGACATAGCTCTATTTGTGCCAGGCTTTTTCTTTCTGCTTTCGTCCATTTGAAGCACTCCCCTGCTGCATACTCAGTGAGCAGAATCTTTCCTTTTCTCTTTCCCATGCTATTTTGCAGGAGCCCAAATGCTCTGACTAAATACAAATCTGTATCTTTTATTTTGTGTAGAGGATGAGATTTATTCTCTTCTATTTTTTCCAAAGCCTCTATATATTTTTGCAGATCCTCTAATGACACATCTGCAAATGGGAGAATTACCTTGGTTATCCCGTACTCAGCCATTGTAAGCAGAGCTGTCTTGTACCCTGCGTGTGCAAGAGTCTTCTTTATCTCCTGGCCTACTCTCTCTTTGGAGACTATTTGTCCGAGCTTGGTGTGGAGAGACTTCTCTCCTAGCACAGAGAGTATCTCTGGAACTATTTCAAAGGATAGTCTAGCTGCAAACCTCAGCACCCTCAGTATGCGAAGGGGGTCATCTGCAAAGGTTTCCATCGGATCGAGCGGTGTCCTTATTTTTTTCTCTTCTATGTCACTGACTCCTTTTCCTGTGTAGTCTTCCACTTTCTCTGTGTTTATGTTGTAAAAAAGCGAGTTTATGGTTATATCCCTTCTGTTCGCGTCTTCCTGCGGGGTGCCTGTTCGCACAACGGGTATTCTGCTGCCTGCGTACTCTTCCGTGCGCAGAGCCACAAAGTCTATGGAGTATCCGAGGTACTGCAGGCTGGCTGTCTCCAGGTGCTTGGCTTTTTCGTGGTTGAAAGCCACCACATGGTACCCGTGCACCTCTTCTGACTGATCTTTTAGATAGTTGATGAATCCTTCTGCAAAAACAGCCCCACTACTTCTGTCAATGGCGATATCTATGTCGTTGCAGGGAATGCTCATTATCCTGTCCCTGACCCATCCGCCAGCAACTCTGTACGTCATCCCCAGCCCCAGCGTCCTATTGTATTCCAGAAGCTGCGCAAAAAGCTTTCTCTCAAATGGCGTAATTGGAAACATGAAAAAATAAAAGAGAAAAGAGACAAATAAAGCACGCACGCACAGCTTATCACGGCTACAATGAGTTTTAGCTTATTTTTCTTCTGTGCGGCAGCTAGATAGCCCGTGTGCTGCCGCGCTCTCTGTAATTACCGCAAATATAATTTCGTATTTTAATTTCCTCGGATGGATTCCTTTGGTCAGCAGAACACGCAGTCCTACCAGAGCAATCTGACTGATATGGCAACAGGATCTATTGGCGACCTGGTAAAAGAGAGCGAGCTCTTGAAGGAAAATCAGAGAATCAGCCAAGTAGCGGAGCACTCAATCAACCAAACATTCATAAAGCACATCCCGCGCACTCACTCTTCTTTTTCTCCAAACGATCTACAAGATGAAGGACTAATGCACTACGTAACCACAGCATTTGCAGAAGTGTGCCGTAAAATAGACAACCTGCACAACATGCTAGAGAGACAGCCAGAGGAGCAGAGCAACACAGAGAAAAGAGAGAGTCTGGACAGTGTGATAATACAGGAGGAAAAGGAAGAAAAAGGGTGGTTTGAGAGAATAAAACAGATAATATACGGAAAAGAAGAGAGCGAAGAGTATGCAGCGCCAGAAGAGCAAGGGCAGATGGAAGAGAGCACCATACAGGTTGTGCAGCCTCCTCCAAAGATCTCAGCAGCTGATGCCCTGGAGAACGCTCTGACACTGGCTGAAAAGGCGAGTTTGAAGGCAGAGCTTCGAAGACATCAGCAGAGAGAGGCAGAAGCAAATGAAATGCACGCAGGAGAGACAGGGAAGAGAATGGGAGCAGAGATACAATACCACAGAACAAGGGCAGATGCAGCTGAAGCAGCGCTGAAAGAAGCAAGAGATCAGATATCTATCTATAAAGCGAGACTGAAGATAAGAAAAAAAGAGATATCAGATATAAAATCATCCTTCACTTCGAGCACAGCTGCAGAGTCACTGCTGGCTAAGCTGGCAACGACTGCATCTGTGCAGCTAGCACGCGTTCTTCTGCTCCTCGATAAGCCCGATGCAATTGAGCAGCTGCACCAGGAAATATCAGCAGGAGAAACAGGAAAGTTGGTCAGCTCGCTGCTGGAGATCGAGACAGCCATCAGAGACGCGCTTCAGAGAGAAAAAGAAGCACAGGAGAAAACGCAGAGAGAGAAGCAGCTGATAAGCAGCCAGCTGAAGGTGTTAACGAAAGAGATAGAAAAAGCACAGAAAGACAACCGCGCATTGGTTAGCGATATAGAAAGATCGCAGCTAGAGAACCAGGCACTTGCCAAAGAGGCAGAGGAAATAAGGGAAGAGAAAGATGCCATAATAAACAAGCAGAGACTGATGATAAAGCTGCTCCAGAGCAAGATACCGCGGATGCCTAAACAGCGCTCTTCCATCACACAATCTAGCATTCTTAAAAAGCCTCAACCAGCAAAAGTACCTGAAAAAACAAAAGGGAAGGTGGAAAGAGAGCTGGAGGAGAGGATAGGTGCGATAAAAGAAAAAATGAAGAAGATAAACAGCACAGAAGACCCAACATACAAAGCACACTTAAAAGATTTAGAAGACAGCACAAGAAGACTGAACGATTTTATGCAAATATAGCCCAGCTGTTAAAAAGCAAAATAACAGACTCTGCACTCTCCTGCAATAAAGGATTTTAAACAAATTCCATCTTTTCTATTTTTGCGTTCTATCTGCTAAAAGATCGATAGCACAGGAATGCATTGTTTTAATTGTAGCTGAATGTTGTACATGTGTCTAGCCTAAAGAGTATTTATTGAGCTTGGTGCAATGTGTTTGGTGATAGACTCTTTAGTTGTACAGTGCCATCATCACTTCTTTCTTTGAGTATCCGCACTTCTCGTAGAACTTTTGGTTCTCCTCGCTGCATGCGAGTATAACCTTGTAGCACTCTTTCTCTTTTGCTTTTTCCGTTAGATATCTTATCAGCTGCATTCCTAGGCCGTGTCCCTGGTACTCCTTGGATATAACTATGTCTTCTATGTGCCCCACTGTCCCAAGGTCTCTGATGAACTTTCTTTCTGTCAGGAGAGTGCCTGTCCCAATCACCTCGTCCTCTGCGGATACTACCACAAAGATGCTGTATGTTTGTCTGTTGTTTCGCAGGAATCTATACATCTTCTCGGCCTCTGCGGCCCCGGGATACGGCGCTGTGGTGAGGGTGGACAAAAGAGAAAAATAGTTTTCATTTATGTCTTTCTTTCTTAGCTTTCTAATTGTGTAACCCATAAAAAAGATACTCTATTTTTATTTATAGAAAAATTGAAACATCCAGATTTGATATAGCAACAATAAATAAATAAGATGCAGTCCCACACATCACAATAACCCACACCAAATGCAAAAGAACACACAGTCCCTAGTGCATCTTATATACACATATAACTGCATATACACCACAAAGTCAAAAAGATACGTATAGAAGCCTTCACACAAAGAATCTTCTAATATCCAGTATTGCAGCAGCTTAAGGCACAGTTCTCACTGCTGCTCTTATCCAGGGTAGATCCATGCCAGTATCTATATGTAAATTAAATGCTAAGTTAAGCCAATTATGTGAGAGAAAAATTTATGTGTTATTATTGCACAGTGGAATAGAGTTACGTATTTTACCCAGACAATAAAAATAGAAGAAAGAATGAAATAGAGGGAATGCTCAGCTACTATAACACATGTGCTTTATTACTCATTGCAGCGTCTCTTACATTGATATGGATGCATCGCCCGATGAGAGTGATGCAATAAGATCGAACACATATGTCTTTCTAGCATGGAAATACTGGCCTCTTCCCGTGGACTCTTTAGCAAGTATTTCCCCGCTCTGGAGGTACCCACTGTGCACTAAGATGTACGACAGCTCCAACAAAAATGATCCAGCTAGACTGGCTGTCTGCTCGTTCTCTGCAGCCTTCTCGTACATCTCTTCGACCCACTTGGAGTTGTTCAACACATTCATTGCAACTGTTTCCACGCTCTCTTTTATGCGCAGATGCTTCTGGAGCAGAGAGTACGCATTCTCCAGCTTGATCTGAGAGACAAAGTATTTGACAGCCAGGTAGGCAAGCAGAATGTTCTGCGGATTGGCAGATATAGCCCTTGTAAAGCAGTATTCAGCGCTTTCTTTCTTTCCTATCTTTTCGTAGATCAGCCCGCAGCCAGCTATTCCGCTGTAGTTCTCTGACTTGATCTTCATTGACTCAATAAAGCATTTGAGGCTTTCCGTTAGATTGCTGTTCATGAACTGCTCGTGCCCCATCAGACACAGCACATACGGGTCTCTGCTAATGGATAGACTCCGCTCAAAACACTCTAAAGCCTTATCGGTGTCTTTTTTCAAGCTAAAATGGTTGCCCAATACGGCCCAAGCAACATTCGATGTGGGATCTATGCCAAATATGTCTCTGCTGAGGGAGACAAGCAGGTTCTTCTCTCGGCTGTGCCACAGAATGCTGGAATAGTAGTGCATGCCCTCGATAAAGCACGGGTCTCTTGCTCTGATGTATTCAAAGACTGCTCCAGACCTCTGCATGTATCCGCACTCAAATATCTGCACTGCTATTCTCGATATGCTGTAGAGGGGCATTTGGCTAAAAATGGAAATGTACGCTGGAATAGACTCGATAGACCCTCTGGAGATCTTTTTCAGCAAGGAAGACTCTGTTATGATACTTTTTATAATAAACCTAGCACTGGGATCTTTTTCCTTATTTAGTCTTTTTGCTAGCTTGCTGTCAATGCCTGTGTGAACCTCTGACTCTTCTTTCTTGCTTTCTGATATCTCGCTGTTTGACATGTTCTCGTCTTCTTTTTCCTGTTTTCGCATGGCTTTCGTGCTCTCCTCTAGCAGCGGCTGGTACGTCGAGTACAGGAGACTCTCCTCTGCAACGGCTTCCAAAGACCTCTTAAATCCCACCTCAGGGCATCCCGTCTCTATCTCTGCTTCTGCGAGCATGCTCAGGATAAAAGATCTATCTGTCTCCAAAATGTACATCTTTTCTAAGGGTGTTAGATTCCTAGGAGCCACGCTTTTCTTTGCTGCGCTAAGTAGCTCCACCGCCAGATACTTCACTTGGTTGTAGTCTTTTATTTTCCTGTGGCACAGGGCCTGGTAGTACACAGAGCTGTACGAGTGATTCTTGGAGAGATATTGGAGCGCTCTTCTGTACTCGCCGTTTCGCATAAACAGATAGCCAAGGAGCAATGGGTTCTCTTTTTTCTGCTCTATCTCCAGTGCTTCTACAGCGTATATCGCATCTTTAAATCTTTCGTATTTTATACACTTCCACAAAAACTCCTCCATCCTATGCATAACAAAATAAAACTCTTTCATTCAATTTATTTGTGGAAGTAAATAGTAAATATTGAAGACCCAGGCGGACAGGATATAATAAACACACCAAGTAAACAGCATCTACGCTCCAAGACAGTGTAGACCCTTGCTCAATAGAATCTCTTGGCACATTTTGATGCTTTCTGATGCGAACAGCAAAAGATGCAAAAAGTATCCAAGACTTTCAGATAGACTCCAGGACACAGTATGCTCTGCACAGTAGCTGCATCTGATACACTGCACATACTCAGTTAATCTCTCTCTGCGATTACCTAATACAGTAATGTGCAGAAGAAAAACTTTTATCCAATACTCTCTGAGGTTTAAGACAGGCTGCGCAGAGTTATTTCTCTGCTGCCAGCAGGCCCTTGATGTATTCGCTTGTTTCTATCAGTGCGCTCTGCGTCAGAAGCTCTTCTTCACTCTCCTGCACTGCTCTGTCAACTATTTCGTATATTGAGCTGTTGTATGCTGTTTCTCTTCCGTACAGGATGTTACCGCAGTACATGAGCACTGATACAGCCAGATCAAAGAACTCTTTATTCCTCAGAAGATCGATGCATATGCCTGCAATGACCGATATTTCTTCATCTAAGAGATACGCAATCGAGCTTATCAGTCTGTCTACCTTGTGCAGATACTCCATTATGCTTGTTATGTGCTCTACTTTTCCCGTTTTAACAGCTGCTGACAGAGCCTTTCTGTACTGGAAGCCAAAGATCAGCCTTTCGTACTTCCCTCTCCTTGCGCCGCCATCCATTTTCATGGGAACTGAGTGCGTTTCTGTTGCGTCATACTGGCTGTACTCTTTTATGCTCTGAGGCCCGCTCTTCTGTATGATGATCTCTGGCTGCGCAGGCTCTGGTGTCCATCTGTCTCTGTACACCAGCACATTTCCCGTTGCAGTGGCTATGAGATACTGTGCCCCTGTGATCTGCTGTGTCTCAGCTGATGTACTGAAGAGCGCGCTGAATGACTGAATGGCAGATCCTGCGTACAGGGAAGAAACCTCTCGCAGAGAGTGCGTGGATATGCGTATTCTTCCGTCAAGAGAGGCAGTCATTAAATACTCACTGTGCACCTCTGCCTTTGTGAACCCTTTGGAGTGCATAGCTGAGTAACTGGTGATGTTCCCATCACTTACGCTGTAGACATACCCTGCTCCCGTGCACAGGCCAATGAACAGAGAGTTACCGCTGAGAAACTGCAGGAGACAAGGCTTCTCCATGTGCAGTGCTGTTATTTCATGTACCATCAGCTTTACCTTTTTTCTGCTCGCTATTCCTGTCTCTCCCGTATGGCTGAAGAAGTACGAGTATATGTGCATTTCTCCACTCGCTAGCGAAATGGCTAGATACTTTCCGTTCGATGTTATGCTGTCGATGTACTCTGGGAATGTGGTCTCAAATAGCCTTGTGCTGTCGTACGTGGAATACACCTGCAGTCTGCACGACTCTCCTCCCACACAGATGGCGTCATTTGACAAAAAAGAAACTGCTCTGATCGCGCTGCTCCCCGTGTCTATGAAAGAGAGGCTATTTCCATCGTAGTCTATGAGGCGGATCTTTCCCTCTCTGTTGTAGAGGGCTATGACAGAGTCACACGTGGCGATTCTTGGGGATGTTCCCGTCGACCGAGAGAACACTTTTTCGGCTTCTTCTCCGTCTATCGGCTTCTTGTAAAGGCTGTTTCCCTTGGAGAACACTGCTGTTGTTTGGTTTATTAGCAGCACAGCCTGCGAGTCTGGCGCATTCTGTTCTATTTCTACTATGCTTCTTGTTTTCAGCGGCTTTACTCCGTAATTGACGAGCTGAAATTCCTTTTCCATGAAGTGTAAAATTTCTGCGGATGCTTAAAAACTTTTCCAACTGCCAAATTCAGTTATCTGGCTTTCCTTAAAAGTACTCTGCAGATCACTAAAGGCGCTTTCCCTACTAAAATTTCCCATAAAGCGCTTAATTGCGCAGTCTGCCATCACACTGATGCTGCTGCATAAAAAGTGCCAGCTCCTCTGGGCCTATAGCATGCAGATTATTGGGCGGGTTTTCAACAAGAATTGGCAGCTGCCCGTATTTTCCATGGCGCTCAAAGTCCTTTTCGTCTCAAGAACTGGGCGCGAGGTGTGGACAGCGAGGTACAGAAAAGAGACAAACTGCTGGATAGTGAACAACGAGACAGTTGGTGTGCTGAGCAGCACCGAGATACTCTTCCAAGGGAGACCGTATTTTATATCGCTCTCCACTCCATCGGATGCATACCTCTACGAGATAGAAGAGCTCTCTGAAATACTGCAAAGGTGCCCAAAAAAGCCGTTTGAAGATCTCTGCAAAGAGATTAAAGCCAAGCAGCCCAGAGCAGCTAAAAAAAGCAGGTATTACCAGCAGATTCTTCGATCCTCCAACTGTTTTATGAAAACACGTACGCTGGACATGTTCAGAAGAAAGCAAACGAGATGGGAGGTGAATGCAGAAGAATTTAGTAACTTTAAAAAAGTCAAGCTCTCAGTGCAAAACATAATAGTCACCGTAGAGGAAGAAAAAGAGACTATTGGTCTTTTTTATGAAGAGGAAAATCAAAAAGAATAAACAAATTAATTTTATATAGTGGCTGAGTAGTAGTAGCAATGTGTTTATCTATCACCTGGCTTGCACTATGCATGGCCCCTGCATGAGATATACAGACAACAATGCACACAAGGGTGTTTTATCTTTCTTGGTCTGCTCTCATGCTCTTTCTCTCTGTGCGATAGCACACTCCAGCCAAAGAACAGAGAGCTACTCTATTTCCTCTACAAAGGCTTGAAAGTACTCGACATACTCTGACAGAGACTCTCTATTCTTCAACAGGTCGCTAAGTGTGGGGATGCTCTCCAGCACCAGAGCATCAAGCTTTGCTGGGTCAATGGGGACACAGACTCTTCCTGTCCTCGGATGGATACAGAACGGAGATTTAAGAAGGTGCTTTGTCTGCTTTGTTACGTTCACATCGAGCTTAGGAAGCAGCCTGTCGTACAGCTGTGCCATTGTCACTGCATCTCCCATATTCATAGCATCCTTGTACTTCATCAGGATCTTATCAACAGCTTCATTATTCTTCTTTGCCAGTGCGCTGAAATACTCGACAATGTTTGTTCTGTCTTTTCCTGTGAGCGCCATTGCAACTGCATCACTCACCCAGCAGTGCACGCCTCTGCCCCCTGAAAAAACAAAGAGAATGTTCCTAAACCCAAAGTCTTCTGCAAGCACCGAGCTCAAAACCTCCACTGCGCACTTTATCAGAGGCAGACATGCATTGCACATATTCTTATCTGTGCAGCAAGTCCTTGCATAATCTGTCAGATCAATGTCAAAGACAAGCTCTTTAATGATGCACTGGTTATTGGTGGTAACAGACGCAGGCTTGTGGACATACACCCCTCCTATGTCTATCTTCTGCGGGACATCCATGCATATTCTTGAAGCGAGCTCCTCTGCAGCTGTCACTGTGATGTATCTGATGTATATGTCATTCGCCAGCGTAAATGAAAATTCGCGGGTGCGGATGTACCGCAGCCACCTGGCAATGAGCGCCACTGGAAAGAGAGCCCTGTAGTATGCGCCAAGTGCGCTCTCATTTTCACCCCCTCGCATAAAAAAAATGGTCACGCATGCACGATACTTCAACAGAAAGCTTGCAAGAGTGCAGAGCGCAGAAGAAGCCCAAACAAAGAGAGAGAGCACCCACAGAGACACAAGAGACAGAGAGAGCACTGAGTGTCCTGTTCTCTTGGAGCTCAACTGCGACCGATGGATAAAGACAACTTCTCAGAGAACGCAGATCATATACAGGGCAGATGCTTCCATTATAGTGTACCACATGGCGCTCCTGCACACAGCAAGAGTAATTGAGTCTGGCACAGGAACTCTTGGCCTTACCTACGTGCTAAGCAAGTATCTAAGGGCTGGGACAGTTGATACCGTAGAGTGCAATGCAGATAGATACACAGCAGCAAAGAAGGAGATAGAGAAAGTTGGCCTAAATAACGTAAGAATACACTGCAGTAGGGTACTAGAGTATCTTCAGAGCGTAGTGGAGAGTAAAGAGAGAGCGGATGGGCTTGTCCTTGATGTCCCAGAGCCTGACGAAGTGCTGCAGACAGCAGAAGATGCACTGCGCCCAGGAAGTGCAGTGTGCTGTTTTGTGCCGTGCATAGAACAGGTGCAGAGAGTGCTGAAAAAGGCCGAAGAGTTGCCCAGGCTGAAAGTAGAGAAGTTGCTGGAGAACATTGAGATAGCGCACAAGCCAGCTCTCATATCAACAGAGCCCGCAAGAGAGTACGGAACAACACAGGATACGCAGATCAGAGGGCACACAGGGTATATCATTCTGATGCGAACACTCCCATAGATATCCACCAAAACGCTCTGCAGTAATTAGAGCACAAATCAGCAGAGTAGCTTATCCACTGCACTACAAAATCAATAAATTGCATTCTACTCTTCCTCTTGTATTTTTGTGCTGGATGTTCAGTCATCTAATAGCTGCTGCGCTATTGTGAGTATGTGAATATTTTCTAGCTTAGTGTAAATAGCCTAGGAATAAGACAAAGAGCAAATTAGCCAGATAAGAGAGGGTAGTGCACACATATTTTACACGTGTAGCTAGATAAGAGAGCACTCTGTCTCTTCAGCCTGGTGCATGAATAAACTTCGTACACAAACAGCGGGATAAATGCACTGCGAATAGATTTTTTTATGATTAAGACGGAAATACAAACAAATGACGGAAGTCTCTACACGGTTCTGCAGATATCAAAAAGAGCAAGCGCAGAAGAGGTGAGAATAGCGTACAAGAAGGCAGCAAAGCTAACGCACCCAGATATCGACTCGATGAAATCCGGAGAGTTTGAAGAGATCAACAAGGCGTACACCATCCTTGCGAACAAAAAGAACAGAATGCTCTACAACACCTTCGGAGACAGCATCCTTCCGATCCTCCAGGACCACAGATACTCGCCGTACATAGAAAAGATGCTGTCAAACAGAATGATAGCAGCGGGAGGGATAGTGCTGGGCCTCTTCCTTCTGAGCACTCTCTTCTACCCCTATCTCATCCTCCTTGCGAGTATGCACATACTTCCGTACTACACTCTCACAGTCATTCCACACACTCTTTTTTATTTTGGCTGTCTGTTCAGTATATACCAGATGGGAATGGGGGACATGAGGTCAAAAATATCCCACCACATCATGTACTACGGGCTGCTCCTCGTGCAGATGCTGATTATCACGCTGTACACAGACTCTCTCGTGAGCACCCAGGCCTTTTTGTTCTATCTCGTGAACAATGAGATAGCACACGCTCTAGTAGAAGTAGTGTACAGCCTCCAGTACCTCGAGCTCTCATCGATGGAGTACGTGATACAGAGGACCTTCAAGCGCATTGCATGCGTAAAGTACGCAGCAGGCGCGCTCTTTAGAATCCTCCTGTGCGGGCTGTTTATGGTAGATGTTTCCCCGTATGCAAGAGCCTCTTTGTTCCCCCTGTATATTTTTGTGCTGACTGCCACAGGAAGCATGGAAAAGATCGGAGGATGCATCCTAACGTGTCTTCTGCTCGTGCAGTCTATGTTCTGCGCGTGTGCGTGCAGGGAGAGCATGAGCGCAGCTGGCTGGGGCGTGGCAGCTGCAGTGCTGCTCCTCGCTCTCCTCGGCGTGGCTAAGATCGTGCAGGAGACAAGAAAAGTGTTCATCAGCGCGCAGTGGAACTGCATGGCGCCGCTGAGAATCACGGACAAAGAGTGCTAGAGCAAGATATTTTTATTTAGTTTCGCAGGCCGTGATGTAAAAATGCGAACTGTGGGATTCGAACCCACGGCCTTTAGATTATGAGACTAACGCGCTACCAACTGCGCCAAGCTCGCACAACAAGAAACAGCTGTGGAGAGTAAGACACTGGAAAGAAGAGAGACGGGGCTCTATATATTTTAAATAAATTTATTTTGGATGAACCATCTTTTGCAAGAGAGGTATTTAGGGAGTGCCGAAGAGAACTTGGTCATGGGCCAGTTTATCAAAGGCGAGGAGTGCGTGATTTCTGCAGGGTGCGACAGAATTGTGCTGTACAAAATTGCTGAAGGAAGGCTGGTAAAAATAAAGGAAAAAAGGGTCTTTGGATGCATTCTTGGTTTAGCAGTTGTGCCTTCTCTTGGGGAGGAGGCTGATTCTTTACTGGTGCATTTTGAGTATGCTCGCGTGTCTGCTATTTTTTTCCGAGAAGATCAAAACGAGTTTGTGTGCAGGTCCCTGCGGTTTTACGAGAAGCAGCAGTACGGGTTTGTGCACGGGTCAGAGAAGAACACATCTTTCATTCGCGTGGACGAAGAGCACGGGGTTTCTTTCCTGCTGATCTCGAACACGCACTTTGCCATCTTTTCGTCATCAGCCGTGGGAGAGAGCAAAGTCTTTGAAATGCAGAAAATACGCCCCAGACACTGCGCGATAAAGGACGTGGCCTTTCTCAAAGGGTACTCGTCTGCTTCTCTCTGCTTTCTCTTTGAGGACACCGTTGCAGAGAGATCCAGGATTCTTGTGTACATTTTGAACGTGGAGTACGAGCTGTCTTTCTTTTTTGAGGTTGACTCTGTGCCGCACGGGTGCTACCAGCTCGTGCCCACACAGGACAAGGCATTTATGGTCCTTGGGGCATGCGGAGCTCTTTTCTACACGCAGTGGGAGATGCTTGGGGTGCGCTTCAACGACTTTTGGTCCTTCGACAGGCTGGGGATAGAAGAAAGGCCGCTGAAGGAGAAAAACTTTGTGGTTGAAAACGGAAAGTGTCTTGTGAAAGACAGAGACATCTTCCTTATATCTGAGACCATCTTCCTGCAGTTTACCATCCTGGGGGGGAACTCAAGAGTGTCTAGCGTGATCGTAAGGAAGATAGACCTGGATGCCAAATTCAACAAGCCATACTCTACAGCAGTATACGGGAACAGAGGATGCTTCAGCACAGCAGAAGGCCTCTTTTTACTTACGTTTGAATCAGAGACCATAATGGAGGAAAAGGAGCAGAAGCCCATTGATGTTGTCACGGAAGAGTATGTGCAGATGTTCCTAAGCGATGCTACCGACTCAGATCTGCCTCCTGCAAGTGCTGATCGAGAGAGTGCATCTGCAGGCGAGCAGGAGAGACTCTCAGTGAGCCCGAAAAAAACTAGAGCAAAGAAACAGAAGAGCACAGACAATAATCATTTGCACAAGGAATCAGAGGACGGCCTTTTATCGGGCAGAATACTTGAAAGGGAGTACGAGAAAATGTTTAGAATGGCAGGAGACACAGAGAAAAAGAACGAAGAGGAGGTGAAAGAGACAAAAACAAACAAAATAGTCATCACACAGACAAAACCGTCGATAGGAGAGATATGCTGCATAGAGCCGCTTCCTCTCATAGAGAAACAGCAGGTGTTTCTAGTGGCTGCTGGATCGCCTGGACAGCCGCTCCTCTTTGAGGCCAAGGAGGGCATGGATCTGCTGTACACCCACACCGCTAAGATACGCGGATACTCTGATCTCTTCGTGGTTGATGCGCTGGAGAATAAGTATCTCCTGACAAAAGAGGGAGAGAGCGCAGTGGTGCACTGGGACAAAGAGGTAGACCTTGTGCAATCTGAGATATCAAACAGCCTAACCATCCTATTCCACGCTATTTCTACGGGATACATACAGGTAACAGTCTCTCACATATGCTACCTAGACAAAGAGCTAAAAAAGGTCAAGACAGCAGTGCTCCCAGAGACAGCCCGTGCTGCGGTGTACGAAGACGACAAAGTGTTTTTGATCACTGAAACAGGAGCAGCGTACCAGTACAAGGGGAACAGAAAGACAAAGATACCTGTGCCAGATGCCACAGCAATAACTGTGCACAAGGGCACGCTTTACATCGTAGATAAGAGCGGAAGACTGAGCGTATACTGCATAGCCAGCCGCAAGATACGAGGCGAGTATTCTCTGCTCTCTGTCTTCCCATCGGTTCTGGAGAGCGTGGAGATCGAGATGGATGCAAAATACAAGCTGGCTATTCACGACATCACAGCAGTGGAGTATATGCTCGCCACCTACCTTCTGGTGCGTACGGTGAATAACGAAGTGATCGTGTACCGACAGAAAGACAGCAGATTCTTTAAAGAGACAGTGGCTAATAACGCGTTCTACCACGAGAAGCATGAAAGTGCGCATAAAGCACTCAGCCGGATACAGGTGTGCGGTGACTTAGTGTTCATCCCAGGGTGCAACCAGACACGAGTCCTCTGTTTTACGCCGTACACTCTTATTATGCACAGATACAACATGCCCATTGATTCAATCAGCGAGATTGCATCGCCAGAGGAAAGCCAGTACAGATACTTCATTATCATGGCAAAGGGAAACATAGTGCGAGGCACACTGCCTGACTACTACTCGTACGATAAACCCATATTCTACAGAAAGACCAAGGTAGACAGCATATGCCAGCACATTGCATACTCTGCCTGCAAAAAGGTGATAGTGGCTTCAGTCTATGTGGAGAAGGCGTACACACAGGAGATGATCCCGTTCACGGTGCAGGCAACAACTGAGCTGGATGCAGACCCCGTCCCTCTCCCTGCCATCCCCGATATAAGTGTGAACCCTCTGACGCGCGCATACTCTCTGAAGATATACTCGCACGATGAAATGAGGCAGTACTCTCGCTCCTCAGCTGTGCTTACATCGGTAGATGAGTACATGCTGGAAGACAATGAATACATCTCCTGCCACAGGATAGTCACCCTCCCAGATAAACAGAATACAGAAGGGTGCTCTGAGTTTGTGATAGTGTGCACCACATACATAACAGATGAAGACCTGATGGCGAGAGGAAGGCTGATTGTCTTAGAGATAGCATCAGTGGTCCCCAAAAGAGACAGAATAGAAACCAGACACAAGCTGAAGGCCCTGGCTGCTGAGAAAACAAAAGGAGCAGCAACAGCATGCGATGTCATCAAAGGAAACATCGTGGTGTGCATTGGAACTAAGCTCATGATCTACGTCTTTGACAGAAACGAAGGCCTCAAGGCAGTTGCATTCCACGACATCCACGTGTTCCTTACATCATGCATGGTCCTGAGGAATATAATTGTCTGCGGTGATGCGTATAAGGGAACTTTCCTGCTGTTCTACCAAAGCGAGCCTCCTTTGCTCCATATGCTATCGCAGAGCAGCGGAGGTGTGAATTTGCTTAAGGGCGTGGGAATGACTTTGTACGGGACATCTCTTAGCCTGCTGTCCTACGACTCATCAAACATCGTAACTATATACAGCTACTCGCCGCAGCACATTCTGTCTCAGGCGGGATCTCGCCTTATCTCCAGGGGAGAGTGCAAGCTGCCTGCGCCCATTGCAGGGTCATTCAGAATCGAGCTGGGGGGAATATACAGAACAGGGCTGTACACTAAAAACGGGTACGTGTACACGCATAAGACGCTAGACCAGAGCAAATACGTGTCTCTGCTGGATCTGCAGCACGCGGTAGAGTCCAACCTGTGGATGACCCTGGGGACCAACTCAAAGTCTCACTGGCTGACAGACAAGCCTGCAGAGATGAAGGAAATAACTCTTAAAGAAGTCCTCCAGACCGGGCTGATGGAAGAGTACTTCAGCATGTGCAATGTGCGCGCCAACAGAATTAGCGCTGAAACAGGAAGATCGTCATCAGGCGCTGTCAAAGATGAGCTCGAGTTTTACAGAGTAGCGCCTTAGCAATGCGTATAGCCTATGCATTGATTCTCTTCATATGCAAATATTTGCACATTTTCAGAACCGGCTAGAACTCGTCCATAATTTATAAATATACCATTTAAAATATTTTGTGTATTTCCTGTTCAGATTTATTTAGTTTATTTTATGCATTATCTTATTCCGCTATCCCAGCACTATTTACTCATTAGGCTAAACCCTCAATACTCACTGACAAGCTCTGCATCAGCTACCTCATTGACCTCAATGTATATTACCAGCACAGCTAGCTCCTAGCGGCACCTATATACTCTTTATATGGCAGATCAGTTAGCATTTTATAGCGCTTCATCAGTTGATCTTCTCGTCACATGGTTACACCGTAGACAGTTAAACTAAGAATAGAAGATAAGGAAATACAATGTACTTTATGATGACTTCTGATACTTAGCTATGTCAAGGAGAGCCTCCTTCAGTATGTCGAGTGTCTCTGGGTCTCTTTCCCTCGCAATTCTGCTTGCTACAGAGGCAAGAGCCTGCTGTATCAGCATCTTCTGTCTGCTGGGAGACGGCCTAGGCTGCACAACTCTTTCCCTTATTGGCGTAGCTGGCTGTGCTGTCTCTGCGACTTTGCTATTTGCTGCACATGGCGGATTTACTTGTGGTGCTGATTTCCCTTGGTATGCTGTTTTTTGTCCTGTGCTTTCTCCTTTGAGCCCCAGTCCTCTTATCCTGTGCGCGTATCGCAGCGTGTTCAGCGAGTGCTCTGTGGATGCTTCTTCTGGGGAGATTGTGGCTATGATACAGCACTTGGACTCTCCAACGAGCGACTCCTTCAAAACCTGCGTGAGCTTGCTGTGTCTGAACGGAAGATGCGTTGCTGATTTGTCCATCGCGCGGATGCACTCCTTCAGAGCCAGCAGACTCTTGTTTATCTCAGCTCCCTCCCGCTTAATAAGAGAGTGCTGCGACTCAGAGCCTCTCTCAGTTCCTCGCTCGCTCCCTGCCAGGTCTACGAATGTGAATATCCCCGTGGCAGTGCGCACCCGCACCAAAGCATGCGAGCGAGACGAGTTGCTGTTTGCACCTGTCTTCCCTGTCATCCTGCACTGCAGCCCTTTCCTTATCAGGCTAGTTGCATCTTCCATCTTTTCCACTGTGCACTCTTTGACTCCCATGATCGAAACCACGCCGTCTTTCTCTCTGGCAAATATTTTCTTTCTTTCATCCAGGAGATCAAAGATGCAGTTGGAGTATATCTCGTAGAAAGAGAGCTGTATTCTCTGCGTGAGAAGATCATTCAGCGCCTGGAATATCATTCCCGTGTGCTCATTCAGCATTGTGTATGTTTTCCCGCTTCCTGTCTGGCCGTATGCGATGCACGTAGAGCTTCCTCCATTCAGAGCATACTCCACCATGCCCTGCACACACTCTCTGTAAATATCGGTGGTGCTTGCGTACTCTCCGTACGCTCTGTCAAAGCTGTACGCGTGTGGCTCCATGTACGGTGTAAGATCTATTTTCTGCTTGCTCTCTGTGAGGACAACCTCTGTTCCTGACACTTCCACGGTGTCTCTTTTTCCGTCTTTTTTGATCGGTCTTTTTCTTACTACCACAATGATCCTGTTTTTATCGAGCAAACTGCTGCTGTTCGCATGCGAGTCTTCTTTTGCTCCCTCTGCCCAGCTCGTGGATCCTGTGCGGTCCTCCACAGATGCAATTGACGGGTACTCAGCGGATATGTCTGGCTCTGCAATGGAGAGATAGGATTTCTCGTCTATTTCCTGCTCGTCATTATTTGGGTAGCTGCTTTCTCCTAGAATGATGCTCTCCTCTGCCTCTTTCATTATCTCATCAACCATCTCCTTCTTTCTCTTCCATATACTCCCTGGGCTGTACCCATCTTTTATGACAGATATCCTTCTGCCTGTGCTGTACTCTGCTGATAGCCTGTGATCAGAATATCCTGTGTACACATCGCTATTACTCTGCATTCGATCACCGTACACATCAGTGCCCTGTAGATCTGCAGCCTCCATGGACCGCCGCGGTGATCTGTGCATGCTGTTTGCACTTTGATACGAGCTTCGTATTGCATGGCTATAGAGCTCCTGGGTGTGCATGGGGTCTTTCTGCATGCTGTGCTTTATCTCTTCAGGCGTTTTGCTGCTGAACTCAGCGCTAGACCTCGCTAGAGTCTGCATTCTCTGGTGGAGGGAGGCTCTGCGCTCTCCATCGTATGGATGCTCCGTATTGAGCTGCTTTATTAGCTCGAATATTCTTTTCCTTGGCTCAAACTCTGTGATCCCAAACTGCACAAGATCTGCGTACTTTACCTTCCGAAGATCGCTCGCCGAGTGCACTCCGTGCCCCTCCAGCACCTCTGTCCACTCTTCTGCTTTGTTTTCTCTTAGTATTTTCCTTATTGAGGCTGCGCCATCTGAGGCCATGCTTCCTAGCTCGTTACCTCCCATAGAATATTTAAAATTAAATTTCAATTCAACATTTTCATTCAATGTCTGTCCCGCTGCTAAATGAATGCAAGTGCAATATATGCACAGTGGATAGCGCTGTTCTTCCGGGATGGAGGTCTCTCCTTGACAAAGAGTTTCAGGCTGAGTACTTCTCAAAGATCAAAAAGTATCTGCACACCACAAAATTCTATCCCCTGCCCTCCAAGATCCTTCGGTGTCTATCTTTCTTCGAGTGCTCTGACACAAAGGTTGTGATACTCGGCCAGGACCCATACCACGGCCGAGACCAGGCAGAGGGTCTCTCCTTTTCCGTGCCTGTGGGAGTGCGCCCTCCCCCAAGCCTCCTCAACATCCGCAAGGAGATCCTCAGCAGCACAGGGATAAAATCAGCGTGTGTGGGAGGATCCCTCACCTCCTGGGCGCGGCAGGGTGTTCTTCTTCTGAACAGCACTCTAACGGTCACCCCAGAGAAGCCTCGCTCGCACGCTAGCATAGGATGGATGAGATTCACTGATGAAATCATTCAGCTGGTGAGCAGAGAGTCAACAGGCACTGTGTTTATGCTCTGGGGAAAGGACGCGCAGGAGAAGAGGCCTCTCATCGATGAGAGCAAGCACCTCGTCCTCGCAACCTCCCATCCCAGCCCCTTCAGCGCGCGCAGAGGGTTCCTGGGGAGCCAGCACTTTATGCTGGCAAATGCGTACCTTGCGTCCAAGGGGAAGAAACCGATTATTTGGTGAGAGTGAGTAACAATTTGCAAACACAAAAACAGATAATGCAATCTATAAAAAGAGAAAATTTTTGCACTTTTTATGAAGTACATATTAGTATGTGGAGGAGTTATTTCCGGTGTGGGAAAAGGTGTTATAGCCAGCAGCATAGGGAGGATATTAAAAGAAGAAGGACACCATGTGACAATTGTTAAAATTGATCCGTACTTGAATTTTAATGCAGGAACTTTGGGCCCTCGAGACCACGGAGAGGTGTTTGTTCTGGACGACGGAACGGAAACGGACTTAGATCTTGGAAATTACGAAAGATTCCTGGGCGCCAATTTGACAAAGTTTAACAGCATCACCAGCGGAAGAATGTACAGCGAGGTGATTAAGCGGGAGAGAGAGGGCGAGTATCTGGGAAAAACCGTGCAGGTAGTTCCCCACGTAACTGATCACATTAAGACAAGCATCCGGAACGCAGCATGTCTGCCCGTGGAGAACCACACAACACCCCCCACGATCTGCGTGATAGAGCTGGGTGGAGTAGTGGGCGACATCGAGTCCATTACGTTCATTGAAGCCCTGCGGCAGATGTACGTGGAGGAAGGCAGAGAGAACTTCACCGTTATAGGCGTTGACTACTCTCTGGAGCTGAACGGAGAGCACAAAACAAAGCCCATACAGGCCTCAGCGAAGAGAGCACGAGAGCTCGGCATTCCGTACGATGTCATTGTGTGCAGATCGCAGAAGAAGCTGGAGAAAGAGCCGCTTGATAAGATCGTTCTTTTCACAGGCGCAGAGAAGGTGCTGGAGATGCCTGACTGCAATGTGCTCGATGTTCCCACACAGCTGTGCAACTCCACGGGGATTCTCTCGTATCTCAAAAAAAGACTTATTCTTCCAGAAGCCGCTCCAATTGAGGAGAAAGGCACTTATTTCTTAAAGATCACATCGAAGAAGGAGAGAGTGTGCAAGGTGGCTATTGTAGGAAAGTACAGCAACCACGAGGACGCGTATCTCTCTATTAAAGAGTCTCTCAAGTTCGCAGGGGCAATTGACAGCCTAGCAACCGAAGTGCAGACAAGCTACTTTGATACTTCATCGTTCCCAGACAAAAGCAGTCTCTCTCAGCTCGACGAGTTTGACGGGATTATTATACCCGGCGGATTTGGGAGAAGAGGCGTCGAGGAGATGGTAATGGTGGCCAACTATGCGAGAGTAAATAAAATACCCTTGCTTGGGATCTGTCTGGGAATGCAGGTCATAGCCATTGAATACGCCAGAAATGTGCTGAACATCGCCAACGCAACAAGCGAGGAGATGGTGACGGAAGAAGACATCCACACAATTATCGACGATAAGATCAACGATGAAAACTGCCCCACAGACAAGACAGGATACTCGCTGATCATTGCAAAGAACTCAAACAAGATGAGAATAGGAAGGAATGAGACATCAACAATAGAGGGCACACGAGTAGCCACCTTCTACGGGGCTCCTGAGGGAGGCGTTATTTCCGAAAGGTTTAGACACAGATACGGCATAAATGTGCAGTACGTCCCAGAGTTCGAGAAAAACGGGCTTAGAATCGCAGCAAGACACAAGAACTACATTGACGCTCTGGAGGTCTCTGAGCACCCTTTCTACTGCGGTGTTCAGTTCCACCCTGAGTTCCTCTCAAAGCCTGAGTCTCCGCGCCCGTGTTTCTCGGCCTTCCTTACTGCCTGTCTGCGCCTGTAGTGAGGAATAATAGATATCCAATGTTGCCTGTTTGGTCTATTTATCTCCTGCAAAAGAAGAAAAAAGAATGCACCCTTCGCGTAAATAAATTGGAGTTACTCTTACTTGATTTCTATATTTATTGCTCTCTATGCTATCCACAGCGTGCAGTCTTTGAACCGCCTTATGATTTCTAGGATAAATAGGGGAGGTGTGTGGGTTTGTGCACTAGAGCCTATAAGGAACATGATGTGCGCTAGAAGCGCTGTGTGCACTGCGCAGGCATAGCTGTAGAGTATGCGAAGTATCCTCAGATACGCACTGAATACTGGCTTTTTAGAGACTCTTATTCTTCTACTGCATATTATCCCGTTGATTAGCATCGTAAGAATGACTGAGGTGTACATGCACACCATAAAACACTTATCTATGCCACTCCTAAACCATGTGCTTAGCTTTGTGCAGAGGAAGAGGTATATGCCTACAAGCGTAGATACACCTGCTACTGCTCCTAGCGCAGTCAGGAGTACGGATGATTTGTACGATGCTCTTTTGTAGTATCTGCTGTTTGTAGAAATAGTTCCCATCACTACGAATGAAGAAGCAGCTAGGATGCTGGGCACTGCTGCTGCTAGACCTATCTTAGAGTGCATGGAGAGGAGCCTGCACACTTCGTTTATGTGCAGCATTCCGAGAAGAATGGATATTATGGAGAGCGCGCCTGGTATGTAGACTGTTATGTAGCACGAAAGGAGAGTGTGCACCATTGACACTTTTATTGCACTCTCGCTAGCTGTTGTCTCAGCTGTTAGGATGGTTAGGTCGGGCTTTTCAATGTACCTGAACGTCTGTATTGACTCTAGTCTGCGAAATGTCTGGTCCAAAGGGTTTTTAGTGCTCTTTGGAGCAGCTTCTGAAGAATCTCCTGCATCTTCAGCTGGTTTTGCTCTCTCAATCGACTGTATTATCTCTGTGAATAGGATGTTCATGCTGGTGACTATCTCGGCCTTCTTCTTTTTTATCTGGCCCTCTTTCTCCCTTATCTCTTCGTAGTCTCTTGGCGTTCTGTGGAAGTTGCTCTCTTTTTCTTTGTTTTCGTGTGGGGTGTTTTTTATCTGTTTTAATTTTTCAATCTCTATTTCTATTTTATCTAATACATTGATCAGTATTTCTGTGTTTTTATCTTTTTCTGCTTCTGTTTTGGTGTGTGCTTTGTTCAGCTCTACCACGTACTTGCTGATCTCGTCTACTTCTGCACGGAGAGTGTGTATGCAGTGATCAGCCAGGGCTATTAGCTGTTTTATGTACGCCTCTGTCCTGTCTATGTGCGGTATGGTCTCTCCTGTCTCCTTCATCCCAAGTAAAACAATTAAATCTTAAATACTTTTCTTGCAGAAATATTTAGCTGCTCTTTTCAGACAAAATGGAGCACTAAATTTGATTATTGCATCTGTTTTCTTGTTTATCCCTGCTGGAATGTCTCGCATAGAAAGAATAACGAAGAGCATACAGAACAAATACCCACACGCAGTTGTGAACATAAAGGACGAAACGAAGTACCACATAGGGCACAAAGAAATACTGGACATCCAAAACCCGCAGGAGACCCATCTCAACATAACAGTGTACGATACGGCATTTGAAGACGCTTCGCCCATCAGCTCGATTCGAGAGATAAACAGGCTAATAAAAGACGAGTTCGCACAGGGACTGCATGCCGTAAAGATTGCATGCGAAGGTGCTCCCAAAGAGTAAAATAAATGCACTCTAGGAGTCCGCTATACACTCTCGAATTACACTACTTTATTCAGAATATTTTCATTTTTATTCCTACCAAAATAATATAAGTGTACATTTTCTAACTTACTAGAAACAGAGAACTAATTGAAGAGTAGTAGGTTACTGCATATAGCTATCTCCATCCTTCTCTCTGCTAATAGCGTACAACTATCTCATCAATGCTAGGCAGTGCTACATTGCTCTAATACAACATAGATAGAACTTTGACAGATATACAGTTGCAGCTTATTTCACTCTTGCCACTCTCAGATATACTGCTAATATTTCCATTAACTCATGCTTTGCTAGCATATCCTTGCACCTAACGGCTAGCTGCACTCTTTTGCTCTTTTAGAGCACTTATGAACTCGTTTGCAGCTACTCTGATCTCTTCATATTTGAGAAAAGAGAAACCAGAACTTAAACCACGCACTCCAAGACAAGATAGAATTTAGAATTAGCTCATTTATTTATTTAGTCTATCCTTTCATAACTACTTGAATAAAGACCTCTGGGCTTGTTACGGTGGATGTAATGGTTTTGAATGCATCGTATGAGGCAATTAGGTCAATGTACTTCTTGCGGATGATCATGGAGTATTTGTCGTACGTGTTTGATCCGTTACCACAGGGAGATCTTCTGGTGGTTATCTCTAGCCTGTTGTTCTTTGCGGAAACCGGTCCTTTGTTGCTTGGCTCCTCTGCCTTTGCCAGCTGGTAAATAGCGTATGCAACTCTCTCTATCTCCTCCTTGTTTCTGCTCACCAGGGTGATTCTCAAAGTCTGTTTGTTCTGCTCTGTCGTTTGCTCTACTTCTTTTTCATAGTCTTTTTCTGAGTGCATCTGCAGGGGAGACAAAAATTAAAATAAAAATGAGTTTATTCTTCTGAATCTTGTTTTCCCTCCTGGCTGAGAGCATACATCTTTGCCTTCCTAAACAGCTCCTCCTGCTCTTTCTCCAGCTCATCCTGCGTCAGCCCCGAGTCTTTCAGCTTGTTCTGCCGCGAGGGCCTTAGCTTCGCCTGTTCAATGTGGTCTTTATACGAGTCGTGGCATCTGTCAATGTACTCTTCAAAGCCCAGCTGCTTCAGCGCTCTGTACACGTGCTCGTGCGTAAGCGTCTTCTTCTGCTCTTTCTCGCACACGTCGTTTGCCTCTGTGGCTATGATGTGCACAAACTCTGCACAGCCGTCCAGGAGAAGCTGCTTTACTTCTCGGCTGCACGTAAGCGGTGCTTCCAGTGTTTCTGAAATTATCTTTTCTACCGATGCTCTTGGTATCTTGGGCTCTGGCTCAAGAGTCCTTCCCTCGCATTCCATCAAAATAAAAAAGAGTGGCTACTTCAAATTCTGCACAAAAAAGTGTTCAATGTCTTTTTGCTTGGTTTTTCCTATCCCCTTGAGGCTGAATGGCTTAGAGTCCTTGCTCTCCTGTGCTATCTGTCTTATGCTCTTTGATGCAAGGAGATTCACTGCGTCTGTTTTTGATATCTTTGGTATGGCTGATAAAAACAGCACTTTTCTTGCACTCAGCTCAGATTCTGCCCCTGGCACCTGTCTTCTTGCCTGCGCCACTGTGTCCTTGTAGTTTCTCAGGGCGCCTGGGGCCATCTCCTGTGTGTGCATGTTTTCTATGTATTTGGCGCACTCCATCGGTGTGTACGCTGGCACTATCTGCACACCCATCGACATGCAGTCTATCTGCAGGCTGGAAAATGCTGCTGCAGCTGACGGCGTGTTTATGTCGGCGTTTATCAAAAGAAGAAGGATGGGAACTCTTTTTGTCTCTGATGCCTTTATTTTTTCTATCCGGCTGAATATGTACTGCGGCGAAGTCATGTGCAGCTGAATGGTGATGTGGACCACGCCAAAGTGCTCCCCAGGCTCGTAGTCAAAGATCATGTATCTATACTCTATGTTTATCCTTCGTATCCATCTGATCAGCGCATTTCCCTTCTGAAGTTCGCTCACTCTCATTGGAATTAAAAACTCTGCTCATCAAAAGGGCGCTTTCTCCATTTGAGTAGTAGTCTGCGTCCTCGCCCTCCTCTGAAAATTTAAAAGTGTTCTTGTACATGTCTATCGCAGAGGTATTGGACACTCTCACATTAAGATACACCTTGAATGCGCCTATCTTGCGGGATCTAAGCTTTCTGACCACGCCGTGCAGAGAGGCTGCCAGAAGGATCTTCCCAAGCCCTCTGTTTCTGTACGCCTCATCAACTGCCACAGACATGATGTACCCTGAAACGTCATCTGTGCTTATTTTCTCGTCTTTCTCAATGTGGTCTTTTAATTTTGTAATTGAGTACCCGATGATGTCGCCTTTGTTGTTTTCTGCCACAAAGCAGCACTCTTCGTACATCGTTATCATGTAGAGAAGGAACATAATGTGGTAGTTCTCGGGCAGGTTTCTTCTGTTGCACTCTTTCACGTGGAAAACATCGCTAATTGACATAGTCCGGACTTTCATTCAAAATTTTTAATGAACTCGGAGAATCTCTCAAACCAAACAACAGACGACTTGCACCGCCGCCTCGAGAGCTACATTGTCAAAAAAAAGAAGTTAGAATTTGAGCTCCACTCGATAGAAAAGAAGATATATGCATACGAAGGCCTGCTGCTCGATGAAAACGGGAGCAAAGGCCTTTTCAGAAAAGTGGACAGCTACGGAGTGCGCAAAGAGAGGAAAGTGGGCATCAACGACTGCGACCGCCCTTTCTCCATGGACCTCCCGAGAAACATAGAGAGCAAGCCGTCTGATAGCGTGTAAATATTTGCTAAGATCAGTGGAGGATGCACCCGGGCTAATTAAAAGTGTCTAATGGATATAGAGCAAGAGAACTATTAATTTGTCCATTAATTATTCCAAATTAAAATGTAATTGCAATTAAAATGTCATTAAGCCTGTTTTCCTGCGCATAGACCTGCAAATGGGGTCTAGACCCGAGATAATAATAGTGCTCTTATCAGAATAATTGCGCCGTATTAATACTCTGTGATTTTAATGGGCATGAAGATTTTCTTATTCACAGTTCTACTCGGAGTTGCAAACTGCTTAAGAGCACCTAGTACGTGCGCGCAGCCTGGACAGATAGCCCTAGTCTTCAGCGATGGGCCTGTGCAGACAACCCCCGAGCTTGTGCAAACTCTCTCAGACCAAGGCATCCCTGCCACCTTCATGTTCTCCACTGTTAACATCGATCACTCAGGTGTCTCTGACGTGATAAGACAGGCTGTTGACGAAGGAAACACTGTGGGTCTCAGAACAAACCCCATCTACAACTTCAGCGACATGGAGGAAGAAGAGATAAGAGAGGCAATTGTGTGCGAGCTGAACGTCCTTGATGAGGTTTCTGGGCAGAAAACAAAGTACATCTCCATCAATCAGCCAGATGTAATGAACAGCACCGTTTTGAAGGTGATTGACGAGCTGGATCTCGTCCTGATCAACTACAACTACGACATGTACGGCACTGACGATGACTGCGATGACATGCTCAACAGATGGAAGCTGAAGCTGAAGTCTGTGCGCCCCCAGTCCACATCATACATTGTGCTGCAGCACGACCAAAGAGAGTCTGAGCTGGGAATGGTTCCAGATGTTGTTAATATGGGAGATGCTGCAGGGTTTAAGTTTGTGAACATTGATGACTGTCTCTCGGGCGTATCGATGGATGGGCCCGCGCCTTCAGGCGGAAGCGCAGCGTCGTGCTCCAGCGAGCCCTCTGAGAGAACGGGAACAAACAAAAACAGCTCGATGTCTCCTTTGATCCTTATGGGATGCGTAGCAGGTCTTCTTGCTCTTTAAGCTGTGCAGTGAGGCGTAATAAAGACAATAAATGTACATCCAAATAATAAAGATTTTTATGCTCATTGTGGGATTTGAAGGAAGCGCCAACAAACTAGGCATTGGCATAGTTAGAGGCGAGACCATTTTAGCGAACGAAAGAGAGACGTACATACCCCCGCAGGGCCAGGGATTCAAAATAACAGAGGCTGCATCGCACCACCAAGCGCACATTATGCCGCTCTTTAAGCGCGCGCTAGAGAAAGCCAACGTAAAGGTGGGAGAGATAGAGTATCTGGCATACACTGCAGGGCCTGGCATTGGGCCGTGTCTGCAGATAGTTGCAGTCTTTGTGAAGGTGCTAGCAGAGATGTACGACATTCCAGTGGTGCCCGTGAACCACTGCGTAGCCCACATAGAAATGGGGCGATTTATTACGCAGTCGGACAATCCGACAATTTTGTATGTGAGCGGGGGAAATACACAGATCATCGCATACCACGACAAGAAGTACAGGGTGTATGGAGAGACTCTCGACATAGCAATAGGAAACTGCCTGGACCGGCTGGCTCGGGAGCTAGACATACCAAACGACCCGTCCCCCGGATACAACATAGAAAAGCTTGCTAAGAATGGGACGAACTACATAAAACTGCCGTACACCATAAAGGGAATGGATGTTTCTTTTTCGGGAATATTTACGTACATAAAACAGTATCTGCAAGACTATCCGCTGACAGAGAGCCTGAAGGCAGACATCTGCTATTCTGTGCAGGAGACTGCGTTTGCCATGCTGGTAGAGGTTTCTGAAAGGGCCATGGCGTGCACGGGCTCGAATGAGATACTGGTTGTAGGCGGCGTGGGGTGCAACAAAAGGCTGCAAGAGATGGCAACAGCGATGGCAGTGCAGAGAAGCGGAAAGGGATACAGCGCAGATGAAAGGTACTGCATAGACAATGGGCTCATGATTGCGCACACCGCGTACAAGATGCTTTTGGGAGGGTATGAGTGCAAGGACAGAGAATGCAAGGTTACACAGCGATATAGAACAGACACAGTTGATGTAACCTGGCGCGAGTAGCATACTTCTTGTCTATAAAAGAGCATAGTTATGAAATAAAGAGTTTTTTCATTCTAATATCTACTCTGCTATATCTACTTATGGAATGCTATTCACATAGCTGTTTTTTCTTCGAAATCATAAAAGAATACTTGGTATTCTATTCGGAGTTATATCGGTCTTGCATATTACCTCTAACATTCTCTGTGATAATATATCCCAAAAGGGTTATGGTTTAGCGAGAAAAAATCAACACAAAGAACAAAATGAAAAGTAGATAAAGAGCATCTTTACAGTGTGATAAAACTAATCAGCAGATCAATAGCTATACTGTTTATGTATAAGACACGGATCGCAGAGACTAAAGAAGTACTATGAGATTCTAGAAATAGAAACGAAAATATAACCAGAAAATATTTTAATTTTATTATGATCTCGCGAAAGATACTCCTGAAACAAGTCCTGCTCCTATCATCAGTTGCTCTGGCTTATTTAAAAGTGGCCAGCTGTTTGCCAGAGAATAGATATGACCATTGGTATAATACAGAATACTTTTGGAACAAAAAGATAAGCTATATCAATAAACAAGTTAAAATTCGTGCAGAGTTTCTTAAGAGAGCTGAGTCTATTGCCAACTCTGAGAAAATGGGATTAAATTTTAATGCTGGTGAGTACATAGAGAAAGGAAAAAAGATTATGCCAGCAATAAAAGACGATTTAGAGTCTATTAAAACAGATTTTAAGCTGCTCAAAGACTTACTTAAAACGCTAAACAAAGTAAGCGGCAGCATCAGAAAAAGAAAAAATAATCCTAATAGTGCAATAGAGGCTGCTTGTGATGAACCAATCGAAAATTATTTCAGTACCAGAAGAGAAATTAACCCAAGAATAGAGCATTTATTGTCAATAATGCACAATAGAAACAAGTTGATGTTTGATAAAATACACGAATTCAATTCAGAGATGCTGGATTTCATAGAAGAGTACAGCGAAGAGAAGTATAAAGACACCAAGATGCAAGAATTGCACATATTCAGGCTGGCAAAGAGAAACAAGGTGCTCCCCACCAACATAATATTCACTTTCTTCGAAATAGACGCAAAAAGATTTTTAACAGATAAGAGAGCTTACAATAAGCAGTTTGAAGAAATGCTTGGTTTCTTGGACAGTCTTATTTATGACAGCACTCCCATTTACACCAATTATATAGTTCCTACAATAAAAGAAGTCCTAGACAAGAAAACAAACCCACTGGTCTCTGCGAATAAGTTCTTTCCATCTGTATTGCAGGACTATGGGTTGTACACAGATAAAGATGACACAACAGTCTATACGTACTTCAAGCTTACAGAAAATGCTATTTCTAACGAGGAAATAAAGAACTACAGAGATATTGCGCCCAAGCAGATTATAAAGCTGATAATGACCGAACACTTAATGGACGGGCATCTGCTAAACTACAAAGAAAACTGCTTGTTTTCTAACTTGGAGAAGATAGTATCAGACATGGAGAAAACAAAGCAGGATGCAGCACTCAATGCTCTGAGCGTGCTGTGGAATGATTGGTATTGCTCTTCTGTTAAAAGAGTGACTCCAGAAGAGTTCTGCAAAAATAATACTGTCAATGTCAAGAATTTAAGAAAACTAAAACAAGCTCTTATATACACCATTAGGTGGGTGTATACAATAGATAAATCAAACTTAGAAGGATTCGCTGCATTATCAAGAGAAGAGATAGCAAAAGAACTGCACTACGATCTATCATATCTACATCCTATGTGGTACATGATTAAGAGATATGAAAGTATTGCTCACCTAGACACGCCAGATCCCAACTGCAGCAGTAACTTATTCATAGGAGTAGGCGGAAAAGATAGCTTGCTTATAGTTAGACCGCACAAAATAAGCAAAAACGATGACTGTTTAATACGGGCAGAGAATATGAGAGACTTTATGAATACGTTTACTTCACTGACTTTGTTTGAAGTTGAATGCTTCTACAGACTTCAAGATGCCGACAAATCTCAAGAAATATACCAGAACTTCCTCGAGTGTTTGGAAATACCTCTAAAAATTAAAAACAATACATCTCTTATTGAAGAGCCCCAAGAAAAAGAGGTAGAGCGAGAGTTCAAGAAAATCAAACTATCAGACAACTAAGCTATCAATGAAGAAAGCTTTAGCATACTCAACGAATATTATTACCAAATAAAGGATAATTTTCAACTTTTGTTTTTCCATTTTTGGGCTGCCTTTATAATACTCATCTATGGTAAATATATGAGCTGTTTTTTCTTCGAAACCATAAAAGAATACTTGATATTTCTATTCGGAGTTCTAATAGCGTTTCACATTACCTCGTGCAGTCTCCGTGTAATATTAGCCTTCTTCTATTCTCTAATGCATTTTGTTTTTTATTCTTTTTGCAATATTCTTGTTTGTTTTTGCAATAAAGTGTATTTATATTAGGATGTCTGTACACTTTTTTTATAAAGCAGAGCTGGATAGTAAAATAGAGAGAAAAAGTCTACAATCAGACACTCAGTACACTTTATTTCACTAGGAAGATAAAAGTATGCAGATGCACTAAAACAAAAGTGTACATATAAATATACACCTCTATGAAACAATATACAGCTTTGCAATGATAGATGCTGAATATAACAGACAATAAAATACAGCCAGCTTGTAGATACTGCGCTTTCTATCTTTGTACAAAAGAGCTGTGTGTATTAATTGCACAACTACAGCTACTGCACATATTTTATATCTCGGAGAATGACAGAGCAAGAAATTAGCAAATTAATCGATGCACTGTGTTTTCTCTTCATTATTGAATATTTTTTTATTACTTCTTGTCCAAAAATAGTTTTAACACTTCATATGCCATCCATCTTAAAAGATGGCAAATTCAATGATCATTCATTTCTAAAGATGTCTGATCCAATGTAAAGAACTGATATGACACAAATTAAATCATTGCAAAGGTATAAATAGGAACGCACTTTTAGAATTACAAAATGAGTATAATGAGCAGAGTACAAAATCCAAATAGAGCTAACTCTCAGACACTTGAGATGGAGGAAAGAAGCCCAAGCAGCAATGTTCCTATGCTAGAGGAATCAAGCGAAGTGGAAATGAATGAAGTAGACACAGCACAGTCTGAAGATAGACAGTGCGGTTTCCTACAAAACTATAGGGGCATTGCAGTAATTATTACCGTAACAGTAGGACTGTGTGTTGCTTCATATCTACTGTATAGATATCTCTATTGCACAGAGCCTCTCCCTGATATAAAAAATGCTACTACGGCTGGAAAAGAGGTCATTGAAAGCATGACAACACCAACTATCTTTAATCAGACAAGTAAGCCGGCAGAAGGCATTGATCTAGTCAGTTCAACCCATAGCACGATATTGAATGAGGGAAATTATGGCGCAAAAAAAGCAAACTTTGGCACTCCTGTGTCGACTCTTTCCATGCCTAATAGCTTTAACACATCCGCAGAGACTTTAGTCAGTGATTTTACACCTAAGAATATTTCTACCTCTACTGCATCCATAGCTGAATATACTGCTACTTCTGCTACTACAGTGGCCAGTGAAGCAGTGAGTGAGATGCCAGAAGCTACACCATTTGTATCTGAAGCATCTGCAAATTTAACTAATGAAGTGACAGAGGCTACAGCAAATACCTATGCAAGTGAAATTACAACAGAAAAGATAGTGCCTGAGATTGAAAACATTAATAATTCTATGGTAATAGAGAATAGAACTGCTACCGTCTTAGATACATCAGTGGATAAGTCTACCACTAGCTTGCCATTAACAACAAGCGAGAAAGCAGATTTTACTACAACTGAAACTACCATAGCAGATTTTACTACAACCGAAGTAACAGTAGCTGAGAATGAATTAGCTGAAACTATAATGGATACAATTACTACAACAGAAAAGAGTGTGCTAGAAAATATAACTAGAAATTACTTTAACTTGAATAGTACTATCCAGAAGAGCAGGTGATTCAACATAGCATGAAATAAGAGCTATAGCGCATTCTTCAAAGTGCAGAACACCCTATTTTAAAACTTGAATGTTCTAAAGTGTTGCAATGCACTCTAACCGAACAATTTCTATATAAATTTATTTCATTTCATCTTTTTTATTATTTCTTTAGCAGTCTACTTTCTTATGCCCCGAGGCTTTATTCGTGCTCCATAGAGAAACCTGTGAATGGTAGACTCTTTCTTTGCTGCAATTGTGCTATAGAGATCCTGAGAATCATAGGGCATGAAAGACTTAGCATGTAAGAAGAACAACAACATAATCTTTATTATAAAAAGCCATCTAGACAGCCTGCGATTAATTTATCCTGAACTATACCAACTATGTACCCATTAAGTGTGTTATATAATATTTTTTATTTTCTGTATAAAAGATTCAACGTGCGTTTTAAATCGGCTCAGACAGACAAAGCCATTTTGTTTTCTGTTTGCATGATCGTTTATGAAATCAGAACAGCTGACCAAAGGCTTCTGCAGTTTGGCATTGATCCAGTTGTGAAACTCGCAGAATGAAAGAGAAAGAGACAATTTGCTGTTTGTGTTGAGCAGATTGCTTTTGCTGAATAGCTCCATCCCAGAGGCGCAGGGCGGACAGGGATACAGCACTGAAAGCGAGTTTACCAGGTCGTAGACGGCCTTCTTTTCTTGAAGCGTGGGGTTGGTGGGGTAGTGTTTGGCAATGGTGTGCAGAAGGTGCCAGGTTGACCGGCCTAGCTTCTCTTTTTCGCGTGCTGACAGCTTTCTATTCGCATTTTTCATTTTTACAAAGAATAAACTCTTGCAATTTATTGCATCCTAAACGCCCAGAGTGCCTGTGCAGCACACACGAGACAGCTCCTCTTTACACGCAGAAATGGTGATGGAGGACATATGCAGCAGTTTCATTGAAAGACAGATATTATACGCAGTCAAAACCGAGCACAAGATAGAGAAAGAGCATAGAGTTAGTGCGCTGTATGTGCATATCGCAAATATGCCAAGAAAGGGCGCTGTACCATCGTTTGAATACACTATCATTGGTTGCTATATAAAAATAACGGTAAAAACCTGGAAAGTAATTTAAATATTTTATTTACTGCCCACCACTCATGCTCCAGACGGGTTATAGTAGATAGACACAGCTATCATTCTCAGCCAGACAATCGGTTACATAGTCCTGCTGTTGGCAGTTTGCTACTGGCTTTTTAAAGTATGCTCAGCCTGATGGAGTTTCATTAAGTCTCTGCGAAGACATATTGAGATAGGAAGAACAGCCGTGCAAAAATAAAACACATATATCTAATAAAAAATCAAAGTATTTTACCATCTCCAACATACAACCGAGAATCAGCCACACATAGTAGAACAATTTGCAGAGATACCGTCATATAGTGTGGTGTATAGCATGTTTCATGCAGACGTGGTTATGCGCTATTTGGCACTGCATTCTCAGCAGGTGGCTGCATGTACTGGTCTATATCAGGCGGTGCGGTGCGGAATAGAAGATTGGGCTTAGACATGATGGAAGCTGAGAACTCGCTGTTCCACTGGATGACGGTATCTTTAAGCGCAGAAACCCAAGAGTATCCATGGCTCTTTGTCTTCATAACCTTCAGAAGCTTTTTCTTCAGAACTTCTCTCGACTTTCTAACTATTTTCAGAGACTGCGCAGTGCCTCTGCTAGGATATATGTGCAGGACTCTGTTTGCTGCCAAAAGACTGCTTATCTCGTCAGAGACAAATGCCTTGTCAAAGTCAGACTGCAGTATGTGCGGCCATCCCTCTTTTTCAAATAAAGCGGAAAGACATCGGCATATTTCCGCAGAGTCTTTCTGCTGCAGAGGGCATGCGAAGTGGTATCTGGAATAAACATCCACTATGTGCAAAATGTAGGAAAATCCCTCGTTGTGCACTGCATACTCTGCCATGCTAATGCAGTCCATCTGCAGCCTCTCCATGGAGAAGTACGCAGTGACCTCTTTTTCGCCATTTTTTTTGTTCTCCACTTTTGTTTTTCTCATCGCCTGCTGGCTTTCCAGCACACAGACAGAACACTTTGAAATCCAGTTGAGCAGGTGGTTCTTCCTAAACCCCATCCAATGCATGCGAATCTTCTTCCAGCTGGCAGCAGCCTTGCAGTGCCCAAAATAGTCATGCGCGTATCTACACACGTTGTTTATGCGCTCTATGTCGTCATTTCCCACAGCGACTAAACACACCCCATTGTCCTCCCGTATGAGCATTCCCTTACTGGTGGCAACAAACATTTTTGCCTTCTTCTTAAAATCGCGTTTCTGAAATCTAGTTTTGAAAATTGGAAATGTTCCTCTGCCAAGGTAGTCTTTTATTTCTTCTATGTTTTTCAGGGTAAGAAGCATGCTTATCTTCTGCTTTTTCCTAATATCTTTATTACCCATTATTATCTTCTTAAAATTTTTCCATAAATATATTTGTCTAGAAGGCATCTGAATACAGCGCTCATCACACTTATTATTGCTCAGCCAAACTTTTTATTCCAGAACAATTTTAATTACTGTGCGCACTTGCCGTGGCTAGAAGGCATACTGCTAAAAGTAAAGGAAAATCTTTTGATTTCTGCCCCAAAATCAGCAATAATAATTAATTAACACCATGCTATTCTTGCCATAAACAAACATTCTACACACTAAGCAAAGAAAAGCCTCAAGCTGCTCCATTGCTCAATGGAAATAGAGTTTAAATTCTCCAAGCAAGAAGACAGAGATGAATCGGCATGCACAGAGAACAAAAATGAACAGCTTGGATATATGTAGTATTTTATTAAACTTAGTCCCATTTGTCAAATGATGATTTGTTTTTTCCTACATTCGGTTTTTCTTCTGCTGTTTTCTGCACAGCGCTCTTTTCTGCTGCTTTTGACACAGCTCTTCTATTAGTCTCCTTTCCGCGTATGTAGTCAGTCAGCTGGCTGCCCTTCTCTTTAATGATCGTTGATGCAGGAGCTATGACCTTTTCAGACAAATGCTCTGAGATTGTGCTCGATGCCGAATAGAAATACTCTGCAGCCTTTCCAAAGACCTCTGTTATTCCCGTCTGTATTGTCTCCATTGAGGGAAGACCAGATGACACAGATGTGTTGTACATGTTTATATAGCTTGGCTGCGGTGCGCTCTCAGACTGCAGCTTCACATCCACTGCTGCGGGAGAGGGCGTGCTGTGCGCTTTCTTCTTCTCCTTTGGCGATGACTGCGGTGCAGCTATTTTTTCTTCGGGGAATATCTCGCTGACCGACTTTTTCAGCTTATCTGCGTACTCTTTCACGGCTTTGTGCTGGTACAGATCGTCTTTCGAGAGGTTCTCCAGCGAGTGTTTCTTTAAATACTCCAAAAACTGCGCATTCCCTCCGAGCTCCATCCTTTTGGTTTCAGCTGGGCTCCACACGTCCATGCTCATGCTCTTTACGGTGCTCACTTTGACTCCGTACGATCGATGTGTTCCTGCGCAATTCAAACACAGAAATATTCCGTACGTAATGGACGCCCATTGGGGCCTGGCCATGCCGCAGTCTACGCATTTCTTATTCTCTGGGCTGTTCGCAATTATTTCTTTGAGACTCGGAGTGTCTTTTTTGTGTGACATTTTTTTGTTTTTAAAATTCTTTATTTATTTATGATCTATCCATATACGTCCTGCCTCTTTTCTCAGATCAGATAGCATGTGCTCTATTTCTTCCCTGCTGGCTATGGACAGCTCCATGTATGCCTGTAGATCTTCTATTTTTCTGTCCAAGAGATCTGCCGACTCTTTTGAAAGCGGCGTGCTCATCTTGCCTCTAATCTCTCTGTTTTGCTTTATGTAGTCTCGTGCTTTTTGTTTTGTTTCTATTAGCAATTTTATCTTTTCATCTTCTAATCGGGCATTGTTTGCCTCTTCTATCAGCGCGTCTATCTCTTCTTTGGTCAGTCCTCCTGATGGCTCTATTTTCACGTTCTGCACGGCTCCTGTTTCTTTGTCTTTTGCTGTGACTGTGAATATCCCGTTGGCATCTGCTTCAAATGTTATTTCTATCTTGGGCACTCCTTTGGGGAGGGGAGGTATGCCGGACAGAACTATCTCTCCTAGGTACTTGTTATTTGCGACTAAGGCTCTCTCTCCCTCGTATATTTTCACAGTAACTGATGACTGTCCGTCTTCTGAAGTGGTGAATGTCTGCGTCTTCTTAATGGGAATTGACGTGTTCTTCTCCACAACTTTGCTGAAGATGCCTCCAAGTGTTTCTATGCCCAAGCTCAGAGGAGCTACATCGATCAGCAGATAGTCTTTCATCTCCCCTGCGAGTATTCCCCCCTGAATAGCTGCACCTGCTGCAACGGCTTCGTCTGGGTTTATGCCTGGTGTTATTCTCTTCCCAAATACTTTCTCAACTGCCCTGCGTATGGCAGGAATGCGAGTCATTCCTCCAACGACTATCACATTGTCTATTGCGCCCTTCTTGATATCTGCATCTAGCATAGCCTCTTTGCACGGGACAAGTGTCTTTTCTATCAATGGCGTGATTATATCTTCAAACTCCTCTCTGCTCAGATAAATTTTTGCCTTTTTTAATTTTTCAAGGCCTTTTATCCTATCAGCATCAGAAAATTCTATGACTGCTCTTTCTTCGCTGGACAGTGTGCACTTCGCTTTCTCTGCTGCTTTTCGCACTTCTTGCATAAGCTCTGGAACATTCTGCACTCGTATCCCGTAGTCCTTCTCTATTCTTCGAACCAAGTGATCAGTCAGTGCTGCATCAAAGTCTTCTCCGCCCAAATGGCTGTTTCCGTTTGTGGACTTTACTTCAAAAACACCGTCTTTTATCTCCAGTATAGACACATCAAAGGTCCCTCCTCCGAGGTCATACACTGCCACTGTGCCGTCCTGCGATGTGTCTATTCCGTACGACAGAGCAGCAGCTGTTGGCTCGTTGACAACTCGGAGCACAGTTAGCCCTGCTATCTCTCCAGACACTTTTGTAGCTTGTCTCTGCGAGTCTGTGAAGTATGCAGGAACTGTTATCACTGCCTTGCTTATCTTCTCTTTCAGCACATACTCAACAGACTCCTTTAAGTACTTGAGAACCTCAGATCCCACCTTCTGCGGTGAGTATCTTTTCCCATCTACCTCTATCCACGCATCTCCGTTTGTGTGAGGCACAACTTTGTATGGGACTGTGCCCATGTGCTCGATGGTCTCTGGGTCTGTGTACTTCCTGCCCATAAGCCGCTTGGACGATGTGATAACAGACGGCAGGTCTCTAAGGGCTTCTTTTTTAGCTGCTTCGCCCACTAATATCTTTCCTCCTGTGAAGGAAACCACTGAAGGCGTTGTTCTTTTGCCCTGCATGTTTTCTATGATCTTTGCTTTTCCGTCCTGCAGAACAGCTGCGCAAGAGTTCGTTGTTCCCAGATCTATTCCGAGCACTCTCTCGGTGTACCCCCGAAATATCTGGCTCGTTAGAAGGGCAGGCTGCATGATATCACCCACGCCCCTGAAGAGTCTTGAGAGGCTGGCTGCTTCTGTTATGCTGTTTATTAATTTGGCTGTGGCTCTCTTTATTCCCATTTGGTAAATTTTTTCTATGGATGAAGATTTGTTGCTGAGTTTTTCAGATGATGCAGACAAAAATACGGAGGAATCTTCGCTTCTCAAGAAGAACAAGGCGCTCCAAAGCGGCCTGCACCGGGAGTACCTTGATTTAGTCAGCAAAATGGACACAGTACAGGTCCTGCGCAAGCACATAAACTCTTTCAAGAAGAAAACACGAAAGCGAACAAGAACGCTGCAACTGGCAAAAAAAGATAGCTACAGGATGAAGCTCGTGAAAATAGAAGACGAAGAGACCCCTGTTGCACTGAAGCTCGTCTCTGATATAAACGTGTTTCTTGTATCAAAAAAGATAACTGCGCCTGCAATTAGCGACAACGTCTGGAGAAGCGTGGCTGAGAGAGTCAAGGCGCCTATCCACGAGTGCATGAGTCTCTGGTACCACCCGCACAACCCCATATACAGAAAAGACAAGTTCCAGCCAGAAGAAGACAGGGAAATCCTGAAAAACGAAGGAGACTGGGCGAAAGTCTACACACAGATGAGAAGAGCGCCCATCACAATATACTCGAGATACCTTGAGCTGCAGAAGAGCAGGCCTACGTCCCAGTGGGATCCTGAGGAAGATGTTGTGCTCGCATCACTCGTGCAGAAGGAAGGAAAGCAGAGCTGGACAGAGATAGCGACGTACTTCAAAAATAAAACACCAAAGCAGTGCATGTACAGATACAAGCGAGTTTTAAACCCAGAGATAAAACACGGAAAATGGTCGAAGGAAGAAGACGACGCCCTTTTAGAGGCGGTAGAGAAGTGCAAAAAGGGGAACTGGAAACAGATATGCAAATACATCCCAGGCAGAACACAGTTCCAGTGCAGAGAGAGATACCTGTACCACATAGACCCAAATATAAATAATAACTCGTGGACAGAAGAAGAAGATGCAAAGCTACTGGACATTGTCAGCCTCTCTGAGAAACACGTGTGGACTAAAATATCGAAAGAGTTTGTGAATCGCAGTGACAGGCAGTGCAGAGTGAGGTACTACCAGCTAGTGGGGTACTGCACGAGCAGAAAGAAAAAGAAGCCCGGCTAGCCACTCTCTAGGCATTTTTGCGTTCTGAGCACTGAGATTTAATTAGTGGTTTAATATTTTGTTTAAAATGGCAGAGCATCTGAGAAGACTTGAAAACGCGCTGAAAAAGATAAGGATAGACTTCCCAGGGATACTGGTGGAGAACTATGCCGCAGGCCCTGTGATACAGAGCATATTATCGTCAGAAAAAACACAGGATGAGTTTGAAAATGTGTACAGGATGCTCACCGCAGGCATAGAGCCGCTAATAGAAGAAAATACAGAGCAGCTGAAAGACTCAGCTATTTGCTACCACAAGGTGCACAAAGAAGTGATAGCTGCGGCAAACAGCATCTCCGAGGCAGAGTCATACCTCAGCTCTCTTGTCTCGGCTCTTAAGGCAGATAATGTCTCGCAGTATCTAGAGGAGCTAAAGGAGGAGCAGAGCAGGCATGAAGAAGAGATGAAAGAGTCAGAAACAAAGCAGGCCCTGGCGGTGGATACGCTGTCGATCAAGGACATATATTCAGGCAGACTGTCTGGCATAATGAACAACCTGCAGTACGTAGCAGAAAAAACAGCTAGGTCAGAAATAAAGTACCAGACAGAGAACGCGCTTTGGCGAATAAAGAAGGAAATTGAGAAAAGAGTGAAAGAGAGCTTAAGGGGAAGAGGAGAGATCACGCAGATGGATGTGACAGTGCTTAGGAAAATATCAGGATGCTCGCTGGTTGCAGTGCATGAAGCCGTTGATTCGCTAATGATCGAAATAATCAATAAAATATCAAACGACCTGAGAAAGTCCATAAACAAAAAAGAGAGCTACACAAAGGAGGAAGAAGCGCACTCTATCTCTCGAGCCCTGCTGCAGTTTTCAAATAGCGTGTCTGATCTTCTGCACAGAGTGCACAGCATTCTTCGAAAAGAAAAAGAAGAGGAGGAGACTCTCAGTAGAAAATACAGGTACAGCCCAGAGCTGTACGAGAACATCAAGCTAAACAGAGAAAAGCCGTACAAATCAGCGCAGATAAGCCTACCGCTGTACGAATCTGCAGTGACAGAGAAAGAGATATTTGATAAGATAGTGGAATGGGTGCAAAAGTTCTTCAAAAGACTTATAGGAAACAGTGAACACATCTCGGGTGACAGCGCAAGCTACAACATAGAGAAGATCAATAGGACAGATGGAGCAAATATGCTGTACAAAGAGCTCTATGTGAACAAGTACGGTGAGCTCTCTGCCTCGGAGGAGAGCACCTGTGCATCAGTCTCTGTTATGAATGTGTATTCTGTTAAGTCAGAAGAGTCTATACTCATTATACACGGATGCTCACTGGAGATCTCATCAGCTCTAAGAGAGGTACTGGCCAGTGTGCTTCCTGAGCACGTTAACCTGTCTGAAAAGGTGAAGGATCTCGAAATATCGCGGTGTTTCAAGAACAAACGCAAGTCTCTGCTTGCTCTAGTCGAGAGAGCAACCTCCCAGGTGTCTTTAGACCACACATCAACGTTCTTGCAGAAGTACTGCATAAAAGTAAAAGAAATACTAATTGCACTTGGCAGACTTATTTCTGTGCCGGTGCATGGTCTTGACGCAGAGATAGTAAAAACGATAGAAGAAGTGCTGGAGAAGATGCTGCCCTCGCTGAATGAGGTCTTCAGGGTGGTTGCTCGTCTGCCAAGTGGTGAACCCAAAGATATTCAGTACTATGACAAGTCACTTACATCGCAGGAAATAGAGAGATGGAATAATCCGTTGAAAGAGAGTGCGCTGGGCCCTTCCATATTCTCTGCCTGCACAAGCAAAAAGTTCAGTGCTATTTCAGAGCTCATGCAGATACCAGAAGAAATAGTCTTTTTAGTGCAGAGAATGATATCCACGCTGGACAATGCTCCGCAGAGAAACAACAGAATTAAAGCAAATAACGAAGAAAAAACTGAACAGAAAAACATCCCAACAAGGCTCACAGAAATAAAAACAGAAGCCAGTGATCTATCGCATAGAGTGTTTGGCCACTTTACTTCGCATTTGCTTGCTCTGGCCCAGACAACGCTGGAACAGCTGCTGATTAAAGGCGATATTCTAGACAGGAAGCTGTGCCACTTCTTGGAGCAGGATGTGTTCTTAGTTAGGGAGAGCAAACACGTGCTGCTAGAGTATATAACAACCCATCTTCTCCTGAACATAGAAAAGTGTGTAGAATACGCTGAAAATCCTGTATTCAGGCAGCTGGTGTCTGGACTGCAGCACCAACTTGTGCAGGACATTCCGGTAGAGTCTGATGTTCGCGTAAAGTACTCACCGATGAACATTTTCTACATAATCCCGTACTGCGTGAAGAAGGACAAAGTCTTTTTCTCAGGAGCCCTTGGAATGTACATGGAGAGCAATCTGATATCCAGGAAAATCATAGAGATCTCTGGGCTTGAAGAAGAAATAAAAGAGAAGAGCTGATAAAGCAGAATAAGAGAAACTAGATAAATAAAAGATCAATCTTAAACAAATAAATAGCTGATTTATTATCTACAGATAAGTATACTATTTGGATCTTAATCTCTTTATCTATTTGCTGAGAACTGCGGTCATGCAGGCTCTATTATTCCCAGAAACGAAACATCGTCAAAAGCAGAAATTTCTCCTTTGCTCTTTGTCTCTCCAAGATACATTCTCTTTCCCGTTCCCGGGTCCTTTATCACATGCATGTTAAAAGTGCATATGACCTTCGTGCAGACATCAATGTGGCTCATTAGCACGCTTCCCTGTTTCTTGGAAAGGTATTCAATTGTTGCATCCACCGTCTTGTGCATCATCATCAGCTTGTGCGCTGTTATCAGGCCAACTTTACTGATTCCATCGGTGTAGTCGCACCCGCAGAGAGACACAATCTCCTTCAGCTGGGTAAGCAGACAGCTCACAGAGACGGGGCAGTTTGCAAGAATTCTCTCTCTGTTGTAGAACTCTCCCCCCTGGGCTTCATTCAGCTTGAAGAGAACCTTTTTAGCGCCATAGACGATTAAGTCGCTGTCTTCCGTTGTGATGCAGTCGATGTATCCCTCTCTCTCCAGATACACCAGCTGGGGATCGGCTTCATACGGTGCGATCATGTACGGAATGCTCATTTCCTTAAGGGCTCTCATCAAATTGCTTACCATGGCGTCGTCTACCTTGAGACACCTGCTCATCAGAGCCTTTGCCTCTCGCATGTTTCCTCTTTTCATGCATGCTTCTATTTTGCTCTGTGCTTCTGCCTTTCTTTTCCTTCTTTTTTGGTTTGTGGCCTTCTTCATCGGATGCTCTTCTCCATCAAAGACAAAGTACAGCTGTATGTTGTGAGCTATCAGCGCCTTGCACTTCCGCACACAAAAATTAACGTATTTATTTACAACATCAGGATCATTGGGCCGCAGATAGACATCCGCTGCATAGACTGTGATGGCTTTGTAGAGCCAGGAGTACCCGTCCACGCCCATCTTCATGCCTCGCAGGTCAGAGACTTCTACGTAGTTTATGTGATCTTTAAGCATAGGCAACAGCCCTGTTATCCCCATGGATAGAATAGCAGAAAAGAAATTAGAAATAGTATATATTCCCGCCAAAAAAGCAGGAAAAGAAAAGGGCAAATAAAAAAGGTAGAAGCTGTGCAGTGAGTGTGCACAAAGCACAGCATGCTACACTGTAGCTCTCTAACACTGTAGTATTTAAAGGAAGACAGTACATATTATATACAGCATGCTAATTGCAATGAATTAGCAAGCGGTAGAATGCTCTCAAATAAATAAAGAAAAATAGTAGAGCATATTATTTATGCAGAGCAGCACAGTACCAGTATAAACAGATTTATATCCTATACATAGCACCTTCGTACAGTAGCCTTTGTGCAATAGAAAGCCCTCAAATGAGTTCAAATTGGACAATGGATGTTTATTGCTCTCTTATTCCCGGTTGTCAATAAAACGGCTTAAAGGCTTAGACTGAGATACATTCTCTGATTACATTTGGATGATTGAAGTATCTTCAAGTATTAGTGTTAATATACCATTGACGTATGGCAAATGCTAGTGCACTATAATGCTCTACTCCCACATGTAAAACTAAAGAATTGCTCAACTGACTTATGTGAGTGCAAATTAAGAATATTAGAGAATTGTGTCCAGCACTAGACTCTTTTAAGCATAGAGCACAGCAGAAAAATTTGCATATTCAGCGCTGCAAAAAGAGGAATGCATGTAAATAAGCTGTTAGAACTCATCTAGCTGTAAAATAAGAGCAAAAGTAAGCACAGGGTATGGTATACGCCATTTATTTATCTTGGCACTTAGTTGAGATAGATTCCATTGAGGGCCATCTTTCTAATGCCTATCTTCTTAATGGTTCTTCTTCTGTTGATGATGGGGTTTTCCATCTCCTTTGCGTATCTTTCTTCGAAGCTCATCAGAGTTTTCTTTCCAACGGGGTGCTCTCTCTTGTGCTCGTCCTTCAAGGCCTGCAGGGCTGCTGCGGGCATTCCCCTGGTGGGAAGCATCTGCCACTGTCTTGGCTTGTATATTCCGTTTCTGTGTGCTTTTCTATTTTGGTTCTGGTTGGTATGGTTCTTTCCCTTGGCCATTAATAATTACTGCAAGGGGATGAAAAATTAAAATAAAGAATGCGAACTTCCAAATATTGAAGAGCACCGCGCAGAAGGCCAGACAGCTCTCCCGCCTCCAGCACTGCTCCATAACAAGTGCCTAGACGAAGCATCTGCCGTGCGCGCGCTCTTTCCTCTCTCTTTTAGTTTCGCTACTCTTTTTATTTCTTTTATTTTTCATCCCCTGTCATGCCATTTAAGAGAGAAGAGTCGTCTACTATAAAAGACAACAGAGAAGTGGTTGAAATTCTGAAGAGCAAACTAGAGGGAAAGAACATTTCCAGCACAGCATACGATGCAGTGGAGGTCCGGCAGCTAGATATCAACAGCATGCTTATTACCGTTGTAGTAGTGCCCACATCCATCCTCAACAAAATGAAGAAAGAGAAACAGGCCATCATCGAGAAAATAGAACAGGCTGCCAACGGAACAGTGTTCATCATCAGAAAGAGAGCTGTCACCGAAGTGGAGGGAAGAGGAGAGAAGAAAGTGCTCAGCTCCAGCGTAACATACGTTGACTACCAGGAGGCAGTTGCATCTGACTTGGTGGCACCATCGCACATCGTTGATAGAAGAACCGTCGTTAGGGAGGATGGATCAAAGATCGAGAAGATGATAATCGACCTAAAGAGCAAGAAGGATATGACCAACAGATTTGAGCCCATGGGAGAGGTCTTTGAGCACCTATTCAGCAGAAAAGCAGTATTCCAAGCTAACTACTATTAAATACCTTTCTTATTATTATTATTATTTTTGTTTTCTTTTCTTAATGGATGAAGAGTGCAGCAGCAACACACAGCGCGCAAGTGTTTCTCTCCCGCGGCCTGTGCGATTTTACAAGCCGTACCAAAACAGAAAAACCGCCGGGGAAAAGGCGGTTGACGAAGTCTCCGGGCTTGACATGTCGCTGCAGGGGCTCAAGCTGATATCCCAGCGCATAATGAACTGGGACACACTTAGTACGCTCTGTCTGTCATATAACAGCATATCTGAGATACCCCCAGAGATATCAAAGCTCTCGGGGCTCACTGTTCTGGACCTCTCGCACAACAGAATCAAGAAGGTGCCGCGGGAGATAGGAAAGCTGTACAACCTGAGAGAGCTGCGGCTTGGGAGCAACTTGCTCTCCTCTGTGCCGCTGGAGTTTGGGATGCTCTACCAAATGGAGAAGCTAGACCTAGAAGACAACCCTCTGATAGGACAGATCCATGCAGTGTACAACACGTCTGGAGGCATTGGAGTGATCAGATACTGCAGAGACAACGTGGCCATGTCTTTCCCGTACTGGGAGAGAGAGTGGATATTCGCACAGCAAGAGGAGGCCCTTTCGCAGGACTACAGCGAGACAATCACAGTTGCTACGTACAATATATTGTGTCCTACGTACGCAAACAGCCAGAGCTTCTCGTACGTCCCCACGTGGGCCCTGCAGTGGGAGTCCAGGAAGGCAACCATCCTGCAGGAGACAGCATCGTATGGAGCGGACATTCTGTGCATCCAGGAAATGGATACGGGCAGCTACTCCGACTACTTTAGAGAGCAGTTTAAGCTGAGGGGAGACTACGACTCGGTGTTCTACCAGAAGTCAAGAGCAAGGACTATGGTGGAGGGAGAAAAGAGGCTGGTAGATGGATGTGCGATATTTTGGAAAAGCTCGTTCTTCCAGCTCGTAGAGCAAAGATGTATATACCTATCGCAGCTATTCCCGCAGAAGAGCATCTCCGAGAATGAGCACATCGCAAACAGATTCCTGAGCAGAGACAACATTGGTCTTGCGATTGTCCTGGAAAGAGAAGGAGGAAGGCACACTGTTGTAGTCAACACGCACATCCACTGGGATCCTGAGTACCCTGACGTAAAGACGCTGCAGGGGATTATGCTTCTGAAGGAGCTCGATGGCATCATGCAGAGGTATCCGAATGCTGAGCTCGTGCTCTGCGGTGATTTTAACTCGCTTCCTAGCTCTTCCCTGTACGAGCTGTACTCAGGCGGAGTGCTAAAGCCCAACAGCAAAGACTTATTGGGCCTGGCATACGAGCCGTACAGCAACAAAGGATACTCGCACAGCCTTGGGCTAATGGATAGCTACTCGTTTGTAAATATGGGGTTCACCAACTACACCCCGGGCTTTGCAGGAGTGATAGACTACATCTGGTACAACGATAAGCTAAAGCCTGTGTGCTCTCTGGGCCCTGTTGACGAGGAGTATGTGTCTAAGATAGTAGGGCTTCCCACGCACCACTATCCGTCAGACCATCTCATACTCGTTACGCAGTTCAAGTGCAAAGGAGGGCCATGGAAAAACAATATGAATAAATAGCAGTGAAGAGCTGTCTGCAGCGTTAGATAAGGGTGCAGTGTGTATAGCTTTTGCTGAGGATTTAGCATGGCTCTTCTGCTGGATAGAGAAAGGAGAATTGCACTGACATGGAATTATTAAAAGGCTAATCAGAGTGATCGTGATTCAGAGCTTTGTGCTGGGTGCTCTTGGATTTGGCTAGATCGTGTGTGCAGATATCAGTGAGAAAGTATAAAAGAGTTCTCTAATAAAAAAGAATGAAACTATACAGAATTTATTTATTTGTAGCTTTTTTATTTATGTCCATTCTAACCATCCATCTTTCTTCAGCAAATATTCAAAGCAATCTGTTCGGATGTGAGAAGATAATGGACACGAATAAAATGGTAGATGGGATACACAGTGACATAAAAAGCGGTGACCTGTTCGTAGTTGATGATGTTGATAAAGAGTTCTCAGATAGGAGCCTGCTATTTAAGATACATAGAAAGGAATTTACGTATTCGAGCGATGGAGACTCTAAGAACAACGAAAGTGTCATCAGTCTGCACTACAAGCTATTAGACAGTGCTAAAACCAGAAGCATCATGGACAATGAAGAAGATCAGGGGCACGCGTGTGCAAATGCCAGCAACTCGGATATAAAGTCACTGAGCAATGAGATGTACAGAATGTACTGCCAAAAAGACCCTGAAGACCACTTTGACTTTCTGGACAGCGTTATGGAGAGAGGGCCCATAACTACGTCTTCTCAAAACACGATTGCAACACCTGAGATAAAAATTATCATGAAATACGTCCCAGAAGAGTACATTGCAAAGACAATAAATCTGTGTGCTAAAAACCACCTGGAGAATGCAATGTTCTACAAGGTAATGGCAAGCCTTGCAGACAACTACTGCTTCAAGCCGATAGAAAATGCAGACTGGCAGAACAAGCTTTCCAGATGTGCGGTTATTTTCGGTGCTATTCTGTACGATATGCACAAAACAGAGCTAATCGATCGGCTCCAGTACCTAGTTGACAGCACAAAAGACGTGCTAAAAGTTCTGGAACACCAAGAAGACCGCAAGGAAATATACAAGGTGCTGGCTGCACAGATAAAGATAGAGCACTCTTTACTGAGCCCAAGACTAGCTCGCTTTAAAAATATGCACCTAGTATTTCTTGATCTATTTTCTGCACAAGAGGAGAAGCTTACTAAGGGTACAGCAAATATTAAAATATCTTTTACAGTAGAGCCAAAGCATGGTGCTGTGAATGAAACGTCCAATGAAGAGTGCGAGGACATGGAGAAAGTGGATAGCATACTAGATGTATCCAAGAATGACATCTGCTATAAATCCAATCCCTTTGCTCTCAAAAACATACAGTTTGAAAGAGAGATAGTCTCAGAGAGCGAAATAGTTCTGTCGATGGAGAAAAATGAAGACAACTTGCTGGAGTATATCAAAGGCATGCTAAGCGACATACAAAAAACTAAGAAAATTCTGCAGCACATACTGGGAAAAGGAGCCACCATACTCCACCACAGCAACTCAGATCCCAAGCAGCTAATGGCTGTGTATGACCAGAGGCTCTTTGAGATAAGAAAGTCCATAGATCACCGGTACAAAGACTCGCATCGAAATTTCATGCAGTACAATAATTTTGCAAAATCCCTGTGCAGCGACTATAAGATATGTGAAGCCCCCCGTAATCCTCTAACTGTGCCCATCGATGACACAAAGCCAGCAATGAACACTTCAGAGCAGATTATTTCACCCACAGATAGCACGGAATAGTCTATATCTATTGACAGCAGCAATTTCTTAGTGATAAAAAGCATCAGCACAGACTCACACTCTTTATTTCTGTTTGTCTAACTTTTTCTATAGATAGCTATCTAATTTCCTTTTTGGTCAGACACTCTTTGAAAATACAACAGACAAAAATAAATCATTTTAACATGTTTTTATTATGTAGCAACTACAAGCTTTATCAAATACTCGTAAAACCGAGCAAAGTCAATATCCTCGGTGACTATCGTCTGCCCTTCTCCGCTTGAGCTATTCGCAACTGACGATGCAGGGTTTACCTTGCACAGCAGAATTCTCTCCTGCGAGCTGTACTGATCGCAGTGCGTGAGCTTTGGAACGGGCAGCCTGCTGTCAACAAGGGCTTTAGCTTCTTTTTCTAGCGACTCCAGCATATCTTTGAAGAACCAGTACTCAGGATTCTCTTTCACGCCTGCCTTCATCCAGGAGGCAATGTTCTCCCCGTACCATATCACTACATCGTGGAAAGTGTCCACAAGCAGAGCCACATCAGACTTCAGCGATCTTGAGTCCAGCTCTACAGGAGACCTCTCTCCCGTGTAGTGGAAAGCCACCAGAGAAGGCCTTATAATGCACATCGTGGAAGATGAGTCTTCATTCAGAAGAATCGTTCTCTGGTATGCTACTTCGTCCAGACTCAGCCCGTCTGTGTGCAGGGCTGGGAGTCTTCGCAGGAAGAACATAAACTCAGGGAAGAATGACATCATGGGAGGCACTCTTATCGACCCTGCGCTGTCTCTTTCGAATGTGCAGAATCTCTGCATGAATCTGATGAGGCATCTATCTGCCTGTCGAATGACGTCAATTCCATCGCCATTATCTGCGTTGACAGAGAGCTCTTTGGCCTTGAAGACACACGCAGCCTCCTGGTCAAATCCCAGTATCAGCTGCTGGAGATTGTTCGAGTTCCCAAATGACCTGGCAAGGGTGGTGACTCTTTCGTACGACTCTCCTGTGCTGTCTACAAACTTAGTGCATATCTGCAGAAAGACTGCGCTGCCTGCTGGCGCATCTTCGATCTGCTCAAAGACCAGTGCGCTTGTTGATCTGTCAAAGAGGGAGCCCTGGCGCCAGACGTAGTTCTGCTTTTTATCGACACTCTGCTCAAACCCATGCCCGTACGCGTTCTTTATTCTGTACCCTTTGGTGATCTTTGCGGTGGTGCGGGCGTCAAAGACTCTTTTCATCGCATTTTCCTCCTTATCTTCGCTCTTCATAAAGATGCGCTTGATCGATTCCTTATAAATATACGGGTTGAAGTCTCTGGCAAACACCGATGTTCCTGCTGTTTTCTCGATCAGGCTTCTCATCTCGGCAAACCCAAAGTCGTCAATTCCTGCTGCTATAATGTCAATTACATGCCCCTTAGCTCCCATGGCGTTTGCTATTGTTTCGTATATAGACTCTTTGGAGAACAATTTTGTTATTTCTTTTCCTGCGATTCGAAGAGACTGCTTCAAACTAAGCGAAGAAATGGCGCCTGGGCCGTACGTGCATGGGCCCTGCGTGAAGACTATCATGTGCCCTGTCGCCTCTGCGCACGTGCTTTGTATTATGCTGCTAGCCAGCTGAATTGCGCTCCCTGTGCATCTCTTTGGCCTTTCCATTGTGGGCACGGGGAAGGGATTGAGCTGCAGATTCTTAAATATCTGCTCAACATACTCCACACAGTCTCCCTTTCTCCTCGTGAACTTAGACAGAGGAGAGATGGCGCTGCTTCCCGACGAAAACGCCTTTTGGAGAATTGCAGGCGTATAATCAACAGCTGGGAAGACGTGCACTTTTCTTACATCAAGGTTCTCCAGGCTGATAATTTCAATGTTTGCGCTGTATCTTATTATTCCCACACTGTCGTCCTCTCCAATGCCCTGAAGAGCTGTTAAAAGCCCGTCCTTCAGTAAGAGGTGTCTCTCCTCGTCGAAGCTGCACAGATCAATGACGAACCAATATGTTCTTTTGTATCCAGATGTTCTGCTTCCTTTGTAGAACACTGTGGTGCTATCGCTGAAGAGCTCGTACGGCAGATTGTCCTGTGTTATTCCTCTGTAGTGGGGAGGCAGCATGTTCATTCTTCCGCAGAAGAGACACCCCCAGTGCTTGGACCCAAAGTCAATCGATGAGTAGGGGCTCAGCACGCTCGAGCACTCTGGCCTGGCGCATCGAACAGCAGGATAGCCTACCTGCAGCAAAGAGCCATTGTGGTATCCGTGCATGGGCTTGTAGGAGCACACCAGCGGGATAACGTTCTTCGATGTTTCATTCTTGCTGTTTGAAAAAGTATTCCATGTAAGACGAATTCCTTCCTTCTCCTCTACACTTCTAATAGCTTCTTCCATTCAAATAAATAAAAGAAATAATTTATTCATTCTTCGCGCTCAGATAGGTAGAGAGCAAGACTATATTAAACACTACAGGGGAGCAATAAAGAGTGTCCTTCCAGGAGAATAAGATAGAGGGTGTGCGGAGACTCTTTTGTCTGCTCTTTCACATACTCTCTAAGTCTATCACAGACCCATTCATTCTTTCTAATCTCTGCATCGAACATTTCTTCAAGCTGTTTTTGTCTCTTTATGTGCATGTACTCATCGTATCCCAGCCTCACAGATGAAGTATGCTGCAGAGAAGGCTGTGATATTTGGCTGTCTAAGTGTATACTGTTTCTCTTATATGCTAAAACTCTGGCGCCTTCATCTCTACTCCGCACTTTTGTGCTATCTGTGAGTATAAGGTGCGTAAAGGTAGATTCTTTCAGCCGGCTGTGCACATTCTGTATTCTTAGATAGGGATCTACTATAAATACACTGAGTGCTTTATCTATTTTGTGGATATCTTCAAGAGCCAGAAACGCCTTTGTGTTTTTTATTTGGGATGCAAGCATTCTTGAGTACGAGTCTATTTTGCACACTGGCTTTCTTTCACTCATTCTGTGCAAAGATTTTAGCAGACACCATGGGAATAAAACTGTGCAGAAATATTTATTTAAAGTTTCTATATTAAGAAATATGGCCACTGCGAGATTTACTGGTCAATAGATATACCACGAATATATCTTTTCTGTGCACTTTTACTTCTCATTTAGATAGCGCACGTATTTACCAGCTGATCACAGAGATTTTCTGCAGAGGGGACAGTCTGACTGCAGCTTAAGCCAGGCATCTGAGCACTCGATGTGAAAATGGTGATTACACGGATACTTATACCCCTTATTCCCTGGCTCAAATGGACAGAAGCATATTGTGCACGCTTCATCCACAGGAAGTGCCAGAATTTTCAGCAGATCTATCTGCTCTTTCGTTGCTGGGTTCTCTTCTACGCCTTTTTCGTCTCTGAGCCTCGAGATTATATCGTCTATCTCTGGGCCTATCGCATAGTTTCTTCTGTCCGATGTTATCGTTCTGGCTCTGTTTCTTGTAGATGTCTTTTTTTGGCACCCAAAGAGCGCAAAACTAAAAATATTCCCTACACACGAGGAAGCCCCGCCGTCCTCCTCTTTCTCTTCTACCTCTTCTACATGGAGCTCCAGGAAAGACTCTTGGCAGTGCGGGCACACCACTCGGTCCTCAATGTAAACAACTCTGCTGCATATATGGCAGTAATATGGTAAATCAGACATTATTTATTGTTAAAAGAATATTTTTAGTTTGGCTTAAATAAACTCAAGCTGGGAAGAAAACCTAAATTAAATTTTTTGAGTGCTTTTTGGCTCGGTTTACACTCTACATTCGAACCTTGTAGATACCGCTGCCTTTTTTAATGAGGAGACCTTCTGCATTGAATCTGTAGATTAGCTTGTGCACATCGTTTCTGTCTAATCCCTGCTCTTCCCCTATCTCTACCATCTCTTTTTCTGATATCTCGGTCTGGCATGTTTTTTTTATTCCCTGGATAAAAACCATATGCGGGGCCTCCTTCTTTTTCTTTTTAGGCTCCACCAGTATGTTTTCCATCGTAATTATGGAGATCGCGTGCTCCACATCTGCCTGCGTAGCTATGCTTCTCAGGTGTATCTTGGCTATGGCCTCTGCTACTCTCACCACAGAGTCTATCACGCGGGGAGTGAGCGGCTGTGCTACTATTCGGCCGTTGTACATTTTATTTTGTCTGATGCTTTTGAAAAATTCAACAACTTTTTCCCTGGCACTGGACGATAGGACTGGATTGATCTGCTCTCTTGCATACTGTATGTACTTCTGCGCTACCTCTGATGATATCCTCTGGGAATATTCGGCATTCTCATCATGGCCAAGTATGTGTTTAGCTATGCTGCTGTGCTCTTCTGAGTTAAACTGGTCTATCATAATGAATATGATGTCAAAGCGAGACAGAAACTCTCCTGGGAGATTTATGTTCTCCTGGAGAGTCCTATCTGTGTGGTATCTTCCGAATAGAGGATTCGCAGCAGCTATAACAGCAGCCCGTGCGGGCATAGCGCACACCATCCCTGCCTTTGCTATGGTGATTTCTTCGCTCTCCATGGCTTCAAATAGCACCTGCGGGTTATCCAATTTATCCAGCTCGTCTATGAAGCAGTGGCCTAAGTCACTCAGCACTAGAGCGCCTGCAGCCAGGACATATTCTCCTCCCGAGTTGGACTGCATTGCAAGGCCAAGTCCTCCTGCGGTAGTTGTTGCTCCGCATATGTAGTTGCTTCTGGGGAGTATTTCTGATGCTTTTCTGATTATTTTGCTCTTCCCCATCCCGGGATCACCTATCACGATCATGTGAATCTCTTTTCTTTTGTGCTTTTTGCAAGATCCTCCTACTAGAGAGAGCAGAAGGCCTTCCTTCACTCCTCTGTTCCCTACTATGTCAAAAAATAGCGATTCGCTGAGTATGCTAATGATGTTCTCGTTTTTGGATAAGGCTTTTATCTCGTCTATATCACTCTGCATAAATATGTACTGATTCTGTGTGTCTTTCTGTTTTAGAAAAGATATGTTATTTGCCTTTACTCCCACGGTGTACCCGTCCTCTCCGCTTTCCTCTGCGATGCCTGTGCCAAGAATGTGCACTGCGTCGCCTGGGAGAAGCGTATTCACAAAGCTCCTTTCAACCAGGCAGTTGATAGAGCCTGCCTTCCTTCTTTCTATCTCTGTCAGGAAGAGCTCTTGTATTTTTATCCTCTGGTAGTCTCGAAATTCGTTCTTAGGAGATGTTTTTAAAAGCGTAAACGCCTTTGATTTGCACGCGTCTATGCAGTATTCAGGCTTCGCAAACATTCCCGAGGATGCGTGGTACTCTATCTCCAGATTGCACTTGTTGCACACAAAGATCATAACGGTAGGGATGGGTTTTGCGCTTTCAATTCTGGAGACAATTCCAACAATAGAGAACAGCTTCCCGACAGATGCATGGCGCAGACTGGAGAAAGGCACAGGCTCTGTGAAGGGCACTATTCTTATGTATGTTTTTTTGAGGACATTCTTGGCCTCTTCAATGATCCTTGTGAGCGCACTCCTTAGATGGTCTATGCCCACAGTGGTTATTTCGCCCAGATGCTTTTCAAGATAGAAAATGTCGACCTCTAGATCGTCCTCTATATCCTTCACAGATATTTCTCCTGTTCTAATCCTCTCCTTTGTTGTTGCGTAGAATGCCTCTATGATGCCTCCATTCTCTTCATTTTCCCGGAAATATAGTCGTATGTGATCCATTTGTAAATTTTTTATGCCACAGCACAATTACGTTGAAGAGGCAATTAAAGAGTCTGGAAGAAGAGAAGACTACGTTGTCAGAAAAGAGAAACACGAGGCCAGAGCAGGAAAGAGGCTGTCCAAGATGGCGAAGCAGCTGTACGGCCGAAAAGCACTCATTTTCAACGAAAAGAGAAGAAAAGAGAAGATACAGCTGAAGAAAGAGAAGATGCAGACCGAGAGAAAGCAGAAGAAAGTGGCAGAAGAAGAGATCGCAGACGGTGCCATCCCTGCATACCTGCTGGACAGAGAAAAGCAGTCAGCCATCCAGGCGATCACCACGCAGCTGAAAGAGCAGAGACAGAACAAAGCAGGAAAATACAATGTGCCTGTTCCGCAGGTGAGGGGAATCTCTGAGGCAGAAGCCTTCAAGGTCATGAAAAGCGGGAAAAGACAGAAAAACGAGTGGAAGAGAGTGGTCACTAAGCCCTGCTTCGTGGGAGATGGATTCACAAGAAAGCCGCCAAAGTTTGAGAGGTTTATAAGGCCCACAGGGCTGCGCATGAAGTCTGCGAACATCACGCACCCTGAAATGAAGGCTACTTTCCTCCTTCCCATCATGGGGGTGAAGCAGAACCCAAACTCCAGGCTAATGACAACGCTTGGTCTCCTTACAAAGGGAACAATCATCGAAGTCAACACAAGTGCTCTTGGGATGGTCTCTGAGTCTGGGAGAATTATCTGGGGGAAGTATGCGCAGATAACAAACAACCCAGAGAATGATGGGTGTGTTAACGGAATACTTTTAGTATAATTAGACGCCTTTAGAGAGGTATTTATCAGATAGACACCAAATAAACCATAAAAACAAATACTGTCTAAGTTAGAAGATTTCTGCTCGTTAGTGCTATCTATCAATTTTACCATTGCATGCATCAGTGCTGCAGTAATCCATTGCATTCTATTGGGTTGTATCTTCACTCTGTGCAGATTTTGGAGAATCAATATTTATTTTCCTTTAATTTTAAAATAAACCCATACACCTTCAGTATATGTACCATTTAATTACCAATGCATTCCAAAGAATCAACAATAATCAAAACAATAATTAAGATAGTGCGGTGCCTCTAAGATCGTAGACACTCATTCTCGTGTGCTGAAAATAAAAAAGACAGAAAGATCCGAGTAGCTTATTTATTCGTCTCCATCGGTGATACCCTCCTTCATTATTCTGAAGGTAGCTTCTGACTCTGGAAGGGAAGGCGAGTCGTACACCTTGCATATCCTTAGATCACCTCTTCCTTTCCTCAAATATAGCCTCGTCGTGCTTGCATGGGCTAGCACGTGTCCTCCCGTGGGCTTCTTTGTATCTCCTCCAAACATAGACATAGCTCCATCTACCTGAGCTACGACCTGATTTGTTATGACAATTGCTATATTGTACTCATCTGCCAGCTGCATCAGGGATCTTAGGTATCCTCCCAGGTGAATCTGTCTTGCACTCAGCTCTCCTCTTCCTGCATAGTCTGTCCTGTAGTGTGCAATCACTGAGTCCACAATAAGCAGTCTGTACTCTCCCGTTGCCATCAGGCTGCTTGCCTGCTTCACTAGCTCCATCTGGTGGTCTACGCTGTACGCTCTGGCCACAGACACTTTTGAGAGCGCCTCTGTTGGATCCATCTCAAATCTCTTCGCAATTTCAATGAGTCTTTCTGATCTGAACGTTGACTCGGTGTCTATGTAGATGGCTTTTCCATTGCATCCTCCTCTTTCGAGTGGGAGCTGGCACGTAACTGCCAGCATGTGGCACAGCTGTGTTTTTCCTGTTCTGAACTCTCCAAATAGCTCGGTTATTGCTCCCGTCTCAATTCCTCCTCCGAGCAGCTTGTCAAGCTCTGATGATCCTGTTGTGATCATGTTCATTTGGAGTCTTTTCTGGTGGACAACTTCTGCAGTCTGGAAGCCCAGGTCTACGTACCTGCTTGCCTCCTTTATTATCTTGTCGATCTTTGCCTCTGCAAATCCTCTTATGTTGAGAAGCTTTTTCCTGGGGCTGTATACGATGCTTTCAGCTGTTCTGAAGCCTGACTCGATAAGCTTTGCTATGTCTGCTGCAGAGATTCCTCCCTCCTTCAGCATTTCAATGGGCGTGTAGTCTATTTGGTGTGCTTCTGTTGAGTGCTCCTCAAATATGTCGTTCTCTTTCTCTAATAAAGACATAAAATTTGTAAGCAAAGAATGTTTATATTGCAAAGTATTAGCTCCGACGACCTTACTTCTAAAATAAGCGAAGAGTCCGAGAAACAAGAAACAAGGAAGGAAAAGGTCCTTAGATGGGCAGATAGCATTGATATGGCGAGAGCCCTCGCTCCCTCAGTTGGTTCAAGAATATTGTAGTTTTTTTCTTTTATGGACGACAGTGCATTCAACAAGATAAACGAGGGGCTCGACTCTTTCATTCCTTTGATTCCCGATGTTGTGCTGGACTACTGCTTTACAAAGGCCGGGCTGGCGACAGAGGACCCCAAGATAAAGAAGCTTGTATCTCTGATAGCGCAAAAGCTCATCACAGATGTAGCCACGTGCGCATACCAGTATCACAAAATAGCCAAAAGAGCATCGCTAAAAGAGAAAAAAGCACCAAAAGAGAAAAAACTAACGCTGACTCTCTCTGATGTAGAGAACGCGCTGAAGGAGTGCGGGATCAGCATAGCCAGGCCGTCGTACTTCTTTTAAATAAACAACAAATCTCGTGGCTAAATATAATTTTACTTTTATTACTTCTTTCTGCTCCTTGATTTATCTTTGGAAAAGTACTCGCCTGTCATCATTTCCCTGTCCTCCTTTCTTTCTTCCTGCTCTGGGAAGGTTTTTCTTTCTGTTTTTTCCGTTACTGTCTTTTTCTGTTTTTTGCTGTGTGTTTTTTTGTACTGCGGAAGGTATCTTTCCCAGTTTTCTGTTTTTAAGTTGGGGTCTTTCTCCAGCTCTCTCTTTATCATCAGCCTTTTTATCTCGTAGATGGGGTGGATGTTTTCCATGCATCTTGTGACGACTCTTCTTACCTCCTTTAGGCTCTTGTAGTGGCCGATTGCAGTAACAGTGTTGCCGTACGGGAGTATGTAGCAGTCAGTGAGCAGCTCCAGAGACTTGATTGTGTTCCCGTGCGGGCCTAGAAGCCTTTCTCTCCTTTTTAGGAATATTTCTTTGTTTCTTGTGAACGTGTTTATTTGGATGATATCGTATGTCACATTCTCTTCAAAAACTTTTATCGCTTTCTCCAGGGGAACTCCTCTGCTCAAGACCTTCAGACAGTCTCTTCCCTGCACAATGCTGTACGGGTCTCTTGTGTGCTGCGTGGTCTCTACTCTCAGCACGAGCTCGTGGTAGTCAACTGAGAGCGACAGTTTTTTTTGTGCCATCGCTTTTTTAACGTATTCTTCTGTTTCTCGGATGTACTTCTCTCTGTGCCGGGGAAACATGATTTCAAACGTGCTTTTCTCTAGAAATGGCTTCAGCCCCTTTTCAGTAAACGGCTCCATCTTGTAATTCTCAATGTCTGTGTGTTTCTCCTCTTTCTGGCCTTTCTGTGTGGCGCTCATCTGAAAATTTTAAAACTTTGCCAGCAGCATAAATAGAAGAGACACCGTCAGAATAAACACCCAGCATCCCATTGTAGAGACAGTTCCCACTGTAATGAACGACTTTGTGCTGATCAGCCGGCTTCCACTCTTTGTCTTGAACGAGCTTGATAGAATATTTGGGAATCCGCTGGAAGGAAGAGCCATTCCGCAGGAGCATGCAAGAGAGGCTATTCCCACGATGATCCTTTCTCTTCCTATGTACAGTCCTATCTTTTCAAAAATAGGAAGCAAAACTATCGCGCTTACAGTGTGGCACACCATGCAGGAGACCGTCAGCATGATGAAAGAGGAGGCAACAACTAAAAAGAGCAGACTCTTTTCTTTGCTTTCGATAATAAACCCTGATATCATTCCCTCTAGCATTTTTGTTCTTTCAATGCCCTTTCCTATTGCAGTCCCTGCGACAGCTATCGAAATAATTTCCAGAGTCTTTCTGTTCCACACCCTGCTCGAGTTTTTTGTCATTAAAAGAGCGCACACGGGAAGGCCGTATATCCACTTTATCTTTGGGTATATGGAGGGTATTGACCAGCACACAATGGAAAAAATAGTGGCAACTAGCAGCTTGGTGTTTGTGCCTCTGTTGCTGTGTGCTATGACAATTTCGCTGGGCTCTTTTGGAGACTCTTTCACTGGAAAGTAAAAAATAATCAAAGCGTACACAAACAGAAAACATACGCCTGCAGTTGGAACTGAAATCCAGAGCCAGTGCGCCCAGGAGAGGCCCATAATGCTCGATCCAAGTATCGACTGCGGGCTGCTGATGGGAAGAACCATGCCGCCTATATTTGATGCCATTGCTATGCCCATCAGAATCGCAGGCGTTGGCTCTTTGGATGTATTCTGGAGAATCGAAGTGATGATGATGGGCGCAGTGATGTTTGACATCACAGAGGAAAGCACCAGAGCCAAAAACATGCTCCTGAAAAGATCTGAGTATATGTCCCCTCCAACCATCAGATACGGAAGAATAAGCCTATCTCCGTTATTATTTTGAAAATAGATGGAAAGAAGACAGCTGCCCATTAGAAGCAGCAGAACAGGCGACACTATGATCTGGGCTAGGATAAGCAGTCCGCTGAACACTCCTTCAAAAAATCCGCTCTCATTGGACACCATTATATTCGACAAAATAATCACGGGAATAAGAAGAATCGAAGTGGCATCCAAGGGAAGAATGTGGAGAGACCAAAAGACGCTTGCTATGCACGCGATAATGCAGCATAGAAGAGACTCTCTGGTAGGAAATACGTTTGGATATTTGAACGTGAAGACGAAATAGGCAGAAACAGCTGCTGTAATGAAAAGACACCCAATGATTCTCTTAACTCTGCTTTCTTTTTTTGGGTGCAGTTCTTTGGTGCTCGCATCTTCTCTCATCCGGGGCGTGAAGGTGGGGGTTCTCTCTATTCGCTCCAGGCCCATTTCAACACCAAAATTACTGGGTATTGTGTTTAGTGTTGGCTCTGTAATTTTGTCACTATCTTTTAGTTTCATTGTCTGAACAATTGCCATGCAAATACTTACCTTAATAAGTATGAAACAATGCACAGAGATTGAAACACGGGCTAGTCCTTGTGTAAACACATGTAAATAAAGGAAATCTATTTGTGCACACAAATACTTTCTCGTTTAGCAGCTCATTCAAAGATTGCATTAGTCTTCACCCATTCGCTTATTATGGTAGCACAAAAAACCGTTAAAACATAGCAGGCACTATTGCCATAAACAGACAATATACCGATAATTCGTAAAATCTTTTTATTTTCTATATGAGAATAAACCGCTTAACTCAATTTTCTAATTCGTAGCATAGAGGCTAAACTATTTGCTGCGCTGCATAACTTGTTATCGCGCATGCACATGAACATAGCAATGCAGCTTTCTAGTTTACTAATGATTTTAAAAATAACAAACAACTGTTCTGAGATTCTCTGGGGCTCTCTTCTGCCGCATGGCTACACAAACCGTGACATTAAGCCGCTCATTGCGCCGCCTGCTGCATTTTTGAAGTAGCTGAGCCATCCTTCGGGGGCCTCTGCCTTTTTATCAGAGAAGTAATCGCTGTGTTGATCGCTATCCTGTGTCTTGCCCGCGCCTTCCTTTTTGCTCTCTTCGTCTGATGATATGCCGCTGTCATATGAGCTATCTATTCCATCGCCAAACATCTTATTTACTATTTCCTTTTCTTTGTTGTTCTCCATCACAAAGGCTCCCAGCTTCTGCTCTATCTTCATCATCTGTGCTTTTGATACGACAACGCTGGTGTTTATCTTGTTCCATATGATGTTTGTTTCCAAAGTCTTCGGGTCTGACATCTTATCGTCATCTACAATTTTGTGTTTTTCCGCCTGCTCTTTTTTCTTTTTCTTTTCCTCTTCTTCGTCGTCAATTATAAGTCTGAACTTACGGAGACCCTTTTTTAGAGCTCTAAAAGGCACCTGTTTCTTTGTTGATTTCTTAATGTTCTCCATTTCAAAAACCACACGCATCATCCTGTTGCTTGAGAATCCGCGGGTGTACTCTACCAGCTCTTTTTTCTGTTTTGGCGTCAAGGACTCTATAATGTTTGTCTCATACAGCGTTTTCTTCAGCATCTCGCCTCTTTCTTTTGGCGTCAGGACAGGAATTCCCAAATACGATGCAAATCTTCTGCGAATGGCCCCATCTATTCTATCGTAGTAGTTCGTGGCAGCCATCGCAAACACTCTTTTGTGATTTTTTGTGTCTATTCCGTCGAGCCATGTAAGCCACGTGTTCTTCAGGTTGTTTGACACATCGTCTCCTCCTCCTTTGGACGATCTTCTGGCGCCCAGCAGGGCCTCTGCCTCGTCCATGAATATAAAGACAGGAATATGCTTCTGTCTCCAGTCTATGAAGTTCAAAAAAAGCTTCAGCGATTTCTCAGAGTCTCCAACCAGCTTAGTCAAAAACATAGATGGATTTATGTTGTACATCTCCACTGTATCATTGCAGTCGTACAGATCTTTGATCATGTTCTGGATTCCCTCTCCTTCATCGAAAAACAGCCTTGTTGTCTTCAGCTTAGTGAGAAGCTGCTGCCCTTTTATGTTCAGCGCAGCCTGCAGGAAGATCTTACACGCAAAGAAAGACTTTCCCGTTCCCGGCAGCCCGTAGATGATCATGTTTTTCTTGAGCACTTCCTTCTGCATTTCCACTGCTCTGTTCATGCCGTCTTTCTCTCCGATCAGATAGGGGAAGATCAGCTGCATGTACCCGTCAAACACTTTATCAAGACCGTAGTATGCCCCTTGTTTGCAGTCGTTTGGCGTGATTCGTCCGTACCTCTGGGCCAATGTATTAAAGTTTTTCTCGTAGTACTCATCGCTCTTTGACTTTTCTTCATCGTCTCCGCGGCCTTTCAGCATAAGATACAAACTCGTTCCAAAAAAGGCGATAGTTACCAGCATTCCGAGAGTTTGCAGACTAATTGGGCTCTTAAACTTTCTCGGAGTTCTTGGCAGCAGAAGCTTTCTGAAACTGCCAGATGCGCTCTGGTTTGGCCCAGAGGCTCCCGTGTTTCCAAAGTTTGGGTCTCTGCTGTACATGCTCCGCTCTATTGATCTCTTTGTTTCTTCCTCTTTCTGCTGGACAATGTTTTTCTTCTGCTGAGCACTCTCTCCTTTTTCTTGTTTTTCGCTCTCTTCACTGCTGTTTTTTTTATTTTTGCTCTCTTCACTTTCGTCGCTCTCTGTTTTATTGTTGTTCATATCTAATAAGCTGTCGTTTATTTCACTGTTTTTTCCCTCTTTTGCTGCTTTGTTCGTCTCATCTACATCTATTGGCTTTGTTGACGGGCTTCTATGCGCAGATGCGTTCAGCTTGTCTTTTGGCACGCCTGTGCTGTCTTTCTCTGAGTCATAATCTGATTTTTCATTCTTTTTCTCATTTGAGCTGTTCCACATAATAATTTAGTTTCTCCTAAATTTTTTTCTTTTTATTTGTCTAATGGAGCCAAAAGTCATAATAATTGAAATTAACGGGATTGGTGTTTTCAAGGTCTTTTCGACTGGTATTTTGTTCACGGAGTGCACCAAGGAGGAGGTGCTGAATCATCTTACTGGAAAGTTGCACATGTTCATTCTGATAGCGAGCAACATAGATAAAGCCGCTGTCCACAAGATATCCAGCTACTTCTTCAGAGAGTCTCAGATCGAGTCTATGTCTGTGATGTACTCTTCTGTCTCTGCATCGCTTGCCCTCGGAGCACAGAACATCGCAGTGGTGGCTGTAGACCACGGCCCAAAAGACTCTGTCATATGGTCTGTGGATCTAGTCCAGAAGTCCAGCTTGAACTACACACACTCCATCACAAGAACTTCTAGCTACGAGACAGCAGTAGATAAAATGCTGGAGTATCTGCACTCTTCCACGTACCAAAGCGCCACTTCAAATATTTTCGTACGAGGCGATAAAGCGCTATCTGAAAAAATAAGAGAAGAGCTCAACAAGCGAAGTGTCATTGCCGCAGAGGAAGAGAATCTGGGAGATGAGCTGCAGGTGCGCGGGTACAAGCTAGCGTGCTTTCCCAAGTACTTTACCCTTCACATGCCGCACAACTTGCTCCCAGACTCTGATATTGTGTACGTTGGAGCAGTGCTGACAATAATGATAAACTATTTCGAAATAAAAGAAGTCAACACGCGGGAAGACTTTGAGGCAGGGCACACTAAGCACTTATTGCTGAACTGAAAGCAAGAAAAGAGACGTGCTGGCATAGACTCTGTTTCTGTGGATATTTGGCCATTGGTTTTTCTGAGGTGCTGGTTGGTCTGCTTTCTAACTGCCATTTGGTGATTGGTGTATGTAAATATTGGCATGGATTGAATGATAGAAGATGGCGAACACTGAGGATGTTTCTAATAAAGTATATTTGAATTTCTGTACTTCTACAATCTGTGGTGCTTTATTTTGTGTTTCATTCTGCTGCAGCTACTCTATCTCTCTAAGGAGAACTTTCTCTGCGCTTTCTATTTTTTTTAATATGTATGCTGATAGAGGTAATATTGGCTCATTTTTTGATTTTAGCTTATTCTTCTGCGCAGTAATGGTGTAGTAGGTCAGGGGTGCTGTCTCTGTGATCTTTAGTATTTGTCTTGCTTCTGCTGTAGACATGCACCCTGCAAAGGCCAAATACTCTTTCACAGCGTTCTTAAGAGCTCTGGATACATTCGCAGCTAGAGTGAGCATGGAAATTGAAGGAAGAGAAAAAGAAAAAGAAGAATAAATGGATAATAAATTTAATTAAATTTCGGTGTGTGCTAGTGCGGTGTAATGGAGGGAGAAACGTACGGAAGCATCAGCAGAGCCAGCGAGAGCGGAATAATAAGCAAAAAGTCAGTGGAGTTCCTGCACGGGAGGAGAGCAGAGGAAGGGCTCTTTAGAGTGGTGATAGAGAGAAGAATGACAAGAACAAAATATCTGATCAGAGATGTCTCAGGGAAGGGCATTCTAAACCTTGACAATGTGCCAGGTGATATAGTCACGCGAATAGTAAAGAAAGAAGATGCAGAGAAGAAGCCTCAGCTGCTTGTTATAGGAAGGCTGCTGTCACCCGATGTCCAGGAGTTTCCTGTGCTGGATGCATACTCCATATCTCTCTTTACATACGAATCAGCGCTTAGACACATCCTGTGAGTAAAACACTTTGATAAATAATTCACACTATAGAAGTTAGTTTGTTCGTGTATCTTTTTCTGTTTTGTAGCCCATTAAATTTTTTCATCTACTGTTTACCACTCAAGAATTCCCTTTTTGTCAAACTAAAGTTAGAGAAGTGAAAGATCCAAAGCTCTCTTTTTTGCTCTGCTGCTATTGATAGAGCTCTACTTTGCACTCAACAATAGGATAGTTCTATCTATGAAGCAAGATATCCTCATTGAACATGCAAATTCTATTCCTAGCTCTGCTGTTTCTATACTAGCACTGATCATATGATAGACTTTGAAATCAGCAGTGTTTTTGATAATCTCGTTGATCTTATCTCTTTAAGGCAACCCAAGCTCTCTGGCTTTCATTTTAAAGTATTTTTGATGCGCTCCTGCTAATTGCATATTGTATTAAAGAAATAGCCTTTTTTATTTTATGGATAAAACAGTTGTAGAGGGAATAGAGCTTGGACCAGTTAGCCAAGATATCATGAAGAATCAGGCAACCGTCAATATAGGAATGATTGGGCATGTGGCGCACGGGAAGTCCACCATTGTAAAAGCAATAAGCGGAATAAAAACTGTCCGATTTAAAAGCGAGCTGGAGAGAAACATCACCATTAAGCTAGGATATGCAAATGCAAAGATATACAAGTGCACAGGAGGCATATGCAAGAGACCAGAGTGCTACATCTCCACTTCGAGTGCACAAAAGCCTCCAAAGAGCTGCAGAACAAAAAACTGCCAAGGAGCCATTGTGCTGGAAAGACACGTCTCTTTTGTCGACTGTCCGGGACACGAAGTTCTCATGGACACAATGCTTACTGGCGCAGCAATCATGGATGCAGCCATTCTGATCATTGCATCCAACGAGCAGTGTCCGCAGCCGCAGACAATAGAGCACTTAAATGCGATTGATGTCGTTAATCTAGATAAGGTAATTATTTTGCAAAATAAGGTAGATCTTCTGACAAGAGAGCAAGCCCTTGAGAACTACGACCAGATTCAGGACTTTATAAAAGAATCTTCTGCGCGTAACTCTCCCATCATCCCCACCTCTGCGCAGATAGGATGCAACTTGGATGCAATATTGGACTACATTGTAAACTTTATTCCTGTTCCTCTCAGGGAGTATGGAGAGGCACCGCAGGTGCAGGTAATTAGATCGTTTGACATAAACAAGCCAGGATGCAAGCCAGCGAACTATCAGGGCGGAGTGATAGGGGGGTGCCTAACCAAGGGATACCTGCAGGTAGGAGAAATGCTTGAAATTAGGCCGGGCATCTTGGAAAAAGTCCATGGTAAATTAGCATGCAAGCCTGTTAAAACAAAAATTCTCTCTTTATTTGCTGAGTCAAACTCTCTGAAGGTGGCTGTTCCTGGAGGGCTTGTGGGGATAGGCACAGAGCTAGATCCATTCTTCTGCAGAGGAGACAAGCTGGTGGGACAAGTCCTGGGAAGGCCTGGGTCTCTTCCAGAGGTATACAGAGAAATGTCGATAAGCTACCATCTATTTGAAAAGCTCACTGCTGAAACTCTCGCTTTAGGAAAACCGTTAGCTGTTAAGGAACAGTTGCTGATAAACATAGGAAGCAGCTCTAGCAGAATACAGATAACTGCATCAAGCGATAACAAAGCATCTTTCATCCTGGCTACGCCCATCTGCGCAGAGATAGGCGCGACTCTGAGCATATCAAGAAAGCTGCGAGGGCATTGGAGGCTGATAGGAGCTGGAAACATAGAAAAAGGCGTATGTTTGCCTATTTTGGAAATATAAATCTACTTATAAATATGGGTTAGCATGGTTTCGCAGTCTCTGATGAGATCGTCTAGACAAGATTTGACTAGTTCAACGGGCTTATCCTCGGTGTTTTCTGCAGCTACTTTTACTTTTAGAATGTTCTGCAGCGGATGGGGTATTTTGTACGCAGCGAACATAACGCCTTCTTTTTTCTGCAGCTCAGAGACAAGAGCGTTTCCAAGGGTGTGGTCTTCATCGCGTATGCTCATTTCAATGGAGTTGGCCATTTTGTCTTCTGAAATAACCAGTTTATTCGCCTGCAGAGTATCCATGAAATTTTTTACTAGATTTTTGGCAAGCAATAAAAGCAGCAATTTAAATTAAATATTTCTGCTATTTAAGTCCACTTATTTTTTATGTTTTAATGAATATGAGATTGGTAGGAGTAGTCATCGCGTTTGCATACGCGTGCCAGTGCATTGCCAGTAAGGACATTGAGCACGTGGCGTCTTACATCCAGAATCTGCACAGCATGGGGTATAACACGATATTTTCCTTGTTCGACGTAAATCGAAGCGCAAGCCCTAAGGAGATCACGAAAAAGCACTCCAAGCTTATAAAGGAGTGCTACATGGCCAAGGTAAAGGGAAAGCCCATGCCTGTGGGGAAAAACCTTACAGAAGGAGAAGCAAAAATGATCATCGTGAATGGGTACCAAATACTCATGCAGGAGCACCTAAGAAAAGCCTACAACTGGATACTGGACGAAGCACATCCGCAGTTTATGGAGAACTACAAGGCGCGAGCAGGAGCACAGAAGAAAGGCACCTTCTACATGCCTTCTGTCCTGTCGCTTGGCATAAGCATGCTCTTTACCTTTATCGTGTACGATGTGCTGAGAGTGTGCATTTCGTTCTACACAGAGGAGAAGAAAAGAAAAAGTGCGAACATTCTGAAAAAGCAGAAAAAGAACCAAAAGCCTGCAAAGATCGATATGAAAGAGATGTATATATACAAAGGATACGAGATCTGTCATAGCATCTTCAACAGGTTCAAGGGAAGCGATAAGTCAGTAAAAAGCGAGTAAGAAAGGCACTGGAGTAGGACAGAGGAAGAAAAAGAAAAGCTGAAAAAATAGACAGCGAGCACGATCTGTTCAGAAACTAGGAGGTTTTAAAATAAATATAAACATATTTATACGAAGTAAGACTGCACTTATAATAACGTTTCACTACAAAGAGCTACTTATCCAACTGATTGGCTGTTTTTTCTATTTCTCTTTTTTCATTGCATTCAGCTAACTTTGAGCGCAGATGAGCTGGCTTGGAGTATTTATTTGTCTTTTCGATTGGCTAATTCTCTTTCGAGTACTTCTCTGTTCTTTGGGCAAATTCTCTGAATATCAAAAAAGAAATAAAATCACTTTTTATTGTTTGTTTATGTATCAATATGAACTGCATCTTATTGAAAAAGGCCCTGAGCATCTAGAGGCTACTGAGGAGAAAGCTGTCAGCGCGTGCAAAACCATGCTGAGAATACGCAACATGGAAATGGTCCTAAGCGACCTGTACAAAGACAAGAAAATACGAGGATTCTGCCATCTGAGCATAGGCCAGGAGGCCATTGCTGCAGGAATTGAAATGGTTCTGGGCTCAAACGATGTCCTCATAGGAAGCTACAGGTGCCATGCGTTTGCTCTGATCTCTGGGATTGACGCAAAAGAGATCATATGCGAGCAAGTTGGGTCTGTAGACGGATGTGCGCGCGGAAAGGGAGGGTCTATGCACCTGTATGGCAATCGCTTCCTTGGCGGCCATGGAATTGTAGGTGCACAGATTCCCTTGGGGCTGGGCGCAGCATTTGCTGAAAAGTACAGATCTTCACTGAACAATCCAATTTCTAAAAAACCTGAAAATCCCACAGGAGTAGTTGGCGAGTGGACTAACGGCATCTGGGATGTTTTCAACTGCAAGAACGTAACAATTGCTGCCTTTGGAGACGGCGCAGCGAACCAAGGACAGCTGTACGAGTCGCTGAACATGGCAGCCCTGTGGAAGCTTCCCATCATTTTTCTCTGCGAAAATAACGAATACGGGATGGGAACGCCTATTTCTCGGGCGAGTGCTTCCCTGAGTATCTACGACAGATTTTCTTTTGTTCCGGGAATCCTTCTCGATAGCACTGACGTCTTTGCTGTTGCTTCTGCCTTCAAGTTCGCTCGAGAACACGCACTTGCAAAAGGCCCGATAATAGTAGAGTGCAAAACGTACAGATACAACGGCCACTCAATGACAGATGCCTTCACGGGGTACAGAAACACAGAAGAGATAGAGGCGCGGAAACAGAACGACTCAATTGAGTGTGTTAAAAAATACATGGGCTCCAACGCAGATAGAACTGCAGCTGAGCTGAACGAGTCAGCGTACAACGAAATGGCAAAGATCAAGAAGGTCTCAGTAGACTCGCCAAGGTGCAGTGTTTCTGATTTGTACAAAGACATACTTCTCTGACAGCAAATCAGCTAAATAAACCAGCAGCTCTTCCATTCATTCTTTTTCTTATACTCTTTCTACTTGGAGCACTGCAGACACTTTTAATAAAAAATTAAGACGTATTTATATTTGTGTTTACAGATTTAAATTTATTTTTATTTGACTCTGCTACACTTTTCATTTGCATTTGCATCGATATTCAGTTGCATGGATTAGTGTACTAATGAACATTAACAACTATCAATGGGATAAGATAGATAAGCCAGCATGCAGTTGTCTCAGTAAAGATCAAAGAGAGGTCTTCCCAATGCCGTTGCTCACTCTATACATAATATGTATCTTACTCGATCAGGTATATCGTGTTCATAGATAAGATGATATAGCATATTTGTAGCACACTTGGCTAGGTAGAGACCGGATGTTTGGTTTTTATAATCATTTGGTGGAGGAGATGTACGAAAATAGAATACAGATTGCATTTATTATAGCATGGAGTGCAGAAGATTACGGTGGCTCAGTATAGATTTATAACGTACATGCAGTAGTTGTCAATGTATCTGTATATCTTTTCAAATATTTTGCTGTATATGTACCCAATAACAACCGCGTAGAGGCACCAGTCTACTATCTTGTCAAACGATATCACTCGCCAGAAAGAAAGAAGGAAGTTAACAAACAGAAACGGCGTGTCTTCAAACATTATAGTGTATGCACAGCCCAGGGCAGCAATTGAAGTAAAAGAGTCTCCTTTTTTTACATCGAGCAGGTGTATGTTCTTCAGTGTGTAAATGTACCTTTTTTTGATGCTTGCAAAGTGCTCGTTCTCGCCGCTCAGAGTTTGCATCTTCTGCACGGTGTAGTGCGATGCGCGCGCAGGGTTTTGGTGGTTCTTCTCAGCAACAACCGCATCCATGTTGCATATAATGATCGGGTCATCAAAAGAGATCATTTTTGAGTTTCCGTACATGTACGCGTATATGTCATTTGCTATGAATTCCGCAGTGTCTGCTGAAGAAGAAACAAAAATGCTTGTGAGAATAAGCATAGAGAGGATGATGGCTATGGTTGATATTGTGACAATCGACTTTCCAACGCTCTTCTCGTCATCAACCACATACTCGCAGAAGCACTGCTCGCACACTTTAATGTCCTTCACCTGTTTTCCCTTAAACCGCCATATCCGCAGACAGTATCTATGCACGTATTTTATCGTTCCCTTGCACCCGCACGGACTTACCAAGTCTTTCAGGCATCCTAGCGGACTTTCGTACGAGTAGCAGATCCGGCAGAAAATATCTTCGTGCTCGGTGCTGCTATCTGATGCTACTGGTGCACTGCTTCCACGATCTTTCTCTGTCTGTTTTGCGGATGAGTTTTCCTCTTCGGGTGCTACACACTCTGCGCCTCTTCTTTTTTCACGAATGGTTTCCACGTATGTTTTGTATTTCTCCAACTGTTGTACTGTTTTGTCATACAGTGTTTTATACATTCCTTGAAATAGGTTTCATTTTCTATTTATTTAACGTCTTTTCGATAGGTCCTGTGCGTTTTACAATTGACAAACCATCTTTCCCAATGCGTCCAAATAGGCATCTGCTCGACCAACCAAAGAGACAAATCAGGCTCAGCAGACTCTTCCTTATATGAGATGGAGGCCAATAGAGTCCTCGCTGTTCTAGTGGCTGCTTTGGACATTTGTAGGGCACCTACAATCAGATAAAAAATAAACTCAGGCACGGATGGAATATAACCTGAAAATGCATCTATGCCGGCACTGCACGATTTTTAAATGAATATAATTTTGTTTTATTCTCTATCAATCTTCTCCAGATTAAACTCTCCTACCGTCTTGTAAACAAAATTGTACATCGACTCAGCGCTCCTGGACATAGACGACTTCTCGCCAGCGGACATCCGCGAAGAGTATTTCCAGGAGGCAGACAGCTTCTTCCACTTCTGCATCACCTTGGCCATATTTTTGTTCTCAAGAATGAAAACACAAAACATAGATGGGAGCCCGTATCTAAGAACAGACTCAATGTACAGACCAATGTGCTTGACGTGGAGAAGAAGGGTGTGAATGCGCGGCAGCCTGCCTATGATCATTTCAGAAAACAGAGACTCCATTTCTTTGATGTGCTGTGCTATTTCTTCGTCTTTTTCTTTTTTTTGATGGTATGCCTCTTTTGTGAACTGGGGCTTCCTTACAATAAACCCGCACTCTTCTATGTTTTTTGCGATTTCTTCTTCGATGTCAGCGCGCCCAAGTGACTCGTATATCTCTCCGTCTGAGCATTTTTTGACGAGTTTTCTTGACTCTATGAACAATCCATCTATCTCTGATAGAGCCTCAATGTCTTTCTCTCGCAGCTTCTCGTTGACTCCGATGTAGTACTTTTTGAAAAACGGCGCGCATATCTCCTCATCGCTGCTGTATTCTATCGCATCTATGTCAACGTCGTATATCTGTGCATCTTCTCTGCTGTGGGTGATCTGCTCTTTTCTTTTTTTCTCCTCTGCATATGCAGCCTCTTTCTCTTTCAGCGCATCCATGGCCTCCATCGCCTCCTCTTCCATGCTTCCAAGGATCTCTGACATCCTCGAAGATAGCGGATACTTCGCGCTGTCCCACTGGAAGGACTTCAAAAAATGGTCAAAACTCTTCCCCAGCACCACGGTGTCTGTGATGCCCGCTGGGTTGATCAGAGTGTAGGAAGTAATGTACTTCCGGATCACGTCCTCAACAAGGCGCTCCAGCGCAAGGACTCTTTCTTCGGCATCAAACAAACAATCAATGGACTCGCTTTCTATGATGGGAAGAGTGAGCAGATCGCAGTCCTTTCCTACAGACCCAAGGCCTTTTCGAATGTTGGACAAAATAACGTCTTCGTTTGCCGAATCATCAAGAGGGAAAGAAACAAATATGTGCATGGGCACAAACAAACTTAAAAAAAAATAGCACCGGTAAGGCTCGAACTTACAACCTCTGGGTTATGAGCCCAGCGCGCTGCCATTGCGCCACAGTGCTGTCTAAGTGTGTCTTATTTATTTTTCTATATTATCGGAGAACTCTCGCCATTCTCTCTTCTAAGTTGGTTTGATTTTCATTGCTATTTTAATTTAAGCATTGGCAGAGTCTCTACGGCTTATTGTTTATGGAAGACAGAATAAAATTTGAACGTATAATGAGAATGTGTACGTGAGTAAATAGCCATATGTAGACATGCTGATCTTTTTACTCTATTGAGTTTATTATACTGTTAATTACATGCGAATATTCCTTAGTTGCTCTCTATGCACAGAAAATGCAGTGATTTCTGCCAGTTACTATTCTATTCAGCTTACTCGATTATATCACTCAGTTTATCTTGTTTGATCTATCCGATCATTTTACTCTAGCTATCTTGTTTAATCTATTCGATCATTTTCTTCTGCAGAATAATATTGATAAGTCTGTCGTAGTACTTCCATCTGGCAAGGGCTTTTACGTCTTTTTTATTTTCTGCACACTTTTCTATTTCTTTTTTTATAAGGCCTTCTACTTCTTCAAGCTCTTCCCCGTGCACGCTCTCTATCTTATCTTCTAGGCCCAGGATTTCATCGAGGAACTCTGTGCTCACAAGCCCCTTGTTGCACCCGATTCTTTCTTTTTCAAGGTCCAGCACGGTTATTTTCTTATCTCCGTATATTCCCTGTGGAAGATCTCTTTTCACCAAATTTCTCATGTTGTCCAGCGAATATTCGTAAATACTCCTAACATAGTCGTTGCTAAGTGTTTTATACGCTTTGTTTATGAACTGCGCTGCCTCCTCTCGGCCCTCTGCGCTGGCAGCCATCTTATCTGGGTGCACGTTCTTAATTATGCTGTAGTAGCTGCTCTTTAGCAGATCCTTTGTGAAAGACTCCCTCGGTATATTAAATATTTGAAAGAGCGTTTTCTCATCCATTTGCAAATATTTTTACAGTGCTAATAGAATATATCAACTGCCCATTTTAGTCTTTTTCTTCTTTATAAGGAAAGAGACAGAGACACTCTCTCCAACAACAAAGAAACTCTTTCAAGAGCGGTGCTGCGTGCACAGATTGTGCCTATGCACTCACATCCTAAGCACTTTGCGCTCCAAGCACTGCGTATATATTCGTCCTCTAATTTATTTTTAAAAGAATGAAGAAGTTGTCGCAGGAAGACTGCTGGAAAGTAGTTTCGGCATTTTTTAAAGAAAAAGGCCTGGTAAGGCAGCAGTTGGACTCTTTCAACGAGTTTATACAGAGCACTATGCAGGAGGTAGTCGACGAGAACTCAACGATCGTTCTGCTGGCGCACAGCCCAACGGGCGAAGAGGACCAGGCGAAGAAATACACGATAAAGTTCAAACAGATTTACGTCAGCAAGCCTCCAACAATAACAGAGCCTGACGGAAGGACGTCTTCAATGTTTCCAAACGATGCGCGCGTGAGAAGCCTCACATACTCAGCATCCCTGTACATAGACATAGTGAAGACAGAGCACATAGGAGATGAAGAGGTCGAAACGCGCGTCTACAAAAGAATGCCCATCGGCTCGATCCCCATCATGCTGAGATCTCTCTACTGCGTGTACAACAACATAGACGACAAAGACAGAAACAAGATGGAAGAGTGTCCGTACGACCAAGGAGGATATTTCATTGTGAACGGATCAGAGAAGGTTCTTATCGCGCACGAGAGAATGGCAACAAATCTCGTCTATATTTTCAAAAAATCCCCTCCCTCTCCCTATCTGTACACCGCAGAGATGCGATCAGTGCCTGAGCACGGGCTAAGAATGCCGTCATCGCTTACCATCAGGCTTATCACACGGCCTGCAGAGAGCGCATCAGGGGGTGGGTATCTGCTGCGAGCTGTTCTACCGCATGCCAAGCTAGATGTGCCTGTAGTGATCATTTTCAGGGCTCTTGGATTTGTCTCAGATAAGGAGATACTCGAGCACATATGCTACGACTTTTCAGACACAGAGATGCTCAGCATGCTGCGGCCGAGCATTGAAGAGGCTTTTGTCATCCAGGACCAGGGAGTGGCTCTGGACTACATAGGGAAGAGAGTGGCACCCGCAGGATTCACGAAAGAAAAGAGAATCAAGTTTGCAAAAGACATGTTCCAGAAAGAGTTCCTGCCGCACGTGGGAACAAAAGAGTTCTGCGAGACAAAGAAAGCATACTTGTTCGGATACACGATCAATAAGCTCCTGATGGTTGCCCTTGGAAGAAGAAGCGAAGAAGACAGAGACCACTACGGAAGAAAGAGACTCGATCTAGCAGGCCCACTGATGACTGGCTTATTCAGAATGCTCTTTAAGAAAATGTGCAACGAGCTCTCAAAGCACATGCAGAGATGCATCGATGGAAACAAAGATCTAAACCTCGTGATAGGCCTGCGCACATCCACACTCACGCAGGGCCTGCGGTACTCTCTTGCCACAGGAAACTGGGGAGAGCAGTCGAAGAGCATGCAGGCTCGGGCGGGCGTAGCACAGGTCCTGAACAGATACAACTACATCTCTACGCTGTCGCATCTGAGGAGAGTAAATACGCCCGTGGGAAGAGACGGAAAGTTGGCTAAGCCAAGACAGCTGCACTCGAGCCACTGGGGCATGGTGTGTCCCGCAGAGACACCAGAAGGACAGGCTTGCGGGCTTGTAAAGAATTTTGCTCTTATGTCGCATATTTCAGTGGGCACAAGCTCGTTCACGGTGATAGAGCTGCTCGAGGAGTGCGGGCTCGAGGGACTAGAGGAGGTAAGCCCCTCAGCAATTGCAGGAGCAACAAAGGTGCTTGTGAATGGATCGTGGGTTGGTGTGCACAGATCACCTGATGATCTCATGAGCACGCTGAAGTACCTGAGAAGATCAGGAGAGCTGTCAGCAGAGATAGGAATAGTGCGCGATCTGCGGGAAAGAGAGATAAGAATCAACACAGACGGGGGAAGAGCCTGCAGGCCTCTGTTCATTGTGGAGAAGGGTGTCCTCAAAATAGAAGAGTTTTTAGTGAATAACAGAGAGAGAGACTTTACGTGGAATGAGCTGATGGCAGATGGATGCGTTGAGTTTCTGGACGTGGAAGAGGAAGAAACAGCAATGATCGCAGTTAAGCCAGCAGACCTTGACAACACAGACATATTGTACACACACTGCGAAATACAGCCAGCAACAATGCTCGGAGTCTGTGCTTCAGTGGTGCCCTTCCCAGACCACAACCAGTCGCCAAGAAATACCTACCAGAGCGCTATGGGCAAGCAGGCAATGGGGATGTACGCGACAAACTTTTTGATGAGAATGGACTCTCTCTCCAATGTCCTGTGCTACCCGCAGAAGCCCCTTGTGATAACGCAGAGCATGAACTTCCTCAGATTCAGAGAGCTGCCCTCAGGACAGAATGCAATGGTAGCTATCGCCTGCTACAGCGGATACAACCAGGAAGACAGCGTGGTGATGAACAGAGGAGCTGTGGATAGGGGGCTATTTAGGAGCTTTTTCTACAGGACATACAGCGATGTAGAGAGCCGCACAAAGCCCGAAGAGCAGGAAAGATTCATGAAGCCAGAGAGAAGGACAGTGCAGAGAATGAAGAATGCCAATTACGAGAAGCTTGATGATGATGGCCTGGTGCCCCCTGGGACGCGTGTTTCTGGTGAGGATGTGCTCATAGGAAAAGTAGTGACAACGCCTGATGGGCTCAAGGATGCCAGCACAACCATGCGGGGAACTGAGAGCGGTGTGGTAGATCGCGTGATACTTACGACAAAAGACGGGTACAGATACGCGAGAATTCGCGTAAGATCAGCAAGAACCCCGCAGATGGGGGATAAGTTCGCATCGAGACACGGACAGAAGGGAACCATTGGAATTATGCTCTCCCCAGAGGACATGCCGTTTACAGCAGACGGAATCACCCCAGATATCATCATCAATCCGCACGCAATCCCCAGCAGAATGACGATAGGGCATCTGGTAGAGTGCTTGCTGGGGAAGGTAAGCTCCATGTCAGGAAAGGAGGGTGATGCTACGCCCTTCACTGGCCTGAGCGTAGAAGACATAAGCGATGAGCTGAAGAAGTACGGGTACCAGAAGAGAGGATTTGAAGTGATGTACTCTGGATTCACCGGGAGAAAGATGAGAAGCCAGGTGTTCATAGGGCCCACGTACTACCAGAGGCTAAAACACATGGTGGCTGATAAGATACACGCGAGAGCACACGGGCCTGTGCAGATACTTACTAGACAGCCTGTAGAAGGAAGGAGCAGAGACGGAGGGCTGCGATTCGGGGAAATGGAGAGAGACTGCATGATCTCTCACGGGGCAGCTTCTTTCCTCAAAGAAAGGCTGTGCGATGTGAGCGACAGGTTTGAGGTGTTTGTGTGCAACGACTGCGGCATATTCTGTGCTGGGAATAGAGACAGGGGGATATACTCCTGCCAGATGTGCGGAACACGCACGAACATAAGCACAGTGTACATGCCGTATGCATTTAAACTGCTTGTCCAGGAAATGATGGCCATGTGCATATCGGTGCAGATGAGGCTGGAGACATGGAAGAAAATATGACCGGAGAGTAGTGCCAGCTATCACTAGAGTTGAGCACCAGATCGATTATTGGTCTGCGTAGAAAATAGCCAAGAATAAATTATTATAACTTTGGGCTTTTTAAGTTTTGCATTATCCGTTTTTTCAGTGGGGGCAAATAAGAAAGTGAGTGCACGTTTTGAAGATGTAAATCTGCTGGAAGTTTTATCTTTATTTAGACCGGTAGAAAGACTGCAAAGATGCCCTAAGGATATCTTTTGTCTTCTGGACTCAGATTACTGCGTATGTTTCTAGAATGAGCAGATTCTTTATTCCAACGAGAGACCCTTTTAGGTACAAGAATGGCCTAAAAAGGACAGTGGGCAGGTGCAGAGTGATGAAAGAGGCCAGAGCACTTATTAAAATCACTCGAATGCTGAGGTATATTGCCTGCTTGATCTTCATCCCTCTTCCCTCGGGCATCAGCTCTCTTTCCATCTTTGCAGAGGGAACGGGCAGGATGTACGTAAATAAAGCAAGCGCCATGGAGATGTGCGGTAGGTATGCGAGTGTGCTGTACATAAAGCAGAAGCAGGACAGAAGAAGACCCAGCGCCAGGATGTTCTTCATTTGTTTTATCTCGTTTATGTGTTTGTGGTAGAACATGTTCCTTATGTCGTAGATTGCTCCGATGGTCATCACGTATATCAGAGACTTAGGGACTGTCGCGAGCATTATCATAGGCCCGGCTGTGAGAACATTGAGGAAGGATCCGCTGTACAAGAATACTAGCAGGGCAATGAGGGCTGTCAAAACTGCAAACTTGAACTCTTTTCTTTCGGCTCTTGATGACTCCATTTGGTTTTTTTCGTTTTCCTTATCGGTGATCGATATGTAGAGCGAGTACACAGACGCAGCAACTGACATAACGTAGAGAAGAAGAAGGGCGCGGCTGGAGTGTGCATTAAATCCTGGCCAAATAATGCCTTCATATGCGAACATTGAGAAGTCGTACTCGCTGACGTAGAAAGAAGAGACGTACACTGCAGCGCATCCAAGCATGCCCATAATTCCCATGGTGAATGCAGTGTAGTTGTTGGTGTCTGATATGACCCTTCCGAGCTCTATCAGAGCCCTGCACAGAATAACCACACATGTGGATATAAATATAAGCCACAGTCTGATGTATTTCGAAATGATTGTTTCAATTCTCTCGCACTTTATGACTTTTTCTACTGTGTACTGTTTTTGCCATAAATTGTTTAGGTCAATGATCTTCAGAAGATCGTCGACAAAAACAAGAGACTTCTGTGCAGGCATATCGACTAAAAGATTTCCAATAAAGGGGATACTTTTGGCGTATGTGTACATAACAGTGAAAAGATACTTTGCCATGTAGAAGAGCATTTCGACTGTCGTTACGACCATGATCAGAATGAATATGAGAATGTAGTAGAAAGCGTAGGACAGGATAGATATAACACCAGACGTAATTATCTTCGCAATCCACTCGAACATCTCTGCGGCTTCTGTTAAACACTTCTCCAAAAATGTGCCTTTTGGATTTTTGGCCTTAAACGACTTTTTTGCTGGCTTGGGTGCTCCTGCACTCTTTTCGCCGCTTTCCTTTTTAAAGTATTCTGCGATCATCTTCTGCAGTGCATCGGGAAGAGACAGAGAGCACAGCAGAATAAGCTCCACTGCCGTCTTTTTGAGGCTTTTGACTGCGTTCTCTGGGCTTTCGTATGTCTCAGCTGATATTCGAGAGATCTCGGAGAAGAAAATCATCTGTTTTCCCTTTCTAAACCCGTAGTAGAGCTTGGTCACTGCAGGCTGTAGCAGCGCATCCACTAGAATGCTGAGAGGAAGAAAGATCCACCATATAATCGATGCAAGCATTCTTCCATCAGAAAGAGCTTTAATTGCATTCTTTATAACTAGACTCATAAAAAATTTTAGAAGACACCAATAATGAATAAAAATCAATAAATAGAATTTAATCAAGTGCTACAGATAGAAGATGTCTAAGAACGCGCTCTTCCTGGGAGGACAGCTTTATAAAGCTTTCTGATAGAAGGAAATCTGCTCTTTCCTTTTCTGGAAAAATATCTCTGTGGCGGCTGGCTATCAGACACGCCTGTTCTAGAATGTACTCCACGGGCGCTACGTCCTGCGCAAACTTTTCGTACTTTTCTACTATGTATGCGCCTGTGTACACCTCGCTCAGTGTATTGCGCTCTACAACCGTGTCTTCTATCTCTTTTATGGATCTCTGGACATTCGCAGCCCACTCGCTCAGACTCTTTGCTGCACTGGCAACACTTTCCAGCGTGCTCATAAACTCCTCTGTCACGCGGCCAATCTTCAGTCTCAGAAGAGCACGCTCGTTGCTTTCCTTCAGCAGATGGCATTTTCTCAAAAACTCTACCTCTTTTTCCACGTCTGCTCCCTCAATATCCAGCTTTGTGCATTGCAAAACATCGATTCCCAGACCGGAGAACTTTTTTACAATCTTTGCAAGAGCAGAGTGGATGCTTTCCTCGACCTCTGCCTGCTCCTTTTTAATCTTCTCAATGCTGTGCTCAACAGGATTTCCCTCGTGCTGTTTGGAGCTCTCTGCAACTAGCTCTTCTTCAAGCGCTGTGTCTTTTATCTTTTCTTCTGCTCTCTCCATTCTTTTTCAAAAAATATGTGCTATAGATACCTTTTTTGGCGATTGGAGAATGTGCAAAAATTTATTGGTGCTCAAATACCTCTGCACAGCGTACAGTGCAGTATACACTAGACATAGAATAGACAGCATGCCATCGCAGGCTACATCATCTGTACAACGCCTATCCCTATACTTATGTTAAATAGCTTTTATTGGCAATGTGCAGTAAAAATGGCAGCTATTTGCACTATGATATACAAAGAAAACTCTGCTGATTAGAATCCGAATATTATTTTCCTAATAAGAATAATTGTAGAGTAGGTGATAAATAGAGCAGCAATGAAGGGCACAACGTTGTTTTCTGGCTCTTTGGTGATGCTGTTCTCTGGAGAGAAGATCGGCCCTGAGTATCTTACATTCAGCTTCTGTTCTATCTTTTTAACACTCTTCAGAGAAAACAGCTGCCGAAGGCTGTCGCCTGTGAGGGTGTGTGTTGTTTCTACAAACTGGAAGAGAAACTTGTGCTCGTGCAGCTGGTACATGTCTGTGTTTTTTGAGATTTCAATCTCAACCACTACTTCATCATGGCTGTACACCGTGCCAATGCAAGGCTTTACCTTGTAGCTTGTTGGATGCGTGGCCTTTATCTTGAATGCATAGTCTCTCTCTGTAACGTTTCTTAAAGATATTTTTCCATTTCCTGTTTCTTTATTTATAACAACTTCAAAAGGCTCTATGATAATTGAACTAGTAAGATCCATCCCCTCTATTAATTTGCTCAGAAAATTTGCTTATTTATATTCGAATGTGGAGGAAATAGAGCTGTGTATTTATTTTTGTAAATTTGCCAGTCCCATGTCTAAAACACAAAAGTTTTCCATAGAGTCTACGCGAGAAAAAGATTTCCCAAAATGGTTCAAAGAAACAATAACAAAGGGCGAGATACTGGAGTACCACGACATTAACGGGTGCTACGTTCTTCGGCCAAGCGGCTTCTTTATATGGAATACGATCAAGCTGTATTTCACTCAAAAAATTGATACAATGGATGTAAAAGAGGCATACTTCCCCATGCTTGTGTCAAGCGCCTGTCTTGAAAAGGAAAAAGAGCACCTTGCAAACTTTGCCCCAGAAGTTGCATGGATCACAGAGTGCGGCGGAAAGCCTCTGGAAAAGCCTGTGGCAATACGCCCTACATCTGAGGTAATTATGTACCCATACTTCTCCAAGTGGATCCAAAGCTACAGAGACCTGCCCCTAAAGCTAAACCAGTGGTGCAACATTCTGCGATGGGAAACCACACAGACCATGCCTTTTGTGCGCGGAAGAGAGTTCCTGTGGCAGGAAGGACACACTGCCCACTTTACAAGAGAAGAGGCAGACAAAGAAGTGTTTGAGATTCTTGATCTTTACAAAGACGTGTACAAGAATCTGCTGGCTGTGCCTGTCATAAAGGGAACAAAAAGCAAGAAAGAAACATTTGCAGGAGCAGACTACACAACCACAGTTGAGGTGTTTATTCCCTCAACAGGAAAGGGAATACAGGCAGCAACATCGCACTCTCTGGGGACGAACTTCTCCACGATGTTTGACATAACAGTTGAAGATCCAAGCAATCCTGGGTCTTTTATGCCTGTTTTCCAGAACTCTTGGGGGCTCAGCACAAGAAGCATAGGAGTAGCTATCCTTGTGCACTCAGACGACAGAGGGCTTGTAGTTCCTCCAAAGGTGTCATCTGTTCAGGTGGTGCTTGTGCCATGCGGATTCTCCAAGAAAGTCCCAGAGGAAATGAGGCAGAAAGTCATCGAGGAAATAGAAAAAATAGAAAAGAATCTAAAGGCGCTGGGAATAAGAGCAAAAGCAGACCTGGCCCAGAACATTTCGCACGGACAGAAATTCAACCAGTGGGAAGCCCGAGGAGTCCCTTTGAGAGTTGAACTGGGCCCAAAAGATCTCGAAGAGAATAGTGCGTATCTTTCCTGGAGAATCGATAAAACCAAAAAAAAGGTATCTTTAGATGGCATTGCAAAAAACATACAGGAAAATCTGGATAACATCCACGACACAATGTACGAAACAGCAAAGATACAAAGAGACTCCTCCAAGATCCATGCGTCCTCGATTGAAGAGCTCAACGCGGCTCTGCACAACAAGAAAATGGCTACAATGGCGTGGTGTGGAACAGAGTCCTGCGAAGATGGCATAAAGAAAGCCACAGAGGAAAGAGACAAGCACGGAACTGTCTTGATGGCAGGCGCCAAGTCGCTGTGCATTCCTTTCTCAGAAAAGAAGCCCGTTGGAAAGTGCAGTGCCTGCTCAAATGATGCAATGCACATGGGGCTATTTGGAAGATGCTACTAAACGAGCAATCTGCTGATTTATCAATCTGCAGGATCTTTCTACTGTTAAAAATAAAGTTTTATTGAGAACATCCAGCTGTTATTTCTGCTCTGCTAACTAATTCCTATATATCCATTCTCGCTCTTTTCTTGTTCTCATTTGCCATACATCTATAGAAGGCTAATTGCTCTTTCTAGCTACTGAAAAAATCTTCTTGGTTGGCAAAGATTAAACAATTGCATTCCTAGTCTACTGCTAGAGCACAAGATAGCTATTCTTCTGCTAGACTATAGACCAAGTGGTGCGTATGCAGCTCATTCCAGCTTGAAACAGAAAAAATGATCATAATCTGTTGTGTGCTGCACTCGTTTCTTTCCATATGCAGTACTTTCAATATTTTCTGTGCTTTCGCTATCTTTAGTGCTCTATATTCCTTTACGGTCTTATTTCTATGGACTCTTAAGCAGCAGATGCCAGTGTGCTTGCATGCTGCCATATCTTGTGCAAACTGGAGGAATGGATAAAACTATCTAAATATTTTTTTGCATGCCGGAAACAATAAGTCGAGTTCTTGCCTTCTCCAACGAGGGCGTGCACTTGGACGCATTCAACAGTCAAGTCAAGCCAATACCGTGCATTTGCTGCAAGCTTGGGCAGGAGTGGATTGCATACTCTACAAGCCTCCAGCTGATCATACGAAACACAGCGACAGAGGAGGAATATGTCCACAGCATAGCAGAAATTAAGAGCATCGAGTGTCTGCTGGAAAGCACAGTGTCTGTGATAACAAAGAGCGAGAAAATGTATCTTATCCAGAAAGGAGAAGTGCTATACAGCGCAGAGCGCGTTAAATCTGCTGCGCTATCAAGAGACTATCTTGCATACACACAAGAAACAGACGAGCCCGTATCCGAAAATACAAAAGCAGAAAAGAGTATCTCCAAAACAGCAGAAAGTGAAAAAGAGAAAATGGCACCTGAAGATCCTGCAGTAGAGAGTGCCGCAGAGCCAGGAAAAGAGGTAGGTAAAACAGAGGAGCCAGCTACTGAAAAAACAGCTGAGGGAAATTCAGCTGCAAAAAAACCGGTTAAGACAGCAAAACCCGTACCAGCAGCTAAAAAAGAGCCAGTGTTCCTGAAAATACAGAAAAAACAGGGAATGTGCACGGCAGCCATAAGCAAAGCCAAGCCCAGGGTCCTGAAAGTATACTCGATCGTTGCTCGAAAAGAGGTGCCCGAAATAAAAACACCAGCCCCTCTGCTATACTCGGTTACGAACAAGTGCCTAGTCACAGTGCGAGTGTACAAAGGATCAGGCGGTGAAATAGAAATAATTAGAATGGAGAACGGAGAAAAAGTCAAAAAACAGGTTGTTCTTAATCTGATATCAGCCAGCCTTATCCAAGACACGAAGTACAGCGAAGAAAGAATGATATGCATGTGCTCTCTGGACAGCAAGAACGATACGTACTATGACACAAAGGCACTGTACTACATGGACACAGAAAAAGGAGAGATCAAGCTCATGTCAGGTGTGGGCAATCCGATCACAGACGTGGCGTTCTTGAAGAAGAGCGAGTTTGCAGTGTGCTATGACAACAGCCCCAGCAAAGTGTCGATATTCAACTCAAAAGCAGAAAAAGTAAAAACAGTAAAAGACGGGATCAGAAACAAAATATTCTTCAACAGACAGGAAAACATTGTCTGCTTTGCCGGAATGAACAACCTGCCTGGGAACATGGAGCTATTCGAGTATCCATCAGAGATGGCTCTTTCTGTGAACGAGGAGATAGGATGCTCAGTGATTGACTGGTCGCCTGAGGGGAGATATTATATAGTTGGAATAACGAGTAAGATGTCGATCGACAATAAAATTCTACTTTTCGACTACTACTCGCAGAAGATAGCAGAGCTGGCGTTTAGCGAGCTCAAAGGGTGCATCTTTGCAGGGAAGAGTGTTCCGTTTTCGCCCGTTGAAAGCCCTCCTGCGAAGATACAAATGAAGAAGACAACACAATACGTTCCTCCATCTCTGCGAAAAGGCGCAGTAGACGAAGAAACAGGGTGGATTCCTGCACACATCATAAAAGATAAGGGAAAGGCTAAAGAGAACAAAATAGCAGCGATCAGGAAAGAGCTCATGGAAATAGAAAAAATAGAGCAGCTAATGTCTAAGGGACAGGTGGTGCAGGGAGGAATTCTAAAGATCCAGAAAAAAGAATCTCTTTTGAAAAAACTGAACAAGAAAAAGAAGCCCGTTTCTTAGCGGCAGAGTAAGCAATTCCAAGGATGAATTTCGAATTATCTTATCATAAGCTGCAGAAGATCGGCGACAGGACAGTGCAAGAACAGCATTCAATAAAAAGAATTAGGAAAAACTTTATGCATACGTTGTATAGTTTGCTATTTATTACACGGTATTTTGCGCGACATAACTCACGGCATCATCAGCAAGACAGAGCATTTTCAAAAGCAAACTCAACATTTTCTAAGATATAGATGTGCATCTTTCGCAGACAACTCACAAAACAGATTGCCTACGCAAAGACATACGCTGGATTTAATGATACTTCTTTAATTAAGATAAGACAGCTGGCTAATAACGGTTCAGCCTGTTTGGATGTGCTATCAAACACTGGCCTTCTATCAGCAGGAGGCAACTAAAAATCACAAAAACCAAAACTGTGCAGTGAACTAGGAGCAGCTGTCAAGTGGCTTCAGTATGCGAAAGCTGCACACCAGGTTTTCATCTACCTCCATAATCGCGCCCGAGTTGTCAAACTCTCCGCAGTAATTAGGTGCTGAGAAAATAGTCACCAGCCGTTTTTCTGCAAAGAATTCATACCCGTCCTCAACAACCTGGTGCGCTCTGCATATCAGATCTAAATCGTGCTTTTGCAGGAACTCTTCCACAATCTTAGCCCCAAACGTAAAACTAACGCCTCTGTCGTTCTCTCCCCACTTGTATATTTCTCTGTCGGGATCGCTCCAGAGAAGATCGCAGAGCAGCCCGCTGTCTGGGATGTCTGTTGGCCGGTGTATTGATCGAATTTGGTTGAAAGACTGCAGGTCTGGGGATAGTCCTCCGTGCATGCAAAATATTTTCCCGTCTATTAGCGCAGCTACAGGCATGCAGTTGAACGTCTCTGTAAATTTTTTCCATATCTTATAGGTGTATCTGTCTCTGCACTCTTCGTAAAATCCGTATATTCTGTTGATGCTAGCACACTCGTGGTTTCCGCGGAGTAGGAAGAAGTTATCAGGATATTTTATCTTGTACGCCAGGAGCAGGCATATCGTCTCGAGGCTCTGTCTCCCCCTGTCAACGTAGTCTCCCAGGAATAAATAGTTGCTCTCGGGAGGGAGGCCACCGCACTCGAAGATTCGCAAAAGATCGGAGTACTGTCCGTGGATGTCTCCGCATATTTTAATGGGCGCTTCCATTTCTAGAAGCATTGGCTGCGCCAGAAACACTTCTCTGGACTTGCTGCACAGATACTTTATTTCGGACTCTGTAAGATTTACTCTGGGCGTGGAGGCCTTGGAGTGCCGTACCTTAAGAAGCTGTTCGATAATTTTGTCCACACACGGCGCATTAATTGGCATCTGTAAGAAAATAAATAAAAAAGAGAGAAAGAAATCCTTGTGTATGGAAAGAGTAAAATAGCGCAAAAATGAAAAGACTGCTTCAGTTGGCAGAGAAAGTACAAAAATATTTTATTTATTTATTTCTGTAAGATATGCTGCACATTATTGGAGAAATCGGTAGGAACTACCACAAAAACGTGCTGGAGCACTATGCAAACCCGCGGAACGTGGGCACATTCGCAAAAACTCTCGCAGGGGTGGGCACAGGCCTTGTGGGCGCGCCTGCCTGCGGTGATGTCATGCGGCTGCAAATTAAAGTAAAAGATGATATAATAGAAGATGTGAAAATTAAAACATTTGGGTGCGGGTCTGCGATAGCATCGAGCAGTCTGGCATCAGAGATGATAAAGGGCAGGTCCATATACGACGCCATGAACATTAAGAACACTGAGATAGCAAAGGAGCTGGCGCTTCCTCCAGTGAAGCTGCACTGCTCTTTGCTCGCAGAAGAGGCCATAAAGGCGGCAGTGGAAGACTACATATCCAAAAAGGGAATAGAATAGATTTGCAGATGCACCGACTGCTCTCCTCCAATTTAGACTCGAGAATGTTGTGGCACAGTATTACTGGTTTAACGATTATTCACAATAAATAAAAATATCCATACACTATATCCAGCTGTTTTGCTAGATTAAAGATCAGCTGAAAATGATTTTCTGTACTTTTGTGGGAGCTTCTATCTACTCTGCAATTACACGCGTAGAGATATCTGCCATCATATGATGTATGGCTTTTGATAGCTTTGATTGTCTGGGTATAAATAATTTTAAATTTGATAGCAGGACTAGGAAGATGGATACTACAAGTGTACAGAAAATTACAGAAAGCAGAAAAATAGATGCAGAGGAAAAGAAATGCACTGAATATGATCTAAAAATAGTAGCTGGGATAATTGCATTCAGATACATTATCTGCTCTCTTTTTTCTGTCATAATGCAGATTATAGTAAGTGTTGATCTGGCAAAAGCATGCGCTGCTGAAGGGAATTTCAGCTCAGGTCGCATAACCAAAAAAGATTTCATTGTGTTTTGTTTGCTATATATGAATCCTATGTCGTTTTCCATTGCAGCATTTATTTTGTCAAAGCCTCGCCGAAGTAGAAAGATCCATGTGTTTATGTACATAGCTGCCATTTTGTTTTCTTTTTGGATAGTATTTATAATATTTTCTTTCATTATGTTCACGTATGTTTTTCACAGTATGGGAATAGGTCTTTTAGATTATCTTTTCACGATGTGCCCGCTCTTAACAATCGTGTACGCTCTTTTCTATGGATTTGTGGGTAACTTTGGCAATAAGAAACATAAAGACTCTCTATCCCTAGCCAATGAAATATCCATTGGGCCTACAATTCTAATATTCTGCAGTTTGGTGTACTGTATTATAATTACACTGCTTTTTCTGGTGTTCCCTACACAGACTGTGTCTTCTTTGTAAGATTTCTTTTTTATCTAACAGAGGCATCAATACAATGCTAATATGTGATTTGTAAGTATTTGAGCGCACTATGTGTACTCTAACCCTGTCTGAATCTAACTCAGATTTTCTACTCAATGTAAACACATAGATATACCTGCCACATAAATCTCGAAGTAAAATCAGACTAGTAGAGAATAAGAATATGCATGCAAAATAAAAAAGTGTACAGAAAATATAAAGAAAAAAGTACAAGTTAATTCTAGCTGTAAAACAATACAAGCCAAATGAAGTGATCAGCAGGAGTTGCTGAATAGTAAATAAAGCATTTGTACAGAGATATACTTAAACCATATTAATAGTTATAAGGTGTGTAAGAGAGACTGTGAGAATACAGCTAAAAAGAAGGTTAGTGAGAGATAAGAGATACATGGTTATAACAGGAAATATGCATTCTGTTTTATTTTAAAAGAGCTCTCTGCTTTTCCAGCGATCTTCTGCAAATGGAAAGCGTGCAGAGAGAATGGAGAGACCAGAGCATTTTTAAAAAAGAGCTATAAAATATAGAAAGAAGAGACAGAAAAAATATATATGAGAATTGAAGAAAGTTCAGGAAAAAAAGAGAGAAAGAGCTTGCAGCTGGAGAAAGAAGAGGAAAGAGTTCTTGACTTTCTAGATACGAAAAAGAATATGCCAGCATACGTGCTGAAGAGGTTTCTTGTGCAGACAGATGACTTTGTCTGGTTTCCCATGATAAGGATATCGTGCAGTGTAAGCCACTCCAAGTTTAAAACAGTGCTGGTTCCTACAGAAGAAGTGCGCCTCCGTTTTGAAATTCTTGGAAAAATCATAGAAATGAACTTGTTCTACGGAACAACCACGAGCGACATTCTGCATGCCGTGTGGAGGAACATTGGGATCATCAAGGGCTTTGATGAAAACGAGTTTGTTCTCAGCTTTGACACTTCAAACAGCTGCAAAATCCTTGGCATGGAAGACCGCCCACTCCTAGAGATCCTCCAGTGGAAGCTCAACAACTCCCTGCTGAAAGTGGTAGGCCACAGACTCACGCCAGCCAACAAGCTCTTCAAAAACTGTGGATTTGAGATGCGAATCATTCGAAAGCACCAAGTAAGCATCGACATACAGAACAAGTTAGACTGCCCGCACAATCAGATCATTACGTACGCAAACTCTCTCGTGCCTCTTCTACCACTGAAAGAAAAGACAGAACAAACTGTCGATGTATCCATGCAGAAACAGTTTATCATAACGTGCATAACCGATGCAATGAGTTTTTCTTTCACAATAATGGCTCTTATGGCCATAGGGAGCAACCCTTTCCTGTACAAGCTGGAGACAATAAAAAATAAACTCGGATGGCTCCTAAACATACTTGGAGCCGTCTTCATGATGTACCTCCTCCTCCCGCAGCTTCTGGAGCTCTTCTTTGGAGAAGCTCCGAAAGTGCGCCCGCATCTACCCGTTGCCAGGCCATCGGAGGTTAATTTAGAAGTCCTGGAGGAAGAAGAGGTGGAGATAGCAAAGGATATCTCTCTGAATCTATCGCACATGGGGCTTACTTCTATCCCAGAGGTTGTATTTACCACAAATAACATCGCGCACTTAGACATATCGTACAACGTGATAACGGTTCTTCCAGAAAAGCTGAACAGCATTGGCCTAAAGTCCATCAATGCCTCTAATAATAAGATATCGAGCATCCCCCAGGCGCTTCGAATACCGAATCTCAATTTGGCAAGCAACCACCTCACAGAGTTTGAAAGCAACTACATCTATGTGGAGCTCAATCTTCTGGGGAATCCTCTGCAGAAGTTCAAAGGGCACGCAGAGAGACTGTACATACGCACTGTTTTCTCGGCAAGGAGAATATACAGCTCGCTTTCGTCACTTAAGAAGATATCCATAATAGATGTAGAAATGAAAAAGTTTGTGGGAAAGTTTCCTTTTCTGGTTGATCTGCAGCTTGTGAACAACTCGCTTGAAGAAATTTCAGTGCTGGCGCCAAATCTGAAAACACTCCTGTGCGCGCACAATTTTCTTCTGCAGTTTCCATACATAGAGCAGAAAAAAGGGCATGTGGAGTGCCACAATCTTATTTCGCTTTCTCTTCCGTACAACTCGCTGAACATCATCCCCAGCAGGATATGGACGCTGCCCATCGAGTATCTGAACGTGTCTCACAACCAAATTGTGCGAATTGACCCTGCAGTTCGCCAGACATCGCTGCTGCATCTTAACATTTCAGGTAATCAGATAAAAGAGATAGACAACATATCGCGGCTTGCAGGGCTTATCTGCTTTATCTCCAGCTTCAACATGCTTGAGTCTGTGTGCGGGCTAGATGTTATCCCAGGCCTAAAAATGGTGGATCTGTCGTACAACATGCTCAGAGTCATGCCAAAGCTTCCGAATAAAGAGATAGCAGATGCGCTTTCATTCTACGCTCTGGGCAACCTGTACATGCCGTGTCCGCAGAGCAAGGTAAAGAGACTCGCGAATAACGGAGTGAATGTTTTTTTGGGAGAAATGGAAGAAAATCTTATCAAGGTCCCGGGGATTGTGGGGATCCACAGCAGATGCCTAGAGTGCGGGGCATACATCCCCAAAGAGCGAGCTAGAAAAGAAGAGGAAAGAAAGAAGGTGCGCGCAACAAGAAGAGCACACTGCATTGTTCGCGAGCTGATGACACAGCCGTACAACACGGGAGACAAAAGCAAAGCAGCGAACGTCAAAATTTTCGCATACTTTTCATCGAAAAACAAACAGATAAAGAGCATTGTTGACAAAACACTCAGCAGAATGGCAAAGTATCTCCAGACAGAGTCAGGGGGCAGCTTGTACAAGAGGTTCGTAAAGCACAGGCAAAGACTGCGTGAGTTCTGCATCGACATAAAACACAAAATGTTTCCAACAAAGGTCGACATTCTGTGCTTTATAATAACCGCAGACAAGTATATATGCAGCATAGGAAGCAGCGACATTGACCTAGTTCTCTTTAGAGACGAAAGGGGTGTGTACCTGTGCAACACGCCGTACCTCAGCACAGCAGGCCTTGAAAAAAGAAAAACCGATGAGTGTTTGATGGCTTTTCCAAAATCAGTGCTTCAGGAAATATCTGTAACCGATCTTATTGTAGCATACAAACGGTCTCGATCAACCACAGAGGTGCAGAGATTTATTTTTTCGCACGAACTGAGAGATGTGTCTGTTTTCATAGTTCCTCTCATTCCCAAGGTGGATCATCCGATGCGAAAAGAGCCTGACTCCACAGGACTGAAAATTCTTGAAGAGCTTTCAGCACACAACATTGCATCGCAGTTTATAAGAGTTCCCATTGTCATATTTACAGATATAGTAAATAGCACGAAACTGTGGACAAAAGACTCCATCAAAATGATGCAAATGGTGAAAATACACAACAACACAGTGCGGAGTCTCATGAGAAGGCTTGGGGGATACGAAGTTAAGACAGAAGGGGATGCCTTTATGATGATATTCTATGACGAACAGTGCGCAATGGAGTTTGGCGCTGAGATCCACAGAATTCTTCTCAGAAAGAACTGGCCTGAGATGGGGATAGAGTACAATCCGCTTATCTACTCAAAAACAAAGCCGCTGTACAGGGGTCTGCAGATTCGGGTGGGAATCAGCAAAGGTGCATGTGTAGTGGAGAATGATCCAATCACAAAAAGGCTGGACTTCTACGGAAAGTCCGTTATAGAAGCAGCGAGGCTCTGTTCCATGGCCAGTGCAGGAGAGACTCTCATCACGCACACCATGTACAACAGAGTAAAAGACATAAAAACAAGAAGGTATATTATAATGCCCAGAGGAAGAGTCATCCTTTCCGGGCTGGAAAGCGAAATACACCATGTGTACGAGGTTCTGCACAGCACACTTCTAAAAAGACTCCTTTTGAAATCACCTCGTGTCATACGAGGGTGCGGCTGGATTATCACATAAAGAAAATAAAAATCTATTTTAATCTTATATTGGCTATGGGTATAAAACTATTCTCTGTATTCAAATCTATTGGACATTCGCAAGTTCTGGTTAAATCTTCATTTGTCTTTAGTGTGCAGCTGATACTGCAGAATTATCCTTATAATCTTTATAGTTTGTTCATACACATAATGATTGATGAAAACAAGTGATGTGCACTGAAGTTTAAAATCTAAATGACTGAAAAGTGGTAATTAAAATACCAATGAATATTTAAAAATTCTGTAAGTACAGTTTCTAAAACGCACAAGGATTCTGAAATAAAATTAGAACATTTTCCACCTATTTCTTTTATTGAATTTATTTTCAATAAGACTCTTTTCTCTTGTACAAATCGAGAAGGAATACCAGTATATACGTACTAGCACAGAAGAAGTATAGAAGGCAGATGTATATTGCACAGTCTGCTGTAATTCAGTAGAAGATAAATGGCATTTAGATATACCGAACAGATCGAATTATACCGCATACATTGATCTTATACATACTTATGCTGCTTCAGAAGAGGCTTTCTAAGTTTCTCAGCGCTGTTCTTGTGAAACTCGTAGTCTCTCTTTGTGTATGCGTTCATCTCCACTGTGGTGAAGAAGGTATCCATTTCAGTGAACATGGAAATGAACTTATCGCCCCCTGTCAGAGGCTCTCCTTTGTACTCGCTGTTGTAGTACGGATAGTTTCTTACTACGGAGTCTATGCTTTGGGGATCTGAAAACACTTCAGATCTTTTGCGAAGAGAGTAGGAGCCGTATTGGGTGAACAATCCGTGCATAAACCCATTTGTTCGATACAGTGCATAGGCTTTGCTCATATCTTTATCCTTCGGGGAGATATGTAAAAGCAGATAGGATTTCTGCTTGCGCTTCACTCTATATATCTCTTTTAAAAGCTTGAAAGACCGGTACAAGTGTGGTACTGACAGTTTTTGTCCTCTGTACTTCGGAGCGACGTACACATTGTATATTTCAAAGCACAGAAAGAATCCGTCCCTTGTATTGCTGGAGTTTCTGTAGTATTGGGGGATAATGAAGACATTGGCCACAAGCTTATTCTTGTACTTGCTCTGGATAATTACATACCTTCTTCGCACTCTTTCTATTTCTTCTTTGCTGAATGTCTGCTTAAACGCCAGTATAGGATCCTTCAAGTCCAGAGGTATTTCAGACCTGTCGCTTGGCAGAGCTATTACGTACTCCAGGTCGTTAAAGTCGATTTTCTTGGCTTTAAAGTCGCACAGGCTGTACATAAAGACCAGCGCACACAGGCACCCCGCGAGATACACAGATAATTTTAGTTTTCCGGCTCTTTTGCCCTTTTTTGTCTCTGTTCTGCTGTCTCTTGTTCTTATTTTTTTCATAAATTAATGAAAATAAGGAAGAGTTCTTATCTCCTTTGTGGGCTTGAGCACTTGCTCGAAAAAAACAAACGAATCGTCATCTACGCGCAGGTTCTTTCCTATCTTCAAAAAGGTCGCCTTGTTCCCCATGCGGTTGCAGTAGTTGGGCGCACTCCACACAGTGACGAGTTCTCTATTGTTGTATGCAAATTTGTATCCTTCATTTACCAGCTGGTGCGACCGGCATATAATATGCACGTCATTCAGAGCAAGAAACTTTTGCACAATGTCAGGGCCAATGATGTATCCAGCCCCTCTGTCGCTGGGATAGTGCCCCGGGTATATCCCAGGGTCACTCCACAGCATGTCTGTCATGGGCCCAGATGCCGGAATCTCCATGAATCTGTTAATCCGCAGTATTTTGTCAAATGTCAGAGCATATGGAGAAATGCCCGCATGCACACAGAATATACGGCTTCCAACAAGAGCAGAAATAGGAAGGAAAGTGAAGGTCTCGCACAGAAGCTTCCAGATGTCAAGAGAAACGTACTTTGTGCATATCTCTTTGTAGAGTCCGTATGTTTCCGTTAATTCTCTGGACTCGTGGTTTCCCCGCAGTAGGACAATGTTCTGCGGATACATAACTTTGTAGAGGAGAAGAAGAGAGATTGTCTCAACCGAGCTGAATCCTCTGTCCACATAGTCACCGAGAAAGACGTATTTTGTTTTCTTTGGTGTCCCATTTATTTTGAAAATAGTGAGGAGATCGTCGTACTGTCCGTGTATGTCCCCGCAGACTACAACAGGTGGCTCTATTCGGACAATATTTTGTTCCAGCAGAAGAATGTCCATGGCTCTTGAGCAAATCATTCGGAGTTCTTTTTTTGTGGGCTTGTGGTACGCAAGGAGCTTCTCTTCAACTCTATTTAGCATTTTAAATATAAAAGATACTTCTTATTTTCTTTTAGCATATCTATTGAGGGGCGCATGGATTTTTCTGACACTGTCCAGGTCCAAGTGGCGCTTAGTAAGATACCTCCTTCCTGTGCTGCTGTCTGAAGTGAACTCATCAGCAGAACTTGCACAGCTACTTTCTGTGAGTGCATTAGTATTGCTGGTTTTTTTTTCAGTTTCATTTTCAAGACTTTGGACATCATTACGGCTGTTTGCATTCTCTGCTATGTTCTGTGTGTCTGGTAGATTAGACACGCTCTCTTTGCTGCTAGCTCCTATGTCTCCAACATTCTCAAAGTTTGTAGAAACACTTTTCTTTGAATTTGTAGCTTCTCTGCGAAGAGGCTTCTGTATAGAAGGCAGCATGCTCTTCTTCTTTAGGTCCAGTCTGCCTATTTTTACACTTGCTTCTTGGGGCACTGGAGGAACTTCTACTTTTATATTCACATCCTCGCTTTCTTCTTCTGTTTCGTATGTGTACACGTCAGGCTCTTTGTTTTTGCACTTACCGCAGCCTCCCCCACACACATATACATTCAGCTTTCCATCAAGCACTGTGCTGGCCTTCAGCCAGTCGCTGATGACATACCCATCTGAGTCGGTTATGCTCACTATGTGCTGTTTTATTGACAATTCGCTGAAAAACAGACTTTCGATTTCGCTCTTTATGTCTCGAATGTAGTTAATCTGCCCCTGCACCACGTACAGGAACCGGCTTAGCTCTGTTTTTTTATCTTCTATACTAAATATCTTAACGCGTGCTTTTTGCATAAAAATTTTAAGCATCAATAGCTAAATACTCACATAGAAAATAAGCTAGGGCATACTGCAAAGAAAGACTCTGTCGCACTGAGAACAGAGTATGTGTTGAAACTGCTGCAGCATACAGAAAGAACTTAAAAAGACATGTGAAGGATGGAGTTGATATTGTACATTTATTCATCAGGTCTATATTCTCTCAACAGTTGTTAAAAAAGAAGGGAATTCGTAAGGTGGTAAGATATCCATCAATAATGTTTGTGACATACGAAAGGTAGTACAGCACAGAGATTGCATTAAGTACAGTGATGACAAGAGAGATTTTCTTTGCTGAGACAAACACAATCGACAGATTTGCCATAGCTGCTAGAAAGATAATTAAGGACGGTATTTCAATAGGCGACGCAGTCTGGTGCGAGAATATTATGAGGGTGGTAAACAAGGAAAAACAGACAGTGCATATAGAAATATAAGAGTAGAACACAGTGTTGAGGTTGATGCTGTTTGACGTTACAACAGAAAGCACACTGAGCACCTGAAGAAGAACAAACAGAACATGCGGCCACAGAATCATGTTTTTCTGCAAGAACGACATGTCCTGGGTAATTCCAAACTTGGTGCTAATCCATATATCCACAATGTAGTATACTGTGCCTATAGCCCATATCAAAAAGCACACTCCCTGAATGATAAGGTCTAAATTATTCGATATCCAAACTGTAGGGTGCAAAACCTTCTCTCTTCCGACAATGCTCAGGACAAGGAGGAATATGCAGCCAATTGCAATGGCCTCAGTGGGCCCTATAAGCCCAAGATAAAACAGATGAGTGTAGTACTCTTTCGATGTGACCCAGTAGAAAATTGTCTGTGCAGATGCCAAAAGGAAGAAAACTGTTTTTTTGTTTTTCAGTCCTATTGCAGACGAGATGCACAGCATTATAAAAGTGCAAACAACTGAATCTACGCCGTGGTCAAAGAGCTGCCCTAGCGGCGACTTAGCACCTGTTTTCCTTGCCTGCATGCCATCGATGCAGTCCATCGTGGAATAGAACCACATTACAATGGCGCTTATCATGGGAAGCCACTTCTTGCCGCCCAGGAGATTAGGATCAGCGTACAAAACACATCCTGTTTGGATAAACATGGCAATGAACCCCATGAGAGTGATCGCATTTGGAGCAACCCACTTGGGAATTACATTCAATATCCGATCCCAGTACTTGAGGCTGCAGTGGTAGTACAGAAGAGATCTATCGAGGCCATTGAACTTGTACTTCAGCAGAGCATCCATTCTATTTTTGTCAAATAACATGCTAATATTAATTTTAAAATAATTTTTATAAATACACCCATGGACATTAACCAAACACATAGATACTATTTTGAAAAATATCCAAAAGAAGGAGAAGTCGTTATTGGGCGAATCAAGAGCTTTGAAGACATAGGAGCATACATCACGCTTCCTGAGTACAATGACATAGAGGGACTGATTATATACAGCGAGCTGACAAAGAAAAGAACCCGGAACATACAGAAGCTAATAAAGGTGGGCGCACTGGAGGGCTTTCTCGTTTTGAAAGTAGATAAGGAAAAGGGATACATTGATCTGAGCAAAAAAAGAGCACAGTACGAAGACAAGGTAGAGGCTTTTGAAAGATACTACAAGGGAAAGATAGCACACAACTTCATGCAGAGCATAGCTGTAAAGTGCGACTGTTCCCTGGACACTTTGTACGCCAAGTTTGGATGGGAGGCCGAGAAAGAGTTTGGCTCTCTCTACAAGTGCTTTAGAGAAGTTCTTATGGGGGAGCATTTGCTGCAGAACAAGCTGGAGCACAACGAGTTTATCACAGATTCTCTGCTAGACGTGATCGAAGACCTTGTGAAACAGAAGTTTGTGGTTCCAAAGGTAAAGGTCAGAGCAGACGCAGAGACAAAGTGCAACAAGGGAAACGGCGTTCTTGTCATAAAGGCTATTTTGATGAAAATAGAAAAAGAGTATCCAGATGTGGACGTGTCTCTTATATCCTCACCTGTCTTTTCGTTTTCTCTTATGTGCGAAGATGGCGAAAGCGGAGCAAAAGTACTAGACGATCTCCTGGTGAAGCTCGAGAAAAGAGTGGTGCAAGACCAGGGAGAGTACAAGCTTGTCATGGAGCCCTCTGTATTTGGCCCTAAGCCGCAGTTTGACGAAGAAGACGACGATTCAGACGATGCATCATCATCCACAGATTCGAGCTAGGAAGCTATAGACTAAGCCACAATAAAACGTAAATTACCTCATTCTGCTAACACGCTAGCAACATACAGTTTTGTTCTTAAATACTATGGTGTGTGCAGGTGCAGGATGCCCGGCACAGAGATGCAGCTGGCCGACAAATAGAAAAATGATTATAAAAACTCAGCAATTGGTTCGTGCGAATTTAAAACAGAAATATGCGGGCCTTGTCTTGTCTATTGAAACATGAACCTAGGAAACAGCAGAGAAGAGCCGTCTCTGAACATATGCATTAAGAGGGATGAGGGGATCCCTGTGATAAAAACAAAAGAAAGACTCTACCAGTGCCCGTACCTGCATCGAATGGTCGCAGAAGAGTAACTTCAAATAAAGAGCATGTATTTACTTTGCGAATACATAAGAACATAGATCTTTTTATTCACTTTTTCTTTAGTGCTTACACTGCGATCACACAGGCTTTTCTATTCTGATGACGCAGAGATTTTCATTGAGGATCTTTTGGTGCTTTACGACTTTCACTGTGCATGTTTTTCTAAGTTTTTCTATCACTTCCAGCGGTTTGTTGTACTGGCATAGAAGAACATACCGTATGCGAATGTGTGCAGTTGCATCAAGAAACTGGTTTGTTACTTCCATGCCATCCACGCCGCCTGCCCAGGATCTGTCTATCCACTCTCCTTTTAGATGATCTCTTTCACTGGGGAGATACGGTGGATTGAACACCGCCATATCTATTTTTGATTTTATGCCTTCTATCATCGATGTGCGCAAAACAGTTGTGTTAGTGCCCTGGCACACTCTATGTGTTTCTTTTACTGCGCTTGGGTTAATATCTGTGCTAATAATGTGTGATGTGGGATACAACTGTCTGAGAACATTGCTTATGTATCCAGACCCTGAGCCTACCTCTACAATGCATTTCATGTCTTGTTCAGACGTGTCTCTAAGAGCATCCTCCATCAGATATGTATCTTCGCTCGGCGGATAGAACATTCGCTAAGAAAATAAAATCGTACGCTTTTATGCAGAAAAGTCTACAAAAAGAAATTTAGCATTTTAGCATTAGAAGTTTACATCTATTTTATTTTTACTTAGTGGATATCCGAGCATAGCAGCAAAATTAAAACTAAAAAGATAAAAATGAGTGAATACAGGTAGAACACATGAGAAGCATTATGCTATTTTATTCTTGTAGATAGTGATTGGTATGCTAGATCAAGTTAGGCTTCCATTTTAGATAAGGTTGGGTATACAGATAGAAGGGTATTGCAAGTGCAGAGGAGGGGTGTATGTGCACATTTTGCACAATAGCTTCGTATGCTCTTTTATGCATATCTCTCACTTTTTTAACAGGATGCGATAGCCCTGGAACGAGATAGTGCGCGACAAAGTCTGTAGATAGTCTGCCTGCGAATACATGTAGAGTTTTTAGAAGTTCTCTTTCAATCTTCCTGTCAAGAATGAGTGGGAATATGCAGTTAAGCAAATGCACAGCCATCTGATAGTCTTTGCTGGTTCCCCAGCAGCTGTGCAGGATAGAGAGAGCTAGAGACAATGCAGCCTTCCTCAGAGGCAGATGGCGTGACCTCAAAGACTCTTCAAATACGGGAATGTATAAAGAAGAAAACTCTCTGCAGATGTGGGTGCGGTCACCAGTCTTTTTAATAACATTTGCGAGCAGGTTAACAATATATGTGCGTTTTTCTGTTTTTACATTTCTGTACTTGTTGCACAGATGCAGTAGAATCTCTTTCGTATGTCTTTCTATGCAAAGTGAGGCCAGAACTTTAACTGCTAGCTTTGATACGCTAGGATCATCAATGTACTTATCTATCTTTTTTACTACAGTGTGCAAAGCCTTGGAAGAGCACATTTCTCCTATAATAAGTGCCTCTGCGGTGTTCTTCCGGGGGGCATACCTAGGAATTCTATCTACAGCAGCAAAAACCGTATTGTCCCATTCCCTCCATCCATACGAGTGCATGTGCATTGCTAAAGCTACTTTGTATATGCAGGGCAGATCTGCAGGCTCGGCCGTATCTATCCAATTAGGAAATTTAAACACCACTTCGGAAAACACTGCAGAGTCTGCAAAGTGTCTATTGAGAGCTACTATCCGAGAAAAAAGAGAAAACATACTGTTGAAAAATGCCGAATCTGGACAGTCGCTAAAACGTTCAAAAAGAAGCACAAAGGTCTCTTCCAAAATGGCATGTTCACCAGCATACTTAGCGCATCCTTCAATAAGACTGCAGATGTACGTATAATCCTGCCCCAACGGTAATGCTTTGCATGCCCATTCAAGCAGACTGTGCGAAAGGCTCTCTTTTTGAGTATTTGGAAGTATATCCGCAATGTACTTTGAAGACTCTCCTATGCACGCCCAGTCTTTTTCATTCTTGCTCTGTACAGATGCCATGTATCTAAAAATGAGGCTTGCAGGCATTTGAATTTTGGCATCTGCGAAAGATTTAATGATAGCAGAGGATGCAGAAGATTTGTTCTCAACCTCATCAAAGAGCTGTGCAAATATCTCTCCATTCATACATGCTCTGCTGAGGATGGATGAGGTTTTTTGACAGGTTAAAAACGGTTTAGCGAGTAATTTTGCTAAGCCAGAGCTGCCTAGCAGATGGAGGTTTTCAGATGTTCCCATTCTATGCAGTATTGTAAGAATGGATTCTATTTGGTGCTCACTGAATGCGACTTCCTTATTGAGTAAATGTGAAGTGTAGAGAACTCCTGCACTTGTGCGCAGCAGAAAGTCTTTTCTGTCCAGAGAATGCACTGTGTATGATGCTGTTTTGAGCAAGAAAGTGTTTCTAGTTTCTTCAAATGCCGCAAATAGCATGTTTCCTATATCCCTTGTTTTTCTATCTGAGATCCATCCGGATTTGAAAGCTACTTCTAAAAAGTGTAGAATGCTTTTTAAAACTCTTGATAGCTGATGCGGTGTCTTTGCAGGGTATTCCCTCTCACTTGCACCAACTCTTTCCTTTTTTGCCAAACCTGCTTTTTTTTGTTCTCTGCACATTGTTTTCATATTGCCAATTTCCCGAGCCAGTAACACTTCAATGCTGTTTTTGATCATTGTGGTCGAGTTAATGGGACTAAATATCCCTCTCTTGAAAAGAGCATGAACAGTGTGCACATAAAGAAGAGAGTGTGATCTAGAATCAGTGCACTTTGATAGAAAGATAAAAAAATCATTTCCTTTCTTTTGTGCATATATCGCAGAAAGCAGAGCAGACAGGTGCTTAGTATACTTTTCATTAGCAAGAAGAGAGGAGATGGCATCTATGATCTTTGTCTCTGTGCACTGCTCTACAACGCACTCCACCACGTATTCTTGTAGTAAACAGCTGAGCTTTGTCTCAATTGTGCAGAGTGTTTTTACAGCTGTGACTATTTGGCTTTTTCTGTCCTCCATGTGAGCAATTGAATATTTGAACAGCTTGACCAGATATTTTTTCCATTCATCAGAAAAGTGCTCGAAAAGAACTCTGCAGATAGTAAGGGTAGATCTAGGGAAGGCCTTGGCAAGAGCCTTCAGGTCTCTATCTCTTTCTCTAGCAATGTAGAACAGACAGGATCGCACTGTCTTGAATGGAACTCCTATCTTTTCCAGCAGCTCAACTGATCTAGTGAGATCACTCATCGAGGATGGTGCGCATTGAAGATCAGCAATAAAACCGTACTCGTACGGCACATGCCGCAGCCCCGAAGATTCAGCAAAGCTGAGGAGCGCAGTAAAAGAGCGGGAGTGCACACGAAGTTCTCTGTTTTTCATACAAAAATTTATTTATTCACTAGTTCAACAGTATTAACACATTCTATCTCCTGCTCGTTGTCGATGCACCACAGATCGTATATTTTTATGACAGCAAACATCGCGAGAACATGGATTAAAAATATGCCATCGAGGTATCTGTCTGAGACCATCACGATGAGCATCCCAAATACAACGGGAGTAAGCGCAATGACAGAAACAAGAAGAATAGTCACCAGCAGAGACCCGTAGTACCATATTTCAGCATTGAGAATCTTCAGCTTTGAAAGCTGTGTAAAGGAGAAGAGAGTGGCAAAGAAAAAAGGAACAATGTAAAGAAGAAGGAAAAGGCCTTCGCCAATGCCAGCGGTTATGGACAGAAGAGACCCAAAGAAAGTTGCAGCAAGAGAGCATGCTGTAAGGAACCACGCGATGTTCTTGCAAGAGCTGGCAACTCGGTTGGGAAGCATCCACACAAGTCCTGTGCACATCGCAGACACAAAGCATGTCACAGTGCACGCCACCTGGAAGCTCACTAAAGCTGCGTATGCAATGCTCCACGAGGTCCTGACAACCCCCAGACACAAAACTAAATCAAAGAGCAAAGACCCAAGGTACACCTTCAGGAAGATAAGCATTTCCTTCCTCGCGGGAAAGGAGTACTTTATTTTTGTTCGGTTAATTAGCACCAAAGTCATTACAATGTTCATTGCCAGAACCATTATCGTGTAGGGAGAGTACATGTTTAGGTTGAATATCTGTATGGAGCGCGAGGGATACTGGGCATGCACGTTGTTTCTAAAGAGAACAGAGCAAGCTGGGAGGGATATCTGGCTGCACATGTAGTTCATATTTATGAATGAGCTCATGTGTTTGTTTGTGGCTAAGTGTGCTGGTATTTATGTATGGCAACAAACATTGCAGAAAAGAGATCTAGTGAATAAGCCGAGATACAGCCTAGAATGGCTTTATAAGGAAAAAGAGCGCAGAAAAAGTGAATCAAAAGTACACAGCAAGCGTAGGAAGAAGAAGCATACAGACGGAGCATCACAGAGCAGCAAACATAATAATCAAAAACGAAATAAGAACAAAGAAGTACTGGATGCTCCGAGAAAAAGCGATGTCAATGGGCGTTAAAGTGTACCCGTGCGGGGTCTTGGGAACAAAGTTGATTCCCAGAAGCATGATGAAGACAAGAAATATGTCCTGTGTGTTGTTGGTGCTAACACAAACAAAGTATAGAGCCATGGGAGGTATTACGGCTGCATAGAACGCGCTGGAGCTGGATGTATAATACTTAAAGGACCAGGAGAAGAGATGCATAGCCCCCAGGAATATGCGGTACAGCGAATACCTGTTCTCAACTCCAGATGCCCTCTGGAATGCGATGTAGATAAAGGAAATATTTACAGTTATGAAAATAGCGGAGAGTTTTTCCTTAAAAGTAAAACTTTCTTCCAGCTGATTTTTCTTATCTAGGAAAACCTTGTACTCTTCTCTGAACTCTTCAGGCTTAGGCGCATCAGGCCCGTTTAGATAGGAGATGCAGCTGTACAGATCTTCGTATGCACTGCTTTTCTCTGAATTCTCTCTGAATCTGTGGAATATTTCCTCGGGTGTTTCTATGATGTACATGTATGAAACAGCTGTCCCAATGAAGGCAAAAATAATAGAGAAAACAGGAGTACATATAAAACTGGCCAAAGACGGGCAGAAGTGCAGAGAAAAGAAGGTGATAAAGGATATCCAGCTAGCCACTAGGTTTGCCATAACTACCACGGTTTTCTTTCTCGTTCTCACACACAGCGCTGAACAAAACAAATCAATCACCATCCGGTAATACGAGACAATAAGACCTAGGAAGAAGGCGCGCATGTACATATTGAAGGAGAGGAGGTATGGGACCACGCCTGACGCGCTTCCTATCATAAATCGAATTTTGTAGGAAAGAGGAGCCAGGGCTAGATACGGTCCTGCCATATACCCTACGAAAGAGCAAAGTATTTCTCTCTCCATAAGAAGACGCTGTTCAGCTACCAAAAGGGGAAGGCACAGAAAAGAGGCGGCTAATATTAGATATCGCATGTTCAAAGGAACACTCTCTTGTCTTTCTGCTGTATTCATAAAAACACAAATAAGCCTAACAAATAAGATTATTGGAACAATTATTTCCAGTCGAACATTTAGCGCACACCCTCCGATAAGAATAAAGAAAATCAAGAAAATGTCAGCATGTACTCAATAAGGAAAGAGTGGTAGAGTGCATTATGTACAACTAGTTCCTGTGCAAGCATGAAACTTGACTGAAAACAAGTTAATTAAAAAAACAAATGTACACCGATTATTATTCATTTATTTTTGGCATAAACTGGTAGTTGCTCATATGAAATGAAAGCCTCCATTTTCTCTGACTGACATCTCAAGCTTTTCTCGCAGCTCAGCAGGAGAGCTGTATTTGTACAACACCAGTCTTCGAAAGCAGGTGTGGGCAGTGGGCAGGGATCCTGGTATGTTAATGTGCTCGATTATAATAGACTCTACCTGCGATCCTGGGATGTACTGTATTGAAGAAGACCCAGTGATAAACCGAAGAACTTCTTTTTTAAATTCCTCCGTGGATGTTTCCATGATGCTCCAGAAGCTTGCAACTTCGGGGGTTTGCTCACTGCACTCTTTGTATATGGCTATTCGTTTCAGATACTCCACGGGAATGATAGCCACACCCGAGAAAAGCCTTTCTATTTCGTTCACCTGGAAGTTTAAAATTTCATCAGAAACTATTTTGTGGAACGTGTAGGACATGCTCGAATACCCAGGGCGCTTCAGATATGTTTCTTCTCTGATGTACTCATTGATAAACATCTCCTTGTTTTCATCAGTTACTGTTTTCCCTGATTTGAAGACAAATCCCATCTCTTCCACAGGATTGTTGCGAATCCAGTCTATGCTTGCCTTCAGGATCTCGTCCGTTATGTCTTTGTATTCGCAGTTCTGCTTTAAAAGAGCCATGTAGAAGGTTTTGGAGAAGCGCGCATTGATCTGAACCTGCTGGAAGATAACATGGCCAAGGAAGAACCCTACGAAAGAGTAGAACTCAGAGTCAGAAATATTGAGGATGCAGTTCTTCTTTTCTGAAGACGTCTGCAGATCTTTGACCGAAGTGAAGTCGAACAAGCCATTTTCTACGGTAAATCTGCTGTCACTCACAATCTCATTGCCTGCCAGCTCAAAGAACTCTTTCCGAAGCGCGCCGTGGTCTTCTCCCAGCTCGCCAATGAACTTTACTGTTATTTTTTTGTAAAGGTCTTTCTTGTAGTACGGGTTCGTATACAATTTGTAGAGCGAGTAGACTATGGAGTTCCTGGAGACCTCAAGAGAGACGTGGAAGAAGATGGAAATAAACATCTTTGGAGAGCTCCTAAGACACCGCACCTTTTTGAGAAAGGCGTCATCTTCTTTTGAGTTTTTTGTGACTGCAGAGTCAAAAAGAGAGAGAGTGTATCGATGTGCTTCAGAAATGATCGGGTTTGCAAGGATTTGGGAGTATCCCGTTGTTTCAAACGTCTGTATGTTCACCTTGTAGTGGAACCCGTCATACATTGTTCGTTTTATGGTGTTGTTTTTTATGCTGTGGCTTGTGGACAACTGATCGATATCAGAAAAGGGAGACCCATCAGCATTGCTAATCGAAAGCCTGTCCAGTTCGTAAAGCGCAAAATAGTTCTTATCCACCAGCCGCGCAGTAATATAGCCCCTATATTTTTTAAATTTGAAAGGAATTGTTGCACTGTCTGCATGCAAAGGAATCTCCAGAGTTTCTTTCTTTAGTGCAATGACGAGAAATGTTTTATCTTCCCATGCATCTTTTATTTCGTAAGATAGGCCCACCCTGCACCTTCTCCGTCTGTGAATGCGAACAACAGGGGAGGAAGCATCCTGGCACCGAATAGAGACAGAAAATGAAGGAGCTTTCCGAAGCCATGCAAGCGCTCCCTTCCTTTGGACTACAGCTTCATTGATCTCTACGAGCATAAATAATAATGAAATTTTAATTCTTATAATGAGCTTGCAAGAAAGCAAAAAAACAAGTCTAGAATATCTGCTGCAGTTGGGTGTAAAAGAGGGAAAGGCAAACGAGCTACTGGTGAACAAGAGAGTGCGCTATGTGCTTGACAGGATTGTGGAAGCACTCCCAGAGCCAGAGTCTCTGACAAAAGAAGAAAAAAAGCTTACGCTTAAGGTGATTGAGCTAGCACAGAGTGCTGAGACAGCTGAAAAGTATGTTTGTCTTATCAAGTCATCAGACATAAAAACAGAAACAGATATAAAGAATGCAGAGAGTGTGCTAAAGAGCAAGAGAGATCTGTCGGTTGAAGAGCTTAAAAAACAAATGCAGAGCAATCTTCCCTCGCTGGAGGAAATGTCAAAGGTTGCTACAGAGGTCATGGAAGAGAATTTAGGCGAGCCCAAGGCAAAAGTGCTCAGAGAGCTGAAGCACCATCCCAGGCTGCAGTTTGTGGATCCAAAGAAGATTTTAGAGCTCATGGGAAAGCTTGAGATTTCAAGCGCATCTCGAACAAAAACAGAAGAGACAGAGAAAGACAGTGCAAAAGGACTGACAGAAGAAACAGTGCAAGAGCTTTTAGATTTGGCTTTGCTCCCACAGCCTCCCACAAGAACAATAAACAGAAGGTTCCAGAAGCTGACAGTACCAGAGGATTTGTACACGAGCAAAAACAGAAAATGGACAAGATATTTAGAGGGAGAGATGCAGACTATGCACACACCTTTCACAAACTACCAGAAAACACCAGAAATCCTCAAAGAGCACATAAAGAGAACAAAGGGACAGGTGAGAGTTCGTTTTCCGCCCGAGCCCAATGGCCACCTGCACATAGGCCATGCAAAAGCCATGAGCATAAACTTTGGATACAGAGACTTCTACAAAGGCTGGATATCTCTGAGATACGATGACACAAACCCCAAAGCAGAAAAAACAGAATACTACGAAAAGATAAAGGAGATGGTGGAGTGGATGGGATACACGCCTGATGCAATCACGCACGCATCCGACTATTTCGACAGGCTGTATGAATGCGCAATCGAACTGATCAAAAGAGGAAAAGCGTACATCTGCCATCTTTCAAGAGAAGAGGTAGCTGAAAAAAGAAAAGAGACCATGACCTCCAGACTCGCATCTAGTGAAGAGGAAAAGATTGTCAGCCCCTGGAGAGACAGGCCCATAGAAGAGAACCTGGAGCACTTCCAAAGAATGAAAGATGGAAAGTATGCAGAAGGAGAAGCTGTCCTCAGAATGAAAATGGATATGGCAAGCGATAACCCGCAGCTGTGGGATCTCATTGCATACAGAGTGGTTAAACACCCGCACGTTAGAACGGGAGATAAGTGGATAATCTATCCGTCCTATGACTTCACCCACTGTCTCACTGATTCATTTGAGGACATTACGCACTCTTTCTGCACAACTGAATTTATCAACTCACGAGAGAGCTACAACTGGCTGTGCGATGCGCTGGATCTCTACAGGCCTGTGCAGTGGGAGTACTCAAGGCTCAGCATAACAGGAGCCCTTTTGAGCAAAAGATTCATAACAAAGGCAATAAATGACAAAGTATTCACAGGATGGGATGACCCCAGACTCAGCACGCTAGAGGGCCTCAGAAGCAGAGGAGTGCCTGCGCACAGCATTCGGAGGTTTGTAGAGTCCCTGGGCATCACCACAGCAGCAAGCGAGATACCGCAGCACAATCTCGAGAACATCATCAGAGAAGATCTATCAGACTCATCAAAGGCCGTTGCAGTGCTAAGACCTTTGCTAGTAAAAGTGCCAACACAGGATATCCTCGTGGATGAAAAAGATTTCAGAGAAGAAGATCCATCGCCCACCTTCTACAGGATACAAAAAGGATCCACAGTCTTCCTGAAAGACTTGGGCCCACTGAAGCTGGTGGATCAGGGTGCTCGCCGCTTGGAGAAGTCAGAGGAGCCGCACAATGCAGTGATACCGTGGCTGAGCACCAGCGCACCAAAAGCAGTTCTTGAAATAGTGCAGGGCAAAGACTTAGTCCAGTACACAGAAGCGCGCGTATCAGAGGAGGCAGCTAAGTCTCCTGTGGGTGTCTACTGGCAGTTTATACGCATAGGATTTTTCATGCGAGTGGAGGACAAGAGCGCTCTTCGCTTTAGAATGGTAGCGCCTCTTAAGTCTTCGCCTCTGCTAGAATAAATGGATTTATTTTTATCTCAAATGCTAGAAGTGTACTAAACTAATGTTTTATTTACGAGTGCTGCCAGTGCAAAGACTGAAAAAGTACTGGTATTTATTCTCTTTCATTTTAGCACTGACTGATTTGTTTAGTTTCCTATAAGAGCAATGATCCGACTCTGCATAGTATTCCTCTATAGATACTCTACAGAAAAAGGCGGCTTTCTGCAGTTGTACACATACTGGCAATTTACAGAACATTCACGGTTTAAGTCTGAGATATAGTAGGCCAAGTACTCATTTTTATTTATTTGCATCCGCATTAGCTCGTGGTAGTTCACAGGCGTTTTCTTCAGCTTAGATCGCATGGCTGCCCTCTTGCAAACGCTTATAAATAGTTTCTTTTCTTATCACTGTGATTTACAGTCCATCACACTGGTGCTAATGATGCAGCTGCTAATCAAT